ATGATATTCGGTCATGATTGATACATGATTTTACGGTTAATCGTTCGCCACAGGCAATTATAATCCAACTCACTTTTGATTGATTATAGCATAGATCGTCTGTCAAGAAAAGCGGTATCATTCGGTGCCCTATAATACCACTGATGAGCACAAAGACTAGTGAATTAAAGTTTATAAAGCAATGCTGTCCAGTAAGATTGGCACCCATCAAACATGACTGTTTATCATGTATCTTGGCTCTATTAGTGTTCCATGTATGTGAATACGACTGTAATATGAAATGGATCTTGATGGATAACCGTATCTTGCTTATCCGGAATAAACACCCAGTAGATGCCAACACTACCAGATAATAATCAGATTGGAACACTAAAAACGGACGCAGTGCCCAGATGCGGATTGGAAACTAGCATCATTTTAATGTCGGAGTCCAAGCTTTGTAGACCATGTTGGATAGTCTTGCAGTATGCAGCCAGTCAGGGTCTAAATCAAGCCAGCATCGACTCCCAATCTCATCAGTTCCGTACATGGAACAAGATGAAGTCATAAGCAAAAGGATCAACAGAGAGCTAGAGCATGTATATGGATCAGATTTAATTATGTGAGATACAGATAAATACTGTTATATCAGAGTTGCAATAGCAAATTACCAGTATAAACAGGGTTTATGTTCCACTAGCATCATCAGCAAATACATGAGCAGCAGCAAAGTGGATATTTGTGGAAACGGAATAGCAAACAGAAACAAGAATGAATGCAGACAAAGCATGTTTCTTGTATAGACAATGAGCAACTGTTGCAATGGTCAAGCCTTTTCACCTGGCAGAGCGCAGGTTAATGTCGATTCAAAAAACTCGCCAAAATCATGGATTGTGTTTTCCTCGACATTTGATTGCAAGATTCGGCTCAACCAGAACTGTTACTACGGCATGTTCTCTTGTAGTATTCTTTGGTGTCGTGACTCTTTACCTTTTGTCCGTTTTACACCCTCACATGCATTCAGGCCAGTTGGAAAACTAGCTCGCATTCAATCCTCATCGCTTGAACCATTATCAGTGCTTGTTCCATCGATTCTATTCAACAGCCAAACTCTATTCTCCACTGTGCCTTTTACATACAATTCTAATCCTAAAACATACGATTTTATCGAAATGGGTCCACAAGCCAAGATTTTAAAACCCATTTCCATCAACATTATTCCGAATGCCATCACGCCCAGAGAAGAGGAGATTCTTGAACGAGAGATTACAAAGAAACTGCGTCGGCTTTTTGGTAGAGAGGGATACCGTGAAGCTCATACCGATCATGTCATTACAGGATACAAAGAAGCAATCGTTAGTGCATGGACATCTGTTGAAACTGCAAGTTCCTCGGGTGAAAAGGAGGCCGTGGAAATCCTTGATAAAACTAAACTTGCCATGTCCAAATGGCTTGGACCAAACCGACCGGCTAAATGGACTCCGCCTCATGTGTTGGATATGCGGGATGGAAACAGTGGCATTCGCGCACATGTAGATTTTGTCGAGTCTTCTGGAGATGTCATTGGCGGATTGTGTTTGATCTCGCCTGCTGTCATTATTTTTCGGAATGTCAAAAACCCTGATCGAGACTATTTCAAACTTTTTGTTCCTGCCAGATGCTTGTATATGCAAGCGTAAGTAAACCATTCTAGATGCTTTATCCTGTCAATTGGTAGCTAATCTTTTTATTTTGTCATCAATTAGCGACGATACTCGATACAACTACACACATGAAATTCCCATGACAGACGATCCAGCACACTCATTCAAAGGAGAGTTTGTCGAGCGACATCGTCGTGTTTGCGCAATGTTTAGAACTAAAAAGAACATTAAGCGATGACGAGGTATTCGTGATCAATTTCGAGAGCTACAGCTACTCGAGCCTTCATCTTACGAATAAATCCAAAACGGACTGCTTTTGTTGATTTGGCTCATTAATACATCTAGTTGACAATCGTTGCAAGCTGGTCACGATTGTGTCGAGCCTTGTCGGCTTTTTTTAATCTCTTGGCTTCATTCTGCTGCTCCTCTTCTTGTTTGCGCAAAGCAAATAGTTTACTTGTAGGATCAAATTCAGGATTGGAATACAATCTGAGTTTGCTGGCTACTACAGCTGCTGTAGCCTTGTTTACTGTAAGCTCCTTGGCATTGCACAAATCTACACGAATTGCCTGTAAAAGTTGAATCAATCCTTGTACTCGTTCGGGTGTTTCGTTTTGAAATCGATCTGTAATAAATGCACTGATGATGGGTGCAATAGTAGGTACATGACTTGCCATCTCCTGGATTGCAGCAAGAGCAATCTGTGAAGGCATATACATGAACAAAGCATCTGATATCAAGGACGATGTAATCAAATCTGTTGCTTGATTATAGACGGCATACAGTCGTTTTATCAAGTCTGGATGTTTCCCTCGGGGTTGTGAAGATTGTATAAACGTCTGAATAATCGTTGTAACGTGTTTATAAAATTATGGACGAGTGATGGATTAGTTGGATATGAATCTATTGCATCAATCTACAATTCTGATTACCTGGATATCAAGGAAAAATCCATGCAATGGCCAGTATGGATGATGTACAGAGTATTCAAATTGAATTCCTTTGGAAAGCACAAATTCCAAATGAATCATGACGCTTGCATCTGGCGACTTGGGTACTTTGCTGAGAAACTCATCGAGCGGCATCAACGAGTTTTCTACTTTTGTGCTCAAAAAAAGACATGTCATCCTAAACGGTTGATATATGTAAGCAGCTGTTGACAGTGCAGATCCAAAACCTAAAGTATCTGCTTACAAGATAATTTTGGGATCATAGTCCATGACGGTATTGTTGAGATAGAATCTTTTAAAAAAAACAATCGCTGTAGCCTAGAAATCCAGCATCGATTGTCTAATTAGGTCAGAAAAAGATTGCAATGGTTGGATTGCAAAACCATTGGTACTTGCTTGAACAGTCTTGTCAAATCCAAAGAATTTACAGTAATCGATGATCTTGCCTTCGTAAAATCTGCAATAGTCCAGCTGTTCTTTCCATGTAACACATTCGGAACCAGGACTTGCGGAAGAATCGGTACTTTCTGACTGTTTCAACTAGAATACAAAAACATTCAAGCAAGAATGGTCATTAGCCTTTTAAAATAGCAATCTCGATGGTAGATGAGTTAGATCAGACAAAGCTTACCTCGTTTTCAAGTCTTAATGCTTCTAGAGTTCGAGCAACCCCATCAGTGTTGACCTGCAGTCTTTTTTCCATTAGTTTTTCTGCAGTAAACTGCCAATGTTTATACTGTGAAGTCTGTTCATATAGATGTTGTGCTGAAGTTTGGTTATTCATGAAATTGATTTGTTGGATTGCGACGAGCAAATATTCCAAAATATCATCAAGCAGTGTCCTCAGGCATTGTCAGTTGCATGAGATGTGTATATATCACTGACTGGAATGCATTGGATTGTGTATGTTGTTTCAATGGCTGAAATAAACTGTTTTGTGTTTATAAAATAAAACATTATTGAGCAGTGAATTAGTATTCAATTTTTAATATACAAAATATCGATTGAGATTGTAAAAACTACATGCTAATCGTGTCAAATGCACAATATAAAGATACCATTTGGTCATGTTGCAAGGTATGGCTGATTACGGTCATTGTTAATGTGGATGAAAAGACAGAAATGATTATATTTCAAGTCAATCTGAACATGTTTAATAGACATTCTGATGGTATCAAGCAGACTGTTGTTTTAGCAAATGATAACGCAATGATCAGCAAACTGATCGTGTCAACAAGTCAGATTGTTATACACAATTAATGAATGATTCTGACATTCCAATCAATAATATTTTTAAAACAAGAATCCAATTCATCAAACACGAAAACGTGGTTGAATCAATTTCATGCGAATCCTCCCTAAATGCACGATATGGCAATGATGATTGACAATTTCCTATTTTCTCTATTCTCATCCCGTTTGTTGATAGCTGCAAGTGATTTAAATTTATAATGTTTTTCAGTAATCATTTCGTGAGACTGACTGGCTACCATCCTTTAACTTACGACTATATTCATACAGAATGAGATACTGAGTCATCAAGCTTATTTTACTAAATGTCTGGACAAGAGTTATCCGCGCACAAACTGCCATTGTCTATCACTGTTCAGCCATTGGAAAGGAATGCATTCCTACCATACGGGGATGTTATTGACGCTGGCAGTCAGATAACAAGTGATGTTGCTAACCAGGGTAATATGCCAACTAAAACAGGTGTTTTGATTGACTAGCAAGTCTGAAACTCGCTAATCTTGCAATCTCTAATGCATGATATTAGGAACTGCAAAACGATTCAATCACCTTACATCATTTGTGAATATGAGAACGGCATCTCAAACTCCAAAGCTTCATCAGCAACTGCCACCATCACTTACTCAGCCAGCTGCTACTCCCAATTTGTGTATTTTCCAAACGCAGCCCGCAACCATGCCCTTTTCCATAAAGTATGTATTAATTGTTCATGTAAAATGCAGCATTTGTATATATCTTGCAGTGATTACCTTGGAATATTCAATGTGCTTTCCTACTACAGATTGACTGTTAATAGACATCAATTCTTTTTCTAAACACGCCATTCAACATATGCACACAAACTACAGTTTTGAACTGGAATAATCGTTGTTCTCGACATCCTTGTTTAGTATTTCATTTTACGTGAATACATGACTAGTTATTCTCTGACCCAAAACAATTTCAATCGTTATTTGATTGTAATGAGGACTGGCGTCGATCATGCAAACTCACTAATTGTTTATTTTCATATTATCAATAGACTTCTTGAAAGACATAAATATTCTACACAGATGTTCATTCCAATGGTGCAACCTACCAAAGAGATGTTTTTGACAATGAATGCTATTCCAAGTTACTACGTGATTGTCGCCCTCAATGATCCAATTACGGATAAACCAGACTGGTCTACTCTTTGTGCTTTTCAAGCTACTACAGTTCAGGCATTCAACTACAATGCTGGGGTCTGGCACCATCCAATGGTGGGATTGGGTAGCACGATTGATTTTGTATGTCTTGTTTGGGAAAGACGAGAATTTCAGACAGAACAAGATGAAGATACAGAGGAAGTACATTTAGCTGCTAATGAATATATTTTATTGCAACCGTATTCACCTAAAATGGAACACTCTTCTGTATCTATCTTGCAGTGATTATTTTGAAATAAACAATGATTTGATGTTGGTTGTTTCCCTCTAGAAATCGATTAGTTGAATAAACACATTCCCTTCTCATCTGGCATGCTCTACAAATTCATTGGTTGTATTTTAAAAACACATGTGGTCGCGGTTTGAAAACAGATTGCATGCCTCAGGAATGCAACTCTACATGCCGATCACCAGGAGAAATCCCAGTCAACTATAAAGTTCAAATACTACAATATTTCCCAGTAACTTGGCACCAATCAAACATGACTGTTTATTATACATCGACACTCTTATTTAGTGTTCCATTTTGCATGAATACGACAGCAAGTGTAACGAGGCAGACAGCCCATACCTTATAGGTGAGTGTCATCTAAATTCTTTTAGTTTATTATCAACAATGCAAAGCAGTTGTATTGATATGGATATGCATGCCAAATTATGGTTGAGAAACATGGAATCTAACTCATGTGCTGCTTGTAGGAAATCGTATTAATGATGAGTTGTGGAATAAGCCATAATATCACCTGATACTACAAACTATCAGTTTAAATATTGGGAATTTCAAAAAATCTCACTGGATCAATTCTGGTTCATTTAGGATAGTTCCTAATAACCAGCATGCCTTGTATTAACCCATGGGTAATTATGTTATACCGCTGGTTTGAAGAAAAAGCAAATCCCACCTGTATCGGTTGCCCTGGTCAAAGTATAGATGAGTATATGCCAGGTACGTGCCATCACTTGTTCTGTTATGGAGATGTAAATGAGGACCCTACGGTAAAATGCTAGGCCGCGACAGTTTTTGCATAGTTTGATATACAAGATAACGCGGACAGCATTGTGTTTTACCTGCTAACACTTCTACCTTCACTGCCATATAGCTTACCAAGACTACTTTCCTTTTGAAAAGCAGTTTGGTCTAGTAGATGCTATCGTAAAAACTGTAAAAGTGACTGGCATTACGCTCAGGAAAAAAAACAAAAATCGAGGTATATGCCACGCTTTTTGATAATGGGTGTGGGCATTCTAAATGATAACGTGTGAATTTCATATTTGATTGAGCTGTACCATGACTGTGGAATATCTGTTTACAGTCCATGAAAATGTTTTGATGCTGCTGTGGTTTATGCTAATCTTACTATAGTCACCTATGCCGTTCCATGTGTCACTCGTTACATAGAAGCTACTGACATTATAACAAGGCCACATTTCGCACGTACTACCAAGCAGAAAATAACTAATGGCCCTAGCGCGCCTATCGAAATACCCGTAAAATCATCCTACCAACAATTGCAAGCAAGCTGTGCTGAGACGACTCAAAAATATTATAGACCATATACCATTGTTGGAGAAGGACGAGGACTACTTTCCATGCTAGATCTAGAGTCAATTAAAGCACTATCCAAGCAACCTCTTGCATCCAAAGCATCACGCAAAGATCTCGATGCATCCCGTTACCCAGCCAATGGAGCTTTGGACAAACAATTGAAAATTAAAAAGCATCAAAAGAAAATTGACATGCTGACTGCACCAAGCATTTCTGAATATCAAGATGCGACACAATTCTCGGTACCAATCAAGACAAATAGCTGCTATTTTTCAGATTCCGACCTTGAAAAATCCAACAGTCTACAAGACACAGTCAGAGCTCATTCCCGTATTTCTTCGAGTTCAGCCACATTTTTTGATAGTGTCCAAAAACCAATTGTCTTCAATATCAAGACATTCACTCAAGAACGACCAATAAGTGCAAGAATAGTGGAATATGGTTCTATCTTAGAGCATCTGGATTTTATGGAGAAACAGAACAGTACTGTTTTTCCAAAAAGTCTATTCAATGGATTTTGCGTGTTGTGCCGAAATTCTAAACAGCTTAATAAAATGCAGGACATCGACAATTACCATGACAAACTCAATGTTACCGCCTCTATTTTAGCTGCTGTATCTATTCGTCTAAAACACGAATTGATACATACTGCAAATAGAATTGCTTTTGCATCCGATATATTCGACATTTCTCCAACCACCAAGTTGGCTCTATTCACAATGAAGAGTTACTCAGTCTATCAACTGATTATACCTTTACGAATACTCCGAAAACTAACCCTTGAAAAACTGTCGTTTTTAATGAACTACCCAAACATAAAGAAACTCGAAATCTCTAGCCATAACTTTTTCAAGGATAAGTTTGAGCCGATTCGACAGGATTCAGACCATGCACGTATGCTTTTTATACCAATATCTACAACTGGTATCATTTTCAACCAGAGTGACACGGTTGTCGTTGGCACACCACTTGATAGGGTGAGTAAAAGGTTTACATGTAATAGATCTTGCTCTAGTTCTTCCAAATATCATTGTTGCTGTATCTCTTGACACTGAAAAGTAGTCGAATCTACAGAATGTGATGTCGAATCAACTAAAGTATCTGAATCTAACATTGATTTGCTAAAGTCGAACAGAATGTATCGACAGGGTAAAACATGTACATTCAATCCTCGGTCGGGCCAAAATACCACGCAGAGGTTGGATAATCCAAACGCTGACATCTCGCTTTTATTCAAGCCAACGGCCATACTTTCTAAAGATTTCCAGTATCCTACTCCAGTGAATTCGTATGCTACATCGCCGATTAGTTCTGTCATTCACAACTATGCAGCAGACATACAGCAAAAAACCCACATTCCAGTGGAGCCACCTTTGACAACCAACCTGACAGTCTCTAATAGAAAAGATGACATTTCTACTCCGTATAGTCCTCATCAATCTCGTATCGCGTATAAAAAAGGAAAGCAAGTCGCGCAATTGCCAAACTACTTATCCATCTCGACTGGCAATCCAAAAAACAGCCCCGTAGTGGCAACTGTGTTTGGGCTGATGCAAGTATCCAGGTTGATGAAGACCGCCAATCTAGGAAAACTAACGGCACACATGAATGGGTTTTGTGAAATTAACATCTTTTCCAATACTGGATGCTCTAGCAAGTATACTTTTAACATGACTACAATCATTAGGATCACAAATTATTCAAAAGAAACCCTACAATTTCAAACGCCAGCTGTTGCAGAACAGGTTGGAACAAGATCAGACGGACTCGGTCAAAAACTAGCAGTTGTATTTTGTGATGGCGATGATCAAACAGAGCTTTTCATTTATGCAGAGCCAAAAGAAGATTTGGCTGATGTAGAAAAATTTTGCTATCAAATACAGTTTAAATGAGGATTGCCATAACTATACTAAAGAATTTCTCGCTTTAAAATAAATAACGCTTAAATACTCTTTGATATATTGGTATAAATTGCCTGCTTTTTCAATAGACGGTGCTCATCATATGATACCCACATAGTCACTATGATTTGAATTGGGATCACTCCTTTGTGCTCATTTAGCATAAATATATTGTGATCAACAAATTTGAAAACAGATTCATGTATTGGGGTTGATCATTTTGATTTTGTCAAACTCCTTTTCGTGTATTCGAAGTATCAGATATGGCTACGCTCTAGTTTGAAACATATTTCATGTCACAGGAATGCAACCATACATGGCAATCACCCAGTGTTTACTTGTAATGTTCGTTTTTGGAAGTTGGAGATTCAACACGTATGGAACTGATTGAAGCTGTAATGTGAGCATTCATTCAGCTGCTTAATACAAGGATGGGCGTGGAGAAAGATCAGTAAACTGTTGATTAGTTTAGAGGGCACAATATTTCCTAATAAACTGGCGCCATCAAGGACCATATTTTCGGAACAGTATTTGCATAAAATTCACTCAACCACACTGCTGTACGTGGGGTTAAGTTTGTTTTGTAAACATTGGTATATTATTTGTTTGGATGGCGGGAGCATTTATCGCTCATGTTTCCTGTACCATGGCAACAATCTGACTTGTTGACTAGTTTTCTGGACAATCTGACTTGTTGATTGAATATAAAGCTTTTTTCATTTGTCTTGATCTGATACGAGACCTTGACATTCTGCCTATACATGGTTTGCATACTAGCCTAAAACACTGCGATTTTAAAGAATCCACGGTTTTGAAATGCAGTGGTTTTCTCGATGCTATCAAAATACTATCAAAATGCTATCAAAGCATGACTGGATTGAAATATAACATTTCTGTCTTTTCATTCCTTTCTCGTCAGCTAAAGGGTGGCTTGAGCAGCTCGAACAATCCATTGGGCGGAATTGCAGCTGATCACGTTGAAAAAGCCTCAACAAAGCAATGTCAGAATAATAAACTTTAATCATTCCAACACTCGACCAACCAACATTCATTACTGCCCATTGCATCAAACTCCTTTAAAAACCAACTGGATTTGAAAACTATACAATTAAAAAATGGCCCGTTTACCGTATATGCTTATATGTGCTATTGTATTACTGCAAGGTGTGATGGCCCAGTCCAGCAACGGATTGGCTGATCCTCAGCAAGCGTCTACTGCACTTAACCAGTTATGTACTGCTCCAGCCACCAAAAACTTGCTCTCCTGTTCTATTCGTGCAGCTTGCAAAAGCAGCCTAACTAGCAGCAGCGATCCATCTTGCTCAGATGCTGTACTCTTGACAACTGCATGCAAAACTGATGCTGCTGTTGCATCAGCAAGTGGTGCATGCAGTCTAGTTAGTGCCTCTTGTCCTGCTGGTAGCGAGTCCTCTATTTCACAATGCACCCCAGTCAAGGGCTTACTGCCCACTCTCACCCTACAGCAGAATATTTTCAACATCTGTACAGCCATGAAGATGGAGGGCTGTGGAGCCTGTCCTACTCCTATCGACAACAGCACTGTTGCCTCATGTGATGTGATGGGTACTTACGCTCAACTATGCACGGTAAGGAGTTTGATCTTGATGGCCACAAGAGTCGGAAATGGAGTATTGAAGATGGTTACTAATGTTGTTTTTAATAGGTAATGCCTGATATGAGCAATTGCAAGAGCATGTCTGCCATGTGTGGACAGTCTCCATTGCCCTTGGCCTTGGCTGCATACTGTCCTAATGTGGCTAGTTCACAGCCCGGCTCTCCTTCCACTTCAGCCTTTGACACCACTATTCCGGTAAGCCTATTTATGCTGATCAATGTTTTTGATTCATTGTATCACCGATAATTTATTTACACTTTTGAAAATAGGAAATGAAAATGTATCTTCATACTGGTATAACAGACTATGTTTTATTCAAGTCTTTTGTGCCGCGTACTTTGAATCAGTATGTTGGTGCAGTGGTAGTTTCTATTGCCTTGTCGATTGTGTTCTTTATCATAAGTGCCTTTCGCAAGTCTCGTTTAATCGTCCATGCTGCTTATCGCCAGACGATTGCTAAATCTACTTTCAAATTCTGGGACACAAAGACTGAGTTGTATCAACTTGAAAACGCTATCCTACGCACCCTCGAGGTGTTTGTTGGATACATGATGATGTTAATTGTCATGACATTCAACGTCGGTCTGATTATTGCTGTTTTAGCTGGCGTACTGATTGGATCTTATGTATTTGATCGTTCAACAGCTACTGCTGAAAATAGCAACGTGTGCTGCGTTTAATCGCCATTGATTTGGACTGTTTTAATCTTTAATGGGGCTGCAATCAACTCGGATCTTTTACTCGTCTTTTTGGTTTCTTTGTTCTCAACGAGTAGCTCAAGATTGTTCACGGTTTGAATCGCTTTTAAAGCAAAGCTTACTCTGACCTATTCCATGATTTTCTGTAGTTCAAACACGATTATATTGCACCAAAACCTATTTTTGTCGGATTAAATATAGCGCACGGCTTTATATGGTCAAAATATGCAAATGGATTTGATCTTGATGCTAATCATTGCCTGATTCATCTCTATGTACTAGACCGAATAAATATAAATTATTCAAATAGTCGGTCATTTTTATTGATGGTTCTTGATTTCGTATGGTTGTATCTGCTATTTGAAACATCAAGATTGAGCATCAAGAGCCGAGTTTTTACAAACGTATTCACATGAAATAGAACATCAAATAGGTGTCAATACTACTGGACAACACTGTCCTTTTGAATTATTGTTTAGAAACGGGGTTTGGTGGTTTTATCATTCAAGCATGTCCTTTTACGTATGAATTTCCACTTTTATGTGATAACCTTGTATATTGCCACCAAAATCAACACATCAAGCATTTATTGATGGTTTAGCTACCTTTTAATCACCAGCACTTGGACAACGAAATGCTGCAAGCGTACTCGTGGACTTTTATCAAGCGCAAATGCCAGCCAACAATATCAATGATCTTGAAAACAATACCACGTACAAAACCCAACATTTGTAAGTGACGGACAGATTAGTAACGAGTAATGTGACCAGGATTTATTGGGAATATTCAAACAAATATCCAGATTGTAATGAGCGAATCTGATGATCGCACAGTGTATGGCTATGCAAAGGTAAAACTGCAAGATCTAAACACAGCAGTTCAAAACTATTGCTTGTAATCATATGATGGTCGGTATGTTTTCAGACTGATCAAAGTAGTTGTCGAGGCTTTCTAAACAACGATATACAACATCTCCAAACACGCATATTATTCTAAACAGCATTCCATTTCACAAAGCAACTGTATGATTAGACATGGTTTACCAGCCATTCAACAAACAACACGATGATTAAGACTACACTACTCCATATTACACATCGAATTCTCCAAAAAACGATTCGGGTATAATAAATAATGGGCTTATGCGTCAGTAATTCCAAACACCGAGAAGCTGAGGATATTCATTGAAGCAATCAACCTGTAGTAGAAAAGCAGCAAACGTTTGATCATTGTTTATTACAAAGCAAAATAGAGGCAGTTATTGCAAGATAAATGCAAATTCTATTGTATGTGAATATGACCGTAATATATTGACACAGCAGATATTTTGATTGAAATCATTGCTTGTGAACGCATGTCTAAAAGCTTGTAAAGTATCGTCCAAGAGTATCGGTGATCTGAACTACGCTAAACAGCATTCTTTTGTTATTCTAGCTGTCTTGTCTAGATGGCAATGTACTGTTTAGTAATTTATTTGTCAGGAAAGCTTATTTCTTAACTGGAGTTCACTCTACAAAGCTATAAAACCCATAGAATTGCATATATAGACAGCAAGCTTCAAGGCATGATCAATATCCAGTTACAGTTGTTTTAGAATGGAGAGTTGATCTTGTCTAGTTTTTGAGTAATAAAACTTTATGGATGTGTTGGATTTTGCCAAATGCTATTGGTAAAAACATGTGCTGAACGGTCGAGTATTTCTTTTGGAAGTGTTGGTCATTCATGTTTCAACTCCAGCTGCAGCCATACATGCTCGCCATCCAAACCATTGTCAGGGTTAGGGTTGTGTTGAGCTCGGTGTTATACGATAGGTATCAAGAGGGAGTGACCATTGAGAGAGTTGCCGATCGCTGACAGTAAATAAGGGGTACCAATATCTAGGGCACATTTAGGATACGACGGAAACAGGCTAACAATGGTATACTATATACAAATGCTATAAAATGCTAGTTGTTTAGCAAGTCATAGTCTTGTCAAGTCAATGGCATCACAAGATTGCTAGCTCAGCTAGTCCAAGTGCCACTTTTGTTTCTTTGTGATTGAGCAGGATGGCAATGGTATTGAGTCACCAGCGATTGAGTGTCATTTTTACAAAAATAAAAACGCAAGTATTTATTTGTATCGCACTTGGTTAACGTCATTATGCCACTCATGTATCAACCATGTGTAGCTGGTATCAAAGTGAACAAGATTACTATTGAATCACAACACAATGACAGTTTATGCGCGAGAAAATAACCAACTGTTGTTGGGGAAGAATGCATAGGCGAACCATTTGGACTCGCAACAATCTACTTTAGAAAATGCATCGTTTTATTCTATAAGCAATCCGAGGCCATTCGTATGGACATAATCTAGGACCTTCTATATAATATGCGGCTATAAATTAACAAACTAAATGACAACTTAGATGATCAAAAAGTAGGCTAAGGGTGGGCTGTGGAGCGGTTTGTTTGCCCAGACATTAATACCAATAAGAGAAATAATAATCCAGCAGTTTCTTTCGTTTTTCAACTGTGTAGTGCTTGTTGACCAAGCCAATTTGTTTGTATAGTATGATTGCTTTTTTCAACATGTCATTTTCGTCATGTGCTGCATGCTGGATGAGTGTCCTTGTTATAGATTATCAAGGCCATGTAGTGAAGTAGGAAGCAGGGCTAGGATACAAATTGGTGTAGAGTTACAATCACAACCCTACCAAAAATGACGGTCTCCTAGACACGAGCCAGATGGGTAGGGTTGTGCACAAAACAAGTGTAGCTTGTATACTTGTGCTCGGACAGAATGGAAAAACAAACCACGTATTTAGTTGTGTAATGTGAATGGCTCTACACCGTATTGGAGAATCAAAAAATTTGTGCGACTCCATCAGCAAGCCTAGTCCGGATAATGGCCAACTCCTGCCCACCTGCAAAGTATCGCACCCGTATTTATTGTCGATATGTGGATTGCAGGGTTTCCGGTTCAACAGCATTGTCAAAGTGCACCAGTCTAAGACTCCCTTGCTGAGAGAAACTGCCTATCAAAATAGCTACACAAATTGTACATCTGACTAGGGGAGGGGTTACAACGAACACCCGACATGCTCACACCAACGAATGGTAACACAGCAAAGCATAGTGCTTTAAACCGCACATAATACGTGTTACAACGGTTTGTGTTGTAAGAGCGTTTTTGCCCCATCACCCTCCCTTCACCGTTACATCTGAAAATAGTTAATAAAGACGGTTATTGGCCCTCATTTTAATCTCAGATAATCCCAAACTCTTCTAGGTTTGAGCCCTTCCTGATTTCCCCTCCCTCAACTTAACCTTTAGAGGAATAAACGCTCCATTTAATAGCATACTCGATTATAATAATGAATGCCCATCAGCAACATCAGACGTACTCTCATACACAGCAGCCTATCTATCAAATGCAGCACCCGTATCAAGATTCCCATTATCCTCCGCAATCAGGACATTCACAACATCACATGCAGCCTCAGCATTTGCAACCTCAACCCCAGCATCTGCAACATTTACAACAGCAGCAATCGCTTCTTAATCAGCTTCAACAGCTTCATTCAAATTTGAATCACAGTCGATCTCACTCATTCAGCTCCGATATGGAGCATCCTTTTCACTCGGTTAGTCCTGGCATGCCAGGCCAGCATCAAAATGACATAGATCTTTTCCAACCAGCACAGTACCAGCAGTACTATATGCAACAGCATCTTGCTCAGAATGGGATGAATGACTCGGGAAACTTTAGTGACTCTGGCTCAACACAACTTTCATCGACTCGTCCATCGTTGACCAACAGCCTTCTTCACGATCCTTACATTGAAAGACCGCGTTCTGCACCTGGCATGCGTCTTGGACGTCCGGCTTCAACTCGCAGACTTGCTGGTCGCAGGTCTTCCGTCTCTTCCAGCCCTGTAGCTGCTGAAAATCTCAAGTCGGTGTCTTCTTCACCAGCGTACACACCTGTTACGGTTGACACCAGCACTCCCCGTGGCGGAAAGCGCTACGTTTGCACTTTTGAGGACTGTGGCTCTCGCTTCAAGACTGGCACACATTTGCGTCGTCACCGATCTGTTCATTCCAAGGATCGACCATTTCCATGTCCCTTTGAGAACTGCTCCTCGCGCTTTACTCGCCAGGACAATCTGAACCAACATATGCGTCATTGTCGTTTGAATCCATCACCTAATTCGCGCACTAGCTCTCCCGCAAAGCGTCTTGAGCTGCTACGATGCGAGTCTCCCCTAAGTACTTCTGACGAAAGTTCAAACAAACGATCAGGCACCTTGTTTCCCCGTAGTTCTACGTTTGATTCTGTCAGCTCCAACCTATCTACAGCTGCGCCCACTCCTTACCGCTCACATCCTTCCATGGCTGCCGCCATTACGGCCAAGCAAGCACTTGAGCGTATTAAGCGTGACACTATAGCTGACTCAGATTTTAACGGTACCAACAATTTTCTGCTTGGAAATGGTTCGTTTGGCTTCAATCAGAATGGCAGCTATAGTAGCTTTGACAGCGACGATTCCTCTAATCCCCAGCTCAAGAATATTGATTCTAATTCCAACAACCTGCCTACCCCAATTGCCTCCCCTTCGTTTGGTCCTATCCAAGGCGATGCTTTTGCTCAAAGACTTGTGGCCCCGTTTATGGTTTCACAGTCTCCATCTTCCAGCCCACTGGTTGAAGGAAGCACTGCACATCGTCCTCTTTTGCCTAACCTTGGATTTGATTCGTCTACATTTGCGTCACCCATTTCTGGTGCCGAAACCAATAGCGCCAGAATAGATTCTGATGGTCATGGCAGCAGTGCTTTGTACTCCCATCCTATGAATCTCACTTACCATCCCATCTCCCACCAATCTGCTGACTCCCCCGCTTTGTCTGAAATGATGCCGTTTGGTAATCTATCCCTCGAGTCGGATGATCACTACATGGCTCAATTTCTGCCGCAACAGCCCAGCTATCAACCTTGGGAACAACAAAACTCCGCTTCTACCGAAGCATTACCTGCAACCACCCAGTCGGAAGAAAGCACTTATCTTCCCATTTTTCCCGAAAACAACAACCTCGACACCTTTTTGACTTCACTTATTGGGGATAACCAAACTCAGGTTTCGGGGTCAACCAAGGACGAAGCCGACGAGCCGCAAGCTCAAGCCCAAGCTCAAGCTCAAACTGCTACAACTCCTCACACCACCAACTCTGGCAGTCAGCCCATACATGCAAAGCATTCGACTCTGATTTCCAATACACCCGCTGGTTTGATGCAGTCCAACTTCCCTGCTGCTGCACCCAACAACATGCAGCCTTGATCTTGCATCCTTAAAATTCCTTCATTAAAAATTGGTCTTCAAAGGTGCAAACTGGGATTGTTTATTGGTCGTCTTCTTGATCTGATCTTTTAATGAGAGACGATCTCAGCTCAATCCCCGAGGCCAGTTTCTTTGAAGCTTTCAATGTTTTTGCATTGTGCTAGTGTTGCTTGGCACACTTTTTTAGAATATCCATCGTTGTTGCTACCTCATTAAACCATTTAAAAAATTAATTAAAGTATACTTTTTTCAAGATATTGCATAATGCATGGTTTAAATAGATGAGGTTTATGGTGTGGTGGGCAGATTCTGGAATCTCAGTACAGTTGCTACACAGGTTATAGCTGCTGGACCATATCATACAGCCTTTGGGTCAATGTGCGGCATTTGACATCGTTTTCCATCACAGCACGTTCCTTTAATCGTATCCGAAGCTGAGCAACTGTTTCAAGATCGAGCAATAAACGATCCATTCCTGCCAAAGCCGCACTAATGATTTTAAGACATTCTAGCCTAACAAGTTGATGTGGATAGTTTAATCCCTCAAACAACATGCTTACGAGAGGTCGAGTTTGGATTGGATTGGGCGTCGCATACGAGCTACGAGTGGTAATAAACATAAATAGAAATAGCGACTAGTAATGATTCAAATATTAGTAAATGAAGTCGGATTGCATTTTCAGTAGTAAGCAGCATGAATACAAACGTACTTGCAACATCGCTGCTATAACAATTTCAGGTCGATGTATTTCAGTTTCTGTAGTGCTGCATTTGGCTTGTTGCAGTATTGTCATACATACATCAACCAGTAAAGGAGCAAGCTGGTGATAAAGCCATAAAAAGGCATTTGCATTTCGAGGCTCAATCTCATGGGAAATCGTAGCGGCTTGTGATGGATCTATAGTTGTAGAGGTTCCATGCTTGGATCCTGAAAGGCAGAGTAATTTGACTGCAAAATGAATCGCATTTGCTAGACCTGTTGTAAGACTACATCGAAATTCCATATCATCTACATTTACTGAATCCTTCTGAAATAGCTGCCGATACAATATTTGAATGCTTTGCGGTAAACGTGAATATGGGTCAAGACATTGCTTGATCGACTCGGTAACATCTGCAATCGACACGATAGGTTGGACAGTCGTGTTGTCATCCATAGTTTTCAAACCGACTTTTGATGCGGGCATACTTTTGACACTGGCTCTATTCGCTCCTTTTGTTTCCTCGATGGGATCGCCCGATTTGTAAATATGTGTTGGCAGAACATGAGATGAGTTGGATTTTGCTTCGTTGCATATAATCAGTGACAACAGCTCAATCGATCCCGATTGGATCTTTGAAAGAATAGTTTCTTTTTCGTTTGCTTCACAGCCAATAGCCAAAGACAAGTCTGGTTTCCATGCTATCGTCAAAAACATTCGCGAGCCAAGTGATTTCAGCATCTCATTCTCCATAGTCCCAAATGAACTTCTTGCCATTACAGCATGGCATCCAATAAATATGATTAGTCGAGTACAGCGTAAATTGCTCGAAAAAATCACTTTATCCAGCTTGGTTACAAACAACGAGTGGGTGATGTACCACAAAGGCAGCTGAGCAATAACTTGACATGCTAGTTTCTGAACATCTTCAAATTCCAATGGATACTCAATCCGTACAAGCAGGCAATCTGCCAGTCGGCTAATAAGCATACAATCGCTCAAAGCAGAGCAAGAGGTGTAACCATCATCGTCAGATTTATAACTACTATCCATCTGCCAGTAATCTTTTGGCTCATCAAATTGTTCCAAGTATGGAAGTCGATCTAACGCTTCAAGCGGAATCATCTAAATTCACCGATAATCATTCAAGCTAAATGAGAATCTAAACTCAAATAAACGCATGTACACATCTAAATATGCATTGAAACACCACCTTTAAAATAAGTAGTGGGCAGAGTCGTGCAAAAAGAACAGTCTCGACTGCATTTGGAATCTCTGACAAAAGTAGATTCTCTGCAAGTCTGCTCAGTTCAACAACCGTGTTTAAATTAGTTTTGCAATCAACACCAAAATAAAGCACTTGTAACATTGATTACTCTAATAAATACATACCTAGGCTGTGTACTCATGATATTAATGCAAATTCGAATGACTTTAATACACGATGATGAGCTTTGTAACAAAACTGGAATAAATGAACTGAGTATACGAACTAAAAGTGGGTCGCTAGGACATCCATACAGCTTCTGTACCAATATTGAAATTAAATCATCGGCTTGCTCGTCTATCTTTTCGACACATTTAGAAAATACTCGAAATAAGCGGTCTATTTTTGTTACAGTATCGTGTGTATTCGATGAAGTCGGTGTTTGGATCGGTAATCGCCCAATTTGTGCAGGAGAATCATACTTGGGAGGCCGGCAATATGGTTTCTGAGCATTCATGACTCTGTATACAAAATTAAGTTTGTCAGAATTCAACTGCTGTCAGAATTATATCGAATCAACTACGCTTACCGAATATATTCTATAAAAATTTCCAATGCGCTCAGCTGGGGGTTGCTACACAATAGTAACTGCACTAAAATACTTTCGGATGTGAACTGTTCATGTTCATCACGACTGAATAATTTTTCTGCAAGTGTTGGAATTACAAGCAGTGGATCTATACAAAAGCATAGTTAAAATCAACACGATAGTATATTCATAATCAAAACAACTGCATTTACCCATCATTGAAAATATATAGACTACTTGCTCATGAAACTCTAAATTAATGTTTTTGAGAGATCTGAGAAAATGCTTTCCGATATATTGGCTGTATAATAGGCAAGCATGACATTAGTCTGGTACAGTTTTTAAAACAGCATTGAATAGTTTGTTGAAACACTGTCAAATCAATCATACCAGCAAGAGTAACTTGCCTTATTTTAAAGTGAGGATTGCTTTTGATTTGTTCCTTGTTCAATTCCAAAACTTGTTGCAAAATAAACAATCCATTTTGACGAACAGCCATGGATTCTGATGACAGCAGAACAAACATGTCCTTGAGCGCTGCTTGAGGATGTATAACAGCAAATTCGGCAATTACACCAGCAATATCTTGCAACAAAGATATGTCGTACAATTGGTGCACACTCTCATCGTTTTCAATGCAAAACATTGCAGCAAGAGGATCCATTATAGATGTAAACATTCCCGAATCTAGCGCAACCAAAGTTTGTCGTAATAAATCAAATGCAAGAGATCTGAGTTGTTTGCTTTGAGTTTGATGGATCTACATAACACAGTAAAAGTAATTAAAATCACAGTATTAGCCCAGCTGACTTTTTAAAATAAAAAACCTATATCAGCCCTATTTTAAAAACATTGGATGAAATACGTACTGAAACTGATATTAATTTTAAAAGCTGCTGCTGAACCAGTAAACTACTAACAACCGTATCCATTTGTTCTTGTGATACTGCAGCTAATACAGCACATGTTTGAATTAATTTTAACATGAAATCACGCTCCTTGTTTTCATCAATGCACACATATCAAATAGTTTAGTGGCTTGAAAAATGCAATTTAAATAAGCCAATAGCATAGATTAAGCATTAAAGATCCTACCTTTTCCAGTATGCTCTCTAGTTTCTTGATTATTTTATTGCTAGAAAAGTATTCTCTTGGAACAATAGCTTTTGAAATCGTAGCCACAAGCACCGCTAGAGATTCTATAACCATTAAAATAAGTACCAAGTAATGTCTTGGTTACCAGCATATTTACCACACAAGGAAACATACCGTGTGTTTGAGGAAGTTGATCCATCTCATCTTGAACAATTAATGCGATTTTTTTAAAAAAAGGTGCATACAATCGATTATCGGACAGATACTATATAAATAGTTGATTAATTGTATATTTTTAAAACTCTAAACTGCAGTGCACACTCTATGTATAGGATATACAAATAACTCCACCTTGGACATTGATTGAATATATAAAACCAAATGCCCTGCTGTATTTCTAATACACGAGTCATCCTGAATAAGTACTCTTTTTTCAGAATTTGTAATGGATGATTTTTGTGCTACAGCAAGAGCATCAGATCTAAGCTGCACCAAAATGACTGTTGATGCTAGGATTGTCAGTCTAGTTTTTTGGAACTGACCAACAGACTCGTTTAACATTCTACAAACATTCAATAGTGTTAGCATTAAATCAATCAGCAGTAGTAGTTTTTATTGCACATGGTAGTGACACATCAGCTACTTGCTTATCGGTACAAAAATAGTCAACCTACCCGTCTGAATCAACGCATTTTAGTAGATACGGAATTAGTGCTTGAAAAAGACGCTGTCTATAATTCTCCAATTCCGTGCTCTTGGAAGAGATGCATTTATCATTGGTAGTCTCATTTAACAAAACAAATTCTAAAAATAGCACAACAGCGAGTTTGGACGACCGAGTGCCATTCTGCATGCACTCTACAAGCCCATCTACAATTAGTTTGTTGATATCTGATCGATGCAATAAGATAGAGAGAACCGTGTATGCGGATATGCGTGTATCTGCAGGTTCAATGACAAGAATCTGATGAAATTGAGTAGTAAAAATTGACATTGAAATATGAATGATTAGTTTGTTGTATTCATTTTGATAATTATACAAACAAGGGCAGTTTTACCTTTTCCTCAATAAGTCGATAGACTTTAGAGAAACCAGTAAAAGTGGATACAATATGAGCAGCAATCAGATCAAATCCTCGAGAAATGGGAGCTTCAAGATTAAAAACATTAGTTGTATAAACACTAGTGATTGACTATCAAAATACAAGGCAATAATCATACTCTGTAATCGCCCAAAAGCAGTGCCATGCACAAGTTGGGCTGATCGGATGCTGAGTAGCTGCGCAAGCATTTCTCCCCACGACGACGCTTTTGTTTTATTCAATACATGCTGTAGATGAGTAGGATGTACAGAGCCATCACCAATCCCAGATGAATCCATGTGTAGTTGAATATCCAAGAAACCAACAGCAGTTCAAGCCAAACAGTGATCGTCTCCGATCAGAAATAACTGTAATCAGCCACATGACTAATTTTTGTTTTTGAAATCAGCAAGTGCGACCATCAACAATGGATTCTACAGAGTCTGTGGGTCCTTGTTGGTCATTGGCAGACACCATGCAAAGTCTTTTGGACAAACGTGTTAGAAATGGACTGCTAAGGTCAATCGCTTTGCCAACACAACTAATACTGGATCAGCATCGCACTATGGTCGATTTTTCTTCCAATGACTATATGGGACTCTCTCATAATACTAATCTCTCGTATCAAATTAACCAGATACTAATCAACAACAACAATCTAATTCAGTCACAGTCTACTTCAGTCTCGCAACAGTTGCCACAGGTTGCACGAATTGGATCGACTGGTTCCAGATTGCTGGCTGGAAATTCTGTAGATGCCGTATCACTGGAAAATATGTTGGTGTCACATTATACATCCAAAAGCACCAATGACGTTGCAAGCAGCAACTTCAAATCACCTTACAAGGCACTGCTGTTCAATTCCGGATATGATGCAAATCTATCGCTTTTTTCGGCAATTCCTCAATCAAATGTACTTGTTTTGTACGATGAACTTATCCATGCCTCAGTTCATGATGGTCTAAGACTACGTCGATTTGGCAAAATCAAATCATTCAAACACAACGATATTATAAATGTGAAAAATATACTGGATGCATTTTTTACCGAGGAAGCATCGGACACGGACATGTCCAATAGATGCGCGGTTATTGCTGTCGAAGCCGTGTATTCTATGGACGGTGATGTAGCACCACTACTAGAACTAGCCAAAATTTCAAAAATGTATAAAGGAAAAGTTAATTTAATTATTGATGAGGTATTTTGATGTCGCTTTTGACTTTCAATCTTTTAACAGCGTATATTAAATGCTGATTGTTATCTAGGCTAAACTATAGCCTTGACTTTTTTGTAAAATTCAATCTAGGCACACTCGACAGGTGTGATTGGAGAAAGAGGAGCTGGACTAGTGCATGATCTTGATATAGAGGATGCTGTTTTTGCAAGATTACATACGTTTGGAAAGGGAATGGGCTCGCATGGCGGTAGGTTCAGCCATTTATTTTGAATATTATTTTGACCGAGTACATTTAAACCATATCAACTTTGTATTTGTATGATTTGTCTGAATTATTAGCTGTCGTGATTGGATCTTCTACACTGATTGAATTTTTAGTCAACTTTGGTCGGCCTTTGATATACTCTACAATGATGTCTTTTCATAGTCTTGTAGAAATCCGCACATCTCATAAATTTGTTGCTACTCATTGGAAATCAGTACGTGAATCAAGATATTTGACTTGCAATATATAGACACCTTTAATTATTCAAAACTAATATGGATTGTCAATCTTAGTTGCAGGATACTTTGAAAGCAAAAATAGTATTGTTTCGAAATTTGATGCATTCAATGCCACCAGGTGCTCAACTCTTGGGATCCATGACGGCAATTCAAGGCATTGTACTTCCAGGTCTGTCATTTAATGCGAGTCATGTACAAGTAGCATCATTATTGATGATAGCATTCATTTAAACTGAAAGAATTTACAACTAATGTTTGACTCGTAACTGGAGACTAGGCAATGAGAATGTCAATACTTTGGCTCATATTCTTTTATCCTGTGGACAGAGTGTACGACCTATTCGATTTCCAACAGTACCTAAAGGTTCAGAACGAGTGCGCATTTGCATTCATGTCCATAACACGGACAAGGAGATTAAAGCGCTGTCCCAGGATTGCCTGGCAGCTTTAAAGTTGGTTTTGTCAAAACCTGCTAAACTGTAATTATTTGGCATTGGCTTGAATAATGCTATATTGATGCAATCTATTGAACCCCGTACATGCACGATACAGTAGATCAAAAACTCGATGGCTGGTTTAAAGCATCACGATTAAACCAGCCATCAAGTATCCACGCGGTGGGCAAGATTAAAGTGGTGATTGCTGTCAAAGGGTCAATAGATTGAACCAAAAAATATTAGTATTACTGAAAAATAAATTGGCTTAAATTTCCTTTTTTAGAATCATCTTGATTTTGTAGCAAGTCATCTGCTTAACTATTTTCTTAGTGATTGCTCGATAATTAAAAAACAATATAGCTTAAAACAGTCACATCTAATCACATTTCGATATATTTAAACTAATAATATGTCATTGATCAATCTATCAACTACTCAAGTAAGTGTCACAGACGGCAATGATGTCAAGTTGGCAGACTCACAAAAAGTAGCTTTAGAGCAACAAATTCACCAACATCCATCGCCTTTGGATAAAGATCATCCGTTGCCACTTGTAACTACTTTGCCTGATAAAAACGACCATTCTGTTCTTGCTACAGCAAAGATAGCTGACAAAGCGGCAGAGAATCCATCAAAAACCAGCCATTTGTTAAACGTTGTTGCTCTTGAAAAAACAGCAAGTCAAGACAAATTGGAAGCATCAGCGATCATAAATGCAGTAGACAACGGTATCCATCATTTTCATGGTACTAGTCAGAAAACGAATGAAAACAGTAGCACTCTATTGCCCTATGATGATGTACGGATCGAGTCTACTGCAGATACTTTTGCAAATTTTTCAGAGGGCGTAAATCGCATTAGTGGCAGTGCAGATGATGCGCTGCAGGCTTTGAATCCAGTAGCCGACAACCATTCAGAATCGATTGAATCTAGTAATCCAGCAACTAGTACTGCGGATGATCATTCTTTGGCCAGACCATCACAGACTTGTACTGTAGCGGCCACGCCAATGAGAAGGTCGCATCTCAATCGATATTACCCAATCACGACTTCTCGAAGTTCACCTTTGGCAAATGTCATCACTCTTTATGAAGACGAGTCTGACTCTGAAAAAGATACAACCAGCTCACTCAAAAGCTACAGCAAACAGAGCCCGCCGTTAGTATTGGATCATGACACCACTTATACTTTTAAAGAGCAGCCAGTGACTGAGCCAGCCATTCCAATTGAACTACAGCCATCCCTGCAACAGAAAATCAAGCCCTCATCACGAGACCATAACCCGTCTATCAAGCCACGCTTGGAACCTCCTTCAGATGCATGCTCACCACTATTTAACTGGCTTACTTCCTTCTGGTCCAAGCCTGAAAGAAAACAGCCTCAATCCTCCATGAATTCATATATACACCGTTCTAATCAGAATCTCTCTAGATCGAGTCTGGACAGAAATGGACTACATGGTAGCAATACCACTGGTTGGGGGGAACGTAATTCTCCACTTCCTCGCTCACCCGGCGGTAATAAACCATCTGAAACGCTACCTATTACATCTAAGCATCCAAATACTAATACAATTCCATCAGATCGGCCTTCTGCTCCATTGCATACGCCATCCCAAACATCACCAATCCATTTAATCAATCAGCCTAATCCTCTACTTTCTCCCAATCCCAATTATACGGTTGATAATTCACCTCTTGAAACCCAAATGCGTGCAGAATCGTTTGAATCACGACTATCAACTTCTGATCGTCATCGTATTATTCTTAAAGGAGCTTGTCCAGTATGTTCGGGAGCACAATTTATTTCCAGTGATATCATATGTCCGGCGTGCAATGGTACTGGTCACTCTATCAATACAAAGCCGAAAAAATGGTGGCAGATTTTTAGCCAACGATCGCACAACTACCAAAGACCTATTTCTCCATCGCCCAATAAATTCGCTCTTGAAAAAGATCAAGCGGGTCCTTCAATGAGCACGAGCAAGCTCGAAGCTAATGGCGAATCTGATTCTCGGAAAAAAAGCGTCGAGGCTCCCAAAGCTTCTCCTGCAATGAACTCGAATCCTTTGTCTGAATCAGTGGTTATGCGCGACACTAATAGCTCTTTTCCGTCGCCATCATCTAGATCTCCGTCACCGCATTGGTCTGGGTCAACACGCAACCAAATTCCTTTTGCGTCGTACAATGGAATGGCTGCAGCCATACCTGAACTAAAGTCTGCTAATTATCTTGATCCAAACTCTGACATGCCACACATTCATGATCGTGCTAATCCTTTGTCGACCCAGTTGCTATCTGCTCTAGATCCTGGGCCCGTAAGCTCATGGGCACGTGAAGTGCCATCTAAAGTGGACACTGCATCGTATTATATACGAGTTGCTCCTGGAGGAGATCATGAAATACTAGGCGACCCTCTTTATCTCAAAGCAAAGTATCCATCCTCCTCTTATCATTCTATATCACAGTATCCTTCTTTGGAAAATAGGCCTGATCAGTATAATGCTTCATATCGCCCATCATCGCCTATTTCAACGCATACTTTGAAATCCAAAAACCTTGTATCGACTCATGTTCCTGCTGACCCAGTCGTTGAATCACTTGAAAGCACACGTCATGAATTTGAAGAACCACAATGGCAGTTTGTATCTGAGCGCCTTGAAAAGATTTTTGACGACTTTCAAAATGGCGACAGCTTTACAGAGCTGGCAGACAAATGGGCCACATCTACAACCAATCATAGTAGTGCGACTGTTACATTAGCTTTAGAGCAACCCGACTCAGTGCATGCTTAATTTACTCGTGTTTCTGTAATCTGTTGTAGCAACTGGTATCTCTGGTTTAAAATGCAATCTTTTACCCATATTTCAAACTCAATCATGTCAACATCTTCAATGCCACAATGCACAAGCAATAAAATCACTCTGAATCAAGTCGTTTATTTCATCTAAAACACTCCATTTCAATTCTGATGAGGATTCTGCAAAACTATAAGAATATACTCTTTATCTATATAAATTTAAACATATGTGTTAGTGCGTTGACTCGAATCCGACTAATTAGCAGTATGTAGGTTGAGCCATCGGAAAAAGTAGATAGTCAATTTTCACGTCAACACTTTACCTGGTGCTACCATGATTTCATGCTTCTTGGATCTGATACGGAGAAACGTAAGATCATTCTAAAAACAATCAACCAGAATCAAAGAATTTCATTCTATTTAGCACATGTGTTTTCTATTTTGGATCATTGAAACATCTTTTTGCCATATATGTATAGGCTCGTGTTCCAACACCAGCACACATTCAATACATAATCAAGGAACACCCACCTGTGGATCCAGATCTCGCACCACACTCCTCGCCTTGGCAGCAAGTTGTGTAATCAGCGCAGAATATTGAATCGTCTTGTCATGGTCTAATGTAGTGCGAATGGGAATACCCTCCATGTTGACAATCACGATACCTTCAACCCCTTTGTGAGATGAAAGTCTCTTGATAGTTTCTTCAACTTCGGACTGAATGTATCAAAATAATAATAAACAAATGTCATGAATCAAAAATAGACTTTCGAGTTAGTGGCTTGATAAGTAGGTTGAGGTTATCAAAATTATAGCTGATGGACTACTATCCAACATTATATCAAGAACAGTTCTGAATGCATACAGACTCTAAACAAAAGAGTTGATGTGACTAAAAGTCTAGGGCTAGTATGTTTGAACCAGATAGTCCAGATATACTAACTGTTTCTTGGCAGCTAGTATATCAGGAAAATCTGTTGGGCAGGTACTGCCCAACTACTCTACCATACCAACCAGCACTATATCATACCAACAAAAAGATGAACTACTTACCATTGTGCAAATAGACTAATGGGTTCTGGTAATGGTTTAGATAAATACTAGCGGTCAAAGCAGTGGTTTTACAGCCGTATTCACGTAAAATGGAATACTTTTCTGTATTTATCTTGCAGTGATTTCCTTTCCTTTGCTTTAGAATAATGGCTGAATATCTTCCACTTTCTTGATAGGAATTGATATTCTCGACTCTTTAAACCATAATATTCATCATATGATGCACATATAAACTGTAACTTTGAACTGAGCTTATTCCTTCTCTCCATTTGGTATAATCATGCATTGTACGATCAACAACTCGGAACCCAAACTCATGAATCCCAATGTATATATCCTTGTTGTGATAAAATGCATCAAGACAATATAAAAGTTTTGGAATATAGATGCAAGTTTTATTTACTAATAAACTTGTTGAGTTCATCTCCTCATTCGGCAGAACAAATCGATTGGTTTGGCAAAAAAATGTTCAATAGCTTCAAGCAATATACAGCCAGCCGGTTGATTATATATGAAATATGGGAATATAGATAATGGCAATGCCTTTCAAACAACGAGCCCGATAATGAAATAAATTAGCTACAAAAAGCTAGGCAGTCGGAACGCCAAACATGTAAAAATCCATCAGTCAATGCGCCGAGCCAAAAACTAGATTCATAGCCAGTAGTGATGAATCTACATACATTCGCTCTTGGAAAGGGAAAACATCTTGTCTAAAGCAAGTGCAAGTCGGCATGGATTGCTGTCAATTCCAGTATCCCCATCATCCACAAAATTGTCAAACAGTCCAGTATTGTCAAGGATCATATTTTCACAGGATGAAGAGACAGACTGCATATGAATAGACCCAGCCTTGATGGTCGGACATGCTGCAGACTTGTAGCTCCAAGTATGACTGGCTTGAGTGTTTTGAAGTGGAAAGCATAAATCGAATGAGTGGGTATCTGCGTGTGATGAAACAGTGTCAGCCATAGATGACTGGTATGAGAATGAATGACTCTGAATGGGCTGGATGGTATATCCAAGCATGCAGTTGGACAGAAATGCAGTTGATGTAGTGGCTGCTACGACCAGATCTGTTGGAGTAGGTGTAGCATCTTGTGAAATAGCAACTGGTGTGACCAATGCAGGCGACGACGACTCCCATCCATCCAAGCTTTCGCTAACCATGAGTTCGGCTACCAGCGTGCTGGAATCACAATTTGATTCAAACATATCTCTGTCATCTTCATGAAAGTCGGCATCTTGAGGGGTTTTTCGCAATGCATAAGAATGGTCAGAAATGGGAGAATCGACGATATGCTTTTCCTCTGCCTCGTCACTGCTGTCCTCGTTATACTCATCCTCGTCTTCCAAGTATTGCTTCCAAGGTCGTCGACCAGATCCAATGCGACGAGTAGTAGGTTTTGCGGCTTTGATTTTATCCAAAATTCGCACCCATCGAGATATCATAGATTTATGGACACCATATTTGAACGCAGCTTGACCCTGCGATGTTTTTTCAGCGTATCGGATAATCTTAAGCTTCTCTGCTGCCGAGTACGAATACCTTTTGGTGGGCTTTTCAATAGGCCGAATCAAGCTGGAGTTAGTCATGACTACTATGGTATTCTATCTACGTTTGATAAATGCAATTACAGGACGGGTTGTCGAAGCCCCACATTGTTAGCATTGTATTTTGTAAAGTAAAATAACGATCGTGAGGTGAGAAAGAACCAACAGATCAAGCCAAATCAAATGATTTGCAATCAAAAGCATGGCAAGGGAATACTGTTATATTTACCGAAAATCAAAAAGTCGAGGTTTGGCAATGTCGTTGTTCAGATTGAATACCGAAACAATGAGCAGACTTGGCAGGATATAAGCCTGACACAATGTATAGATATATACCAAAAAAGGCTAATAAAGCCAATCGGTTTTAAGAATAGACAGAATTATCTTGTCAATCAAGATCAGCACTTGCAAAAAGTAAATCGGTTATGGTGAGTCAAACCACTAGCAGATACAAAGCAAATGGATAGGTTGAAATGGTATAGTAGTCCAATCTGGTTTGACAAAATCTCTGGCTATACAATCACAGATATACTCTGCTAGAACCACAGCGATCAATAGAATAGGCGGGCTGAATTTGCCATTCTCACAGCGAGCCTTTTTATAGAATCAAAATCTCACAACCTGTCATGTCAAGCATGATGGCTGCCTGTCAATATAGTTGCTGATGATCCAATTTATTTTTTTCTGCTTGTGGGTTTCCCACGATTTCTGTTCAATGTTGAAAATGTCAATCCCAAAGACCAATGTGTTGCACATTACAGCCGTACTCACGTAAAATGAAGCATTTGTATGTATCGTGCAACCACTGCCTCTTTTGCTTTGGAATATGCAATAGTTAAATCTCTGTTCCACTTGATAGAAATTGATATTCTCGACTCTTTAAACCATAATATTCATCATATGATGCACATATAAACTGTAACTTTGAACTGAACGTGCCCTTTCTCTCCATTTGACATAATCATGCATTGTACAATCAACAACTCGAAATCCAAATTCCTGCATTGTATACTATATATATTGAATTCGACTGTTTTGATGTTGTCAAAACACTACAAACTCGAATACATTCGCGCTCTAGTTCAAGAAAATAAAAATTGCATGTCGTTCCCATGCCAACTATCAGGAGAGGGATCGGTAAACCAACAGCAATCATGCCATGAAACCGACTGTTTATCATGTACTCTGATCCTTTTATTTAGTGTCCCATTCTACGTGAATACGACTGAAATGTTTTCAGTTTAAACGAGTTTAGAAATCAATCAAATTTCACTGAGCATTACTGTCGAGTACGCTGTCACTACTTTGCTGTGCATTGAAACTGAGTTTGAATCACTAGAATCAACTAGCCTCATTATTGATCCTTGCTCGTTCCCTTGATGGTCGCGATGATGGCGTCTACAGTTGTCAAATATGTGCCCCGTGTAAAACACCGTCCAGTCACTCGTGCATGCTGTTTTTCAGTTATCTCCAACTTCACAGCCCTTATTTTATTCATACAATCGGGGTGAAGATGCTAGTGTTTTATGCAACTACTGTTCACAAGGGAGCGAGGTTCAAAATATGGCATAGTGTGTATTTATAAACCCTCAAACTAATGATCTGTCCTGACAATGTTTTTAAACCTTGTCCAAATTCGGGATATTAATACATCGAGTACTTGGCATGTTCCAAGTATATACACATAATATATAAACAAATATGCTTGTAGGTGTAACATGATAGGACAGTGTATTTGGGAGCATCAAGCTTAATGTGGTTTAGATTTGGTTACTGGTTAGATCTATTAGCCACTCAATGTCAAAGTAGCATCAAGTTTTTTGAAAATCATTTTAATTTATGTATCTAAATAGCCTTGGTTGGCAACATAGTAGTCAAGATCTAAGCAAACCCAATCTCTACCAGACCTATGACAGTGGTTTACCGACCTGCATATTTTTCTGTGAACTGCAATAGATGCTTTCAGTTATATATTTAGAGCAAAAACTCAAATTTTGTATTTTCTTGCATATTCATCCTATCTTGTCTGTATTCGTCATACTATGCTCTGCCTAGAGCCACCATATCTACATTTTCCATTCAGCACAGCGTCAAATGCCACAACATTCACCAAGAGTAAACTAGCCCATGCCAGAGAGCAGAAAATAAATATAGATTTAGCACACTCGGAGGAACAACACCATCTAGAGCCATCATTAGTGGACAGACCACCCACTTCCATTAAAATCATACGCGTCAGAAACACTGGTGGACAGCGTACTCGAATCAAGTTTATTCCACCTGCAGCAGATTCATGTTTTCGGTTGATTACAAACAAAAAAGGATACATATATCCTGGTGAATGTGAAACTGTTCAAGTAGAGTTTCGTTGCATATCTTGGGCTCCTGTTCAAGATACATTTTCTGTCCTGTCAAGCGAAATGGACAAACTGACTGTAAAACTCATAGGTAAATAGACATGGCGTTGCTTTTACCAAGCTCATACTATACAAATTTAATGGGGGTTACAGTTTTTGTTCATTGATGTGCATTTTAACGTATTATTTGTTTCCTAATCTACAACTATTCAACACTAGCTTTTCCCGCATTACAGGATATTCAAATCCCTCATCAATTTGAATTTGGAATGCTTTCTATCAATCAGACAAAAGAAAAATTCATCAACATACCAAACAAAACCAATGTAGATTTTAACTATCTTGTTGAAATAGTTGAAGAGCTACCATCCAACTGTTTTAGTATTTCGCCAATGGAAGGTAATTTCCACTCAATTTGAGCCAGCCCAGTTTAAAGTCGGGTCTTTCAAAATAGTGATTGCTGCATGATTGACTGATGTTGGATTTTAACTGGATGAATGTAGGAGTTTTGAAAGCAAATTCAGATACGTTGGTAACCATCATGTTTAAACCCTTCAAACTATGCAGAGCACATTGCGTGTTTACTATCCGAACGAACCAGTTTGCATTTATACCATTACAATGCAAAGCAATGGGCGACGCACAGTTGCTTTCCCATAGGTAGGAATTTCGATCATTCGGGAGTAGTGTTGGCCAAACATGTATCAAAATCAACAACATGATAGATTCATATTGCTAATGGATTCTTTTTGGTAAGCGGTATAGTATATTACCAAGCATCGGAATGCATATTCCAATCAAAACGGTTTACAATAGAAGCAAAGAGATTAGAGAGAATCGTATAATTGCTATAAAAGACTCAAAACACCCATTTCTGCCAGCTAGATTGCCAAAACCACTCGATTGTATCGTTCAACCAAATAGTTTGATTGCTTTGAATGATCAAGCCGTTTCATTACATTATACCTTTGATGAGGAGTTACATGCACGAGTTAAGCTCAAATTATTGAATTATCATCAACATGTTGTGTAGATTGGACTAAATCTATCATTTGATTGATCCTATTGTTTTTAAAAAATAGGAAGAACTTCAAAGACGAAAGCACCTGTCCATGTTTGTGTGCATTGGAGAAGATGTTGATTGTGAAACGTTTGCAAATGTCGAGCATAATCAGAAACTACAAAGTGTTAGTACAAAGCATAGTTCTGATACATTGTCTACACCAGATATTATACGCAGCTATATCACATCATCTCAAGACACCATATTGAGTAATATGCGTATACAGACATCAGATGTAAAGCATTCGTACGATTCACTTGTCATTTCACCCAGTGAGCAGCCCAATGCACGATTGGGCTGGTTGTTTATAAAAGCAGGATGGAAAATAATTTATCAGACTAGAGCGTCTAAGCGTATTAGGCTACTCAAAGCATCTCAAGGTGAGTTTATAAATTCAGCAATACACCAGATTGGTAAATATGTTGCAATTTTCGTCATGAAAGCCATTCTATATTTAATCATAGTTTATACACGTTGCTTTTTGTAAATACCATGTGTGATAAGGAAATGAACCAGAATGGTATTCACAATCCAAAAAGAACCCATCATATTTGGATGCTCGCCTGGAGAGAGTCGTGGCATCTATACCAAGCAAGCCAACTGACTTTCGATATACACCATTAAAAACATACGACACGCCCATTATGGATATTATTCCATTTGCTCGCTCAGTTGTTGTTCCAAATGTTAAATCCAAGTATGCTGAGCGTATGGGATATAAGCGAGATATTACTCTAGAAGAAACATCCGTGGTACAAGTCACACTTCCACTAATTCAATTTGAAAAAACAGGCAAGACAGTTTAAATATGTTAATCCAGCCTTGATGGCTTTAGATTTCAACACAAGTGGTTTGAAAATTATCCTAATTGCTAATTTTGTTTTGTGGTAAATCCACACGAATACAATTCAACAGTGTCAAAACCAGTATTAAAAAAAGAACCTGCAAGTATAAAAATAATGGGCATCACTGATCCACCATTTGGATCAATATTTGTAAGTAACCCATTTTTGAAGTAAACTGTTGTTTTCATGCAATGATTATGATCAACTATTTAGTTATACTCTAGTTTATAAAAACAAGATAATGCCGCGACTAACACTATAGGGTCTATCAAAAACGACTTGATTCATTTCTATAGAATCCGCTTCCAGGCATCGAACCAACACATGCACAGACAAGCAGCATATATGATGAAGCGTCGCTGCATCATATCTTTCATTCACAAAAGATATTCAATCTTGAGTCGTATGAGAGATTGACATTGGTAGAATCTAGGTTGAAACAAGTATGCCTGGACATGTCGATTGGATTTTATGATTCAGATTTGGTGTGATGACTTTCAAGTTGCCCAAATGTTTCATTTGGTATCCTTATTTAGTGTTCTGTTTTACGTGAATGCGACGGTAAAAGTAGGCATCAACAGATTCAAATAAATTTAAATTGTAAAATATTAGTCAAGTTACAATACACTGTAGAATACTACACATTGACCATCAAAACCTAAACTTTTATAGTTTATTGATAAAAATTTGAGAGAACCACCAACCATTTTTAAAAAAAATCTCAAAGGTCGACAAGATATTTAGAAACAGTTTTGTTGGTTGATATCACTCTAAACTCGATGGTTTTGAATAAGCCTCAGAACTTTCAAAAAAGCTACATGACAATTTGAGGCTCAAGGATATCCACCGAAACGCCCTTGTGTGGTAAAACAGTGGCTCCGTTAAGAAAGATTTCATCTTTAACTTGAACATCTTCACCAAGAACAGTAACACCATCAAGACGTGCCCAGCGACCAACACTCGAGTACCATCCAATGATTGAGTTTTTGACCCACGCGTTCTATTCCAATTTAAAGTTGAGTCAGTTGTAACTCTGTAGCAACGCCATAGTAAATTCAAACTACAACACATCGATCCAGTCACGACTCATAACAGACTTACGTCTTTTACAGATGCTCCACGCATAATGGTAGCCTTTTGCAGTCGAACACCGTTTCCAATCGTGACACCAGGGCCAATAACAACATTGGGTCCGATTTTGCAGTCTGTTCCAATCTTGGCGGTGGGATCAATCAGCACATTCTCTTGAATAAAATCGTCTTTTGCAAGGGTTTCTGGAGCGTGTTTGGAAATCGAATCGAGGTACAGACCCTGCCCACTGAGAAAATCTTTGGGTTGACCTACATCTGCCCAGAAACCGACAAGTGGTGTGGCATGCAACTGACCATCTCTAGCCATTCTTGGAAATACGTAGGTCTCAATGGAAGTGGGTTTGCCCTATAAAAACAGCAAGGTTAGTTTAGATGATGTGCCAAATGCATAGTTCATCACATACACGGAATCAATATAGTCAAGGGATATACTTACTGGAATTCTCTTGAGGATGGATGGATTGAAGATGTAGATACCGGCATTAATTTGATTTCCAACAAACTCTTTTGGTTTTTCAACAAATCGGTCAATCTGTGTCGAGTCAGGTTTGAACAAAATGACACCAAACTTGGATGGATCTGGAACAGTGGTAGTCATGAGGGTTCCTTCTTTGCCATGGGAAATATGGAATTCCAAAAGGGATTTGAAGGGAAACTCGCAAATGACGTCCGAGTTCAGCACAAAGAAAGGAGAGTCGTCCGCACCAAGAATATCTCGAGCAAGACCCAGTGGACCAGCTAAAAGTAAATGATGAATACACGCAATAAGAAACCTTTATCTAAAGAACATTCATGACAATACTCTAGCACCTACCTGTGCCAAGAGGCTCAGATTCAATGGAGAAAGTTATCTTGATGTTAAACTCGTCTTCGACTTTTTGCATGGCGTTGGCCATGACTTCGGGCTGGTAATTGACAGCGAGCACAATCTCCTTGACACCTACTGCAGCAAGCGCGGCGATCTGGTGGAGAATCATGGGCTTGTTAGCAAAGTCCACCAATGGCTTTGGCTTAGAAAACGTAAGTGGACGAAGACGAGTGCCAAAACCTAGTTGGAAGCAGATGGTCATGCAGAATCAAAATGAAGTTTAGATATAGCTGAGCATAACAAGATGACTATCTGATATCAATGCATTATGCTAGCATTCAATGGCTCGAATGAAATGAGCAGAAACAAGTGATGATACGAATGCCAACAGCATGCAGTACGCAAGCGTTTACTCGCAATACAAGAATCCAATTGTTTACAGCTCAACAATGGTTTCGCCACGGCCAGTGCGTATTGTAATATGTGGTTGCAACAGGCATTTGACAGATGGAATACATTGAAAATATTAACCAGTGCAAGAAATGGAAGCAGCAGTTACAAACCTCCAACGAGAATAAGAGCCTTCATTGATACTGTTGAATGTGGTTTGTGGATGTTGGGCCAAGTCGGATCTGAAGGGTTGAAACGCCATGGCTCAAGGAAACTCGAGCGAATGTTGGATTGCTGATAAATCTCTACGGTTGTATTATTACATAGCAGTAACTGAGTGCCAAACCTATCTCAACTATATTATAGAGGCCAATGGAATAGGCCAACCACACACTCTTCATCTTGTAGATTCACTCATCCACCCGACGCGCCAACTCAATCTTGGCAGTATTTATAATATCCATCTATAAAGTCATAAAGCGCTAAGAAACATATTGTGTTTAATTGGAAAAGCGATTGCTTATTCAAAGTTCTCGCTCTCAACGAGGTCGGGAACCTCATCATCATCTTCACCCTTGGCAGCGGCAGCTTGGGCAGAGAAGTTTTCAGCAAACTTGCGAAGACTGTTGAGAGACTCTGGGCCAAGTTGGTTCAGGATTCCAGGGATCAAATCAGTAATGTCTTTGGTTTCGGCGACACCGTTGATCACAAAGGTGTTGCAGGCAACAGAGGCTTGAACTAGGTGGTGCAAGTTTAATAGTTAGAATAAAGATACATGATTGAAATCAGGAGAGTTGAGTTCGATCATGCAAGCAGATATACCTTTGGGGGCAGAGAAGTGCAAGACAGAAGATTCACCACTGAACATGTTGACTTCCTCAATTCCAGTGACAGGCTGAACGTTGAGTTTCTTGAGAGCAGCTTGAAGTTTTTTGTCATCAGTGCCAGAGGATTTGACAATCTTCTTGACCTTTCTCCTGGGAGTACCTTTTCCACCAATGCGGACTTGGGCCTGAAGTTTCGCAAGCTTTTCTGCGTTCATGATCTGTTGAGCATTTAGAATTTGGACAGAAATAACAAGACAGGTTAGAACAACATTGTAGATTTAAAGTGGTGGAAGAGCGTGAACATGGTCTAGATTTGGAGCATTTATTAGTCTTCAAATGCATGGCTGGACATTGATTGATTCAGAGTTAGTTTCCAGAGATTAAATTGTTCACTGCATACACTCATATTGCTGGTGATGACATCAAAGCACTAGACTATCCAAAGCTGTATCATCAACAAGTCAAGAAAAAATATCCGATTGATTCTTGCAACCAGGTACACTGGACAACTACTCATGAACTGACAAGATTGGTAGACAAATACAATGGTACAGACAGGACATAATGAATTGTTTAATTCTGGTAGGATCGAAGCAAATAGCGACGGCAGTGATCATGACAGACCTGGATATGGAAATGGGTTGCCAGTTGTTGAGTGATTGGAAGAAAAAAATGAATTTTAAGTTGTGGGGTTTACACTTGCTTTTACACATTTCGATTATTGCTGTAGTTTGTAAAGATTTGATTTGATTTTCTTTATGTTTGCAAATCAATTTGTTCCATTTGGTATTAATATCATTCCACAGAGATATTATCACGTGATTTTATCACACTATTGGTTGAACATATGGCGCAGTTACTGTGCCACAACATCAACTTGGTTGATCAGACTTGTCTTTGTATTGAATGAATATTTATCAAGCTAATCCAAGAGTTAATTTCAGCCATTTGAATAGTAAAGATTGAATTTAATAATGAAGATCTAAGAGTTGATATTTGGTAATAACAAGAATCTTGGGAATCCCATTTAATAAGAATCTCTTGAGAGATTCTTAGAAATCCCATTCAACAAGAATCTCTTTTAATAAGAATCTCATAAGAATAAAAAGATTGATTTTGTAAAAGTAAAAAAATGGATTCACTCGATTGTGCGACTATTTGTCAAATTGTGTGGATGTGGTTCGCCACCATCACAAAATTCAATTCGAGTTTCATCAAATCAGCAGTTATCGCAAGTTTGACCTTTTGGAATCTGAAAGGTCAAACTATACTCTTCTACATCATATTATACCAATCACATTCACAACTAGTCGGCTCATTTCTTTTCAACTAAAAAATCACATTGACTCAATAATGTGGGCTGCTACTGCCTTTATTCGTTCCATATACCTTCGTTTCATTCGAGTGGTTCGACAGTGCATCAGTCAACATCAATTAGCCATTATCATGCTTGTCAACGTCTTGATGTGTGAACTTATTTCTATTCGAGTCTACATCTATTCATGCTACTGGCCTAGACTAGTCGATGTAAGTCAAAAATCTCCAATTTGTCAATAGTGCATGGCTGTCAAGACAGCCACATCCATTCATTTTATAAATGTAATACTTGTATCCATCTTGCAGTGACTAGTTGGTCATGGCCTATTCTAAAACAAATAGTCGTTGTGCTTTCCTACTCAACTACAACTCTCAATTCTTCAAAACACAGCGTTCATCATATGATGTACACAATAGTTTTAAGCTGTAATGACTTTTTTGAATGTCCTTTCTCCACTTGATACAATCATACACTGTACGATCACCAAGTTTAAACCCAGATTCATTCATTGAAATATACATATTGTTTGTCTTGATTCTGTCAATCAAGCTCTTGTATCCTAAAATCTCATTCGCGCTCTAGTTCAACATGTCTTGGGAATACAACTGTTGTTTCCATATCTGGATATTCATTTTGGAAAAGTCGGAGATTGGCTGGAACTGAAATGTGATCATGTGTTGAGTTTTTATACATGAATGAGCACAAAGGCCAGTCAGCTTTAACGAGTCCAAACACGACACTTTAGTAAATGGAGTGTCAAGTATCATAAAACTGGTTTATTTGTATTTTGACACATTCATTTAGTGTTTTATTTTACGTGATTACACGGTTGTGTCTGTCTGCAATCACCCTGCATATAAATAGGACCATATGATACTCTGCTGTTCTCATCATGTTAAACATATATTATGCAAGCAAATCATCTGGGTAAACTAACAAGCTCTTTATATTGGTTGTGCTTACATAATTTATATCCAACTTTGTAAAAACGATCACTACAGTATAATAATCCGTTGTCATACAAACACTATGGAACAGAAGCTTTACGAGAAACTGCAGAGGTTCATATTGCTGTTATCGCCGATCCTCAGATTATAGATGCATACACATATGATCAACAGCCGGTAATTATCTATTTCACTCGACTACAACTATACTGTATATTGGAGGAAAGGATATCAGATGAGTCTGTTGTTCGAAATGTTAACATGGAGTTTATTTACATATACTTTAGGGACTGATGCTATATTTGACGGAAATCATTTCAGATAACTACATGAAACGCAACTATCGATTAATTCAGCAAGTGTTACGCCCTCATCATGTTATATTTCCAGGAGACATGACGGATGGCGGAAGAGAGTGGAAAGATGATCGGTAGGAAACACATTCCTATGAGTGTTCATGGATTGTTTATAGTTGGTATCAAACACGACTGTATATTGAATGGATTCATTTTCAGTCGTAAACTAGCTGTTTTAACAATCCAGCCATGTGTATCAGTTTTCTAATATTCTACATATTTCCTAACTTGAAATTGATTTTTTAACCATAGGTATAAGCGAGAACTTAATAGACTACAACTTATTTTTGCCAAGCTAGATTCAAAACTTACCACAATGGGAGTTCCGGGAAACCATGATATTGGTTTTGGAGACACGGGTAAATCAATAGTTTGCCATCTTAACCCCAACTCTTGATATCTATCATGTGCTCAACTAGTTGCATATTTTAAATTCTGCATTTATTACAGTTGTAAACTACGCATATCAGCGGTTCAAGTCATCATTTGGAACCATAAACTCGGTTATTACAATTGCAAACCACCAAATCATTTGTTTAGACACAGTATCACTATCAAGTAAACGAGACACTCCGGCGAAATTAGAGGCGGTTAAATTTATGGAAGAGTTTGAGATGTTGTCCAGCACCAATCGTAACATGCGAAACATCCTTGTCACTCATGTGCCGCTGTATCGACCTGCAAATGCAGATTGTGGTCCACGTAGAACTACACCACCAATACGTAATATGTATGGTTTCCAATTTCAAAGTATGTATTCTATTATTTACCATTATTGGGATGCCACTGTCAAGCAGCTTAGCGTAGACTATCAGCTGTTGATGGTTATGCATTTATTTCGAGTTACTAACAGTAGTTTTGCCATAATGATGCTGATTCTGTAATAGATCTGGTTCAGCCAAAACTAACACGGGAGATTCTCTCTAAATTTAAACCCGAGCTGATTCTCTCTGGCGATGACCATGATGATTGTGTGTTGATTTGCCTTGCAAAAATATGTGAAGCTTTTGTTACTGATATAATGATGATTGGTGATTTCAATGATAAAAATAGGTGTTTATACCCATATCTATCAAAATGTGACATCGGTCGAGGTAAAATATAATATCAATTTAAACAGTAAACTATTTGCTTACTAACTTGTGAATGGCATTCGTATTTTGTTGTATCTATTGTAACCTTGCATCTTGAAGCACTCTATTGGAACATTTTCATTTTTACAAGGGAATCCATATCCTAGTTTTGGTGTTTTGTCACTTCGATCAGCCGGCGCACCTCCGTATCACCATGACACACCCAGCCTTGCTCTACACATTTGTAGTCTCCCTCCACAAAAGTATATATATATTTGGTACATTGCACTTGGGTTTATTGCCATAATCTGGACGTGCTTACAAGCCCTATGCACCATCTCTCGGACGCAATCATACTCATCACTAGATGAACAAGTGGTTCTTCCCAAATTCAAAGTTTCTAGGATTATGCGACGTGCCGGCACATCGCGTGGATGCATTGCAAAACGAACCTACAAATTCATATCGATATGTATGTGCCTATTTCGTCGACGGTTCTGGGAGTTATGGGCATATCGCATGTGCACAGTATTTTTACCATGCACATTGTTATTTTTCCTGATCATCATGTTGGATGCGCAGCCCTCGTTTAAGAATCTCGGCTAGTCGATTAGACGCATGACTGAGGCCGTGAAAGTGTAGATCTATTCTCAGTCATGTCGTAATTGATGCGATTGGGTTTGAAATAAATCTAAGCATAAATTTAACTAATGAAGTTGGTTGATTTTAGAAATACATTGGAATAGCAATAAAGCCAACTTGTAATAAGTGAATCTATTTAACTTGACAGACAGCCCTGCCATTGATCAAGTTACTATCACGACCATCTTTATACACTTTCCAACTCTCCCTTTTGATCCAACGCACTTATTGAAATGGCATCCATTCTTGATATTAAACCAACACAAGAGCTCAGCGTTTACGTCAACAAGAAGCTCATTTGCGATCCGAATCCAGACCCTCACGAATCCTTGATTGAATTCTTGCGTCGTCATGGCTTGACTGGAACAAAGCTTGGATGTGCTGAAGGTTTGTGCTGTTGATATTCTTTTGATCAAGCATGACTGGCTCAAGAGCAGTTCATGTAAAACTACACTTGAACGCACTGACATGTCAGTGTGTTGACTTTCATCAGTACATTGACTTGTCCTATTGAATTGAATGCTTTTCAAATGTCAATTGGCTTAAACACTGTTGTGTGTACCCTTGCATAACAGTGTAATAGTTTGTCTAAATCCAACTTGAATACGTCGAGACATTCAAGTCGGGTCCACAAAAGCATATTGCTGTTTATTCTTACACTGCTGATGGCTTTACTAACGCACTCGTTTGGATTTAAAATATTAACGGATAAACTGTACTTTTAACCCTAACTAGGAGGCTGTGGTTCTTGTACTGTTTTAGTATCTCGTTACGATCAACCAACTAAATCTGTCAAGTAAGTCTTGACAGATCGACTCTATTATTGTCATCCTCATGAAATGTATTCCATCTTGTTGTTACCTGGAAATGGACGTTTAAATGTATTGTGCTTTCCTATTAAAAATTGCTTTTTCAAGACTTTAATTCTTGCTCCAAGCACAACCTCCATCACATGATGCAAACAAACTGCAGTTTGAGCTTGCCATCTTTTTAATTTTGTCCCTTTACATTCGGCATTGTATCATCACCAGATTCACTCATTGTAATCCAATATCTGAATTCAATGATTGTCAAGTCTACAAACTCTTGTATTCTAAAATTTCATACACTCGCGTTCTAGTTCAAAAACATTCTAGGAATGCAATGATACATGTCAGTCATCCAATATTTGAAAGAGTTGGAGATTGAACACATGTGGACTGCACTGAAATTGAAATGTGAATGCTGTGTATGATGTTTTGAACTCGAATGTTGTAGTTTACGTGAACACCACTGTAAAACAACTGTTATATTCCATCTGACATCAATTATATAATATTTAGACACGAATCTTTGAATGCTTGCCTCACTCCTGCTTGTGCGGTAAACAACAGGCATGTTGTGACAATTGAAGGTCTTGGCACTACTGATAATTTACATCCTGCTCAAGCTGCAATCGCACACGAACATGGAAGGTAAGCGTATTTTTAAAACACTACACATTCTGTTAAAATCAACTAAACTTGTCACTTTTATTAGCCAATGTGGTTTCTGTACTCCCGGCATTGTCATGTCTCTTTACACAGAACTTAAAAACAATCCCAATGCAACAGATCATGATATCGAAGAAGCATTTGATGGTATTCATGATGGCTGATTGAAACACATGCTATAATTTGCAACAATCTAGATAATCGTGCTAATGTTCACTGTTATTAGGAAACCTCTGTCGATGTACCGGATACCGACCAATTCTCGATGGTGCTAAAAAGGTAAGTTTGCTGATTTTGATTTTCAAAACTTAGTTTTACTGACTTGGCTTCAAATTTCGGTACTTGTAAATTTAGCTTGCGCTTACTTGTCGTGAAAGTTGTGGCATTGATAAAAGTGTCTGTGATGCAAGTATATTTTGCGATATTGTTTGATGATCATTGAAATTCAGTGCATTCAAGACTGTGATCTAACATTTGATTATTACTGTTTTAAAATGTTTAATGTTTATGCAATTATGGTGTTTAGAGCATGGATATTGAGGAAATTGGAAAAGTACGTTTATCTTGAATATTTTATTGCGAATCAATTGTTTTGATACGCACTAGTTTATTGCTATTGTGATTAACAAGGGAACTGCATGTTTATCTAGCTAAAAAAGAAAAAAGAAGTTGAAACTCAAGACATTCCATTTCCAGAAAAGCTTCTTGATATGTACACTACAAATTCAATTCCAAAAACATACATGTTTTCAAATGGAACTACTCAATGGTTTCATCCATCAACTGTCCCTGAACTTCTCGAAATTCTTGTACGTATACACTGAATTTTAGACTGATTCTGGACCAACCATGCATCATAGTGTACTCAATTTAACACTACTGTTTTTGTGCTGCGATTTCAGGAGAAATTTCCAAAATCTAAGCTTATTCATGGAAATACTGAAGTTGGTATTGAAATTCGTTTCAAAAACCAGCAATATGATACGATTGTGAACATGGCCGATATGTATGACCTCAAGAAAACCATTGTCACAGGTAGTTTTTTACAGTGTATTTTAAATTTAATCGAGTACACTTTGTTTAGCCATTTTATGGATGCTTTGAGCGTTGCTATTAACATTCAAATCGATATTTCAATATCAAGAATCGGGCATTCATTTCGGAGCTGCGACAACAATTTCAAGCATACAGCAGCAACTTTTGTCCTTTGTCTCTACTCTTGAGGTGAAATATTTTTAATTGGTTAAAAATGAGCCAGCTTAAATTCGATAATATCTGACAGTTTATTCTGGGATGATCATTTATGTTGTTACTACAATACTAGTCAAGCAAGGTGCGTGGATTTCAAGCTCTTCTTGACAATATCAAATACTTTGCTGGCCGTCAAGTGAGAAATGTGTCATCTATCGGTGGAAATATTTGCACAGCTAGTCCTATCTCTGATTTGAATCCTGTTTGGGTCGCCATGGTAAGCGCATAATGTGTTTGATGCATGCCTGAGATTTAAGTATTAAATTCATGATGCTTTATCCAGTTTTATAGACTGTGACTTTGATGATTTCTCTTGACAGTACTAACCACATATATGATGCTTGTCATGAATATGATTTATTTGTATAGAATGCAGTATTGACGGTTAGCTCAAAAGCCAATGGAAATCGCCAGATTCCCATGCGAGAGTTCTTTTTAGGATATCGCAAAACTGCTCTACTACCGAGCGAAGCAGTAATTTCCATTTGTAAGTATTTATAAAGGATTTTTCAGTACCACGATATAGATGTAAGCCTTCTAACCATACCTTGTATCAATACCAGTTGCTCCTTACACTACTCCACTTGAATACATTGTTTCGTATAAGCAAGCTAAACGTCGCGATGACGACATTGCAATTGTCAATGCAGCCTTATCTGTAACTTTAGAAAAAACTTCAAGTGGAAGCTATGTTGTTCAAGACGGATGCTTTGCTTATGGTGGTATGGGCCCAACCACTCTCACTGCGCCAAAAACTCTTGAATTCATTCGTGGAAAAATATGGACACGATCACTTGTTGACCAAATGTCACTTTTGCTATTGGATGATATGCCTATGAGTGCAACTGCGCCTGGTGGACAGGTTGAATACCGCAAATCTCTTGCTCAAAGCTTTATGGCAAAGTTTGTTTTGCACGTTTGCCATGAATTATCGGAGACGGATCAATCGCTGCTGTTGGCATCCAGGGAAATATCTGTTTTGAAGCCTATTGAGCGACCACTTTCATCTGGTGCTCAAGTGTTTACTGAAAGCACCGGATCAGATCCTGTAGGAAAATCAAAAATGCACACCTCGGCTCTCAAACAAGTAACTGGACAAGCTACATACTTGGACGACATTCCACTTCAGAAAGATGAACTTCATGCTGTTGCTGTTGGAAGTACTATTGCGCACGGCCGTATTCTTTCGATTGATGCATCTGCTGCACTTGCCTATGATGGTGTGATTGATTTTATCACCTACAAAGATATAGACAATGGCAACACGGCTCCAGACCGTCCAAATCTAAACATTACTGGTCCAGTTTTTAAAGATGAGGAATTATTTGCTTCCAAAAATATAGTTTATTATGGTCAAATGATTGGCATGATAATTGCCAAGACTGACCGACAGGCTCGTGCTGCTTCTAAACTGGTCAAAATTCAATACGAGACTTTGAAGCCTATTATTACCATGGAAAGTGCCATTGCAGCCAACTCGTTTTTTGAGTCTGAGCGTCGTATTAAAACTGGTGAATTTGATCCTAAGCGTGCTCGTGTTGGTGCTCCTTTGAGTGATGCTGTGCACCATGTCAAGGGAACTGTTCGTATCTCTGCTCAAGAGCATTTCTATTTGGAAACTCACTGCTCCATTGTAGTCCCACACGAGGACGAGTATGAAGTATACTCTAGCACTCAAAATCCCACCGAGACTCAGCATTTAGTTAGTTGTGTTCTTGGTATTCCATCCCACCGCGTTGTTTGTCGTGTAAAGCGTCTTGGTGGTGGATTTGGAGGGAAAGAAACACGACCAGCTTACATTTCTTGTGCTTTAGCTATTGCTGCTCGTAAACATCGTCTTCCGGTCAGATGTGTTTTGACTCGTGAAGAAGATATGAGTACTTCTGGTACTCGCCATCCGTTTTTGGCCAACTATGATGTTGGATTTACTGATCAAGGCAAACTGATTTCTGCCGAGCTGGATGTGTTTTGTAATGGTGGCCATTCGATGGATCTTTCACTTTCTATCATTGAACGATGCATAACCCACTCTGACAATGCTTACTATATTCCCAACATGAATTTGTTTGGTCGAATTTGCAAAACGAATCTGCCATCCAACACTGCATTCCGAGGATTCGGTGGTCCTCAGGGAATGATGGTTGCTGAGCAATACATTACCCATGTTGCAAACTATTTATCCAAACCTGTTGAAGAAATACGTCGTCTTAACCTGTACAAGGATGGACAGATCACCCACTTTAACATGCCACTGGAAAAGGTGTATTTGGACCGATCGTTTTCGGAAGTATTGGCTTCATCGGATTACGAGAACCGATTGGCAGCTGTCAAAGAATTCAATCGAAACAACAAATATCGTAAGCGTGGTATTACAATCATGCCCACCAAGTTTGGTTTGGCGTATACTGCTCGCTGGCTAAATCAAGCTGGTGCACTTGTTCATGTGTACACGGATGGCTCTGTCCGCCTCTCCCACGGCGGTACGGAAATGGGTCAGGGTCTTCATACTAAAATCACTCAGATAGCAGCACAGGCGTTTGGGATTGATATGAATGATTGTTATATCTCGGAAACTCGCACAGACCAAGTCCCCAACACTAGTGCAACCGCTGCCTCTGTGTCGTCTGATATCAATGGCATGGCGGTCTTGAATGCCTGCAATGAGATTTTGGAGCGATTGAAGCCTATCAGGGAGAAATATCCCGAGGCTAAATGGCACGAACTTATCAAAAAAGCATACCTGGAGCAAATCAATCTTTCTGCCAATGGTTTCTTTGCTACACCTGATCTCAATCATTCTTGGGAAGCCAACACGGGCCGCATGTTCAATTATTTTACATACGGCGCAGCCGTGACTGAAGTCGAGATAGACACTCTTACAGGTGACCACGTTGTTCTTCGTAGTGATATCAATATGGATATTGGATGTCCTATCAATCCCGCAATTGATATTGGGCAAATTGAGGGAGCCTTTACACAGGGACTAGGATGGTGTACGATTGAAGAGCCGCTGGTTTCTGCTACGACTGGATTTCATATCACTCGTGGGCCTGGCATGTATAAGATCCCTGGATTCAAAGATATACCTGCTGATTTCCGTGTGACAGTTATGGACGGTGTTCGTAATGAGCGCGCTATCCACTCTTCAAAAGCGGTTGGCGAACCGCCATTGTTTCTTGGAGCGTCTGTGTTTTTTGCTCTACGTGAAGCAATTCAGGCTGCTAGGTAGAGTGCAAGGTTTGAAATGGTGGTGTTGAATGTCTAACTCATTGTTATGTTTCATTGAAATGTGTAAAATAGAATTGAAAACGGGGCATCTGCTGAGCACTACCGTTTGGATTCTCCAGCCACTTCTGAACGTATTCGTATTGCCTGTAATGATGTGTTTGTTCGTCAGGCCAGCACACCTCTCAAGGAAACCGAACTACCATGGAGTGTTGCAGCATAAACCTAACCCTGCTATTCTTGAATAACTCGATTGGATTCTCCACTCAACCGCTTTCTGATTGTAACTTTTCAAGCGTGTGCAATGTTACAGCATTGAATGCCGGATTATGAACTGATTCCATCTCAACCTACTTTGAACATTTTAAATAAACAGTAATATACTGTGCATGATCCATCTTGATGTGATGAACCAACACAATGAAAAAAAGCTAAAAACTCGACATAAAGAGAATCAAACGATGAAGCGTTTATTCAACAACTTCGGCAAGAAGCAACGCAAAGGAAAAGGGAACAAATTGATAGCCCGATCCAGCGTAAAATTTGTTTTGGAATTCGACCCTAGTTATCCAACAAAGCATTAGTTTTCATCCGGTTGTGAATTCACAATTCAATGCTCTAAATCATATACAAAACATACCAGTGCAGACGAAGTGCGTGCAAAAATGCAGACATGCCTTCCATAAGAAGCAAGATAAACACGGTCAGCATGAACCAAAATGCAAACCCAATGACAATCATAATGGGATTGGCCATGTTAAGAGTAGGCACAAAAACCATGGACCACAGCACTGCTGACAGCTGGGCGTGAGCAAGCGACAAAGCCCAGAGACGAAGGTATGAGGCAGTGTTGGAAATACCACTGAGTGTAAATTCGATTGTATGAATGATCTGGTGAATCATGACATCAGAGAAATCAAAGCGCTGTATAATCCAGTTGCAATAAAAAAGATGCATCAGAGATCAAGTCAAATGGCAAGGATTCATGCAATGTCTTTTAAAGATAAACATTTTACAGATTCAACTTACACCACCGTGTCCATGATCGTCCTGCTCGTCTTCTTCCGGACTGTGCACAACAGCAGTGCCAGATGAATCGCCAGCACCGTGGTTAGCATCGGCGTCTATTTGAACAAAGTCGGTGTCAGAGTGGGGCTCGTTATAACCCGAACCAACAGTGGATCGAGCTTCCCTGTACAAATAAAGCGGCTTTGCTAGCAGCATCCAAGGTACCGTGACAAATGCAATTAAAAGAAGAACCACTTGCACGACGCCCTGTCCATAGAACAAGGGCATAGCAACTGTACCAGGAGACAAGAACATATAAATGAGAGTGTTGAGAAGACCAGGAGCCTCGGACGTGTTTGGATAAGGAGTCAACCACTTGAAAACAATCATAAACACAAGATACCCAAAAATACTCAAAAAGAACAGAATTTGTGGAAGAAACTCTGTGTAGATGCTCATTTGACGCTTGAAATGAATATGATTATAGACCTGCAGACTAATACCGAAACTCATCTAAAGTTCCATAAGCCAAAGATTCAAGTTAGTACTCGAGATTCTGAAAATTGAAAGGATTTGTCTTGAAACATTAAATGCAGTGTAACGTACATGAATAACACCCAAAATGATGGCCATTTTCATCTTGTACGAGTTGGAAAAAACCAAAGAGTTTTCAGCACCGTGCCATGCAGGATCGATGCCAAAACCATAAGTTGAATGAGATTCACCAATCCATCGACCAGTAGAGTTTTGATAGTTGAAATGATAGCGTGATGTAAAGAGAGTCATGCCCTGTGAGAAAATATCATTGTAGACTAGGCCAGTAAAGATTGAAAAAAGACCCATGAGCAGAATGATATAACGACCTCCAAAGAACATGTCCCAAATCTAATATGATACAACCCAGTCAGTTTCAAAAAAGCAGAAAAGCAACCCGATCCAAACAGTGTACTCTACCTCGCCCCACTTTTTCTTTGCAAGAGTTTTTTCGTCGGCACACATCCAGATTGCAAAGGCAGATACCAAGATGCCATGGCCAAGATCACCAAACATGACGGCAAACAAAAAGGGAAACGTCACACATGTAAAGAGACCAGGATTGACTTCTCCGTACTGTGCAACACCATATGCATCCACAATATCCTGGAATGCCTGTGTGAACCTGTTGGTCTTTTGGAATGTGGGAGGCTTTCGCTGTGTTTGAATTTCATTCATAATGGGAGGAATAGTTGACCCAGTGCGCTCCTAAATGAATCCATCAAACAGAAAATCAGTCACCAAGACTAGATTGTAGCATTGCAGATTACATACCGTAACAACGCGAAGAGCATGCTGTATAACCCCAAGCGCATTGGTAGGACACCATCCCTCGGCAATGAGAGCCTTACGATTGACATCGTAGTTGAACATATTCATAGAATGGTAGATCGACATTTCCTTCTTTACAACAACAGACCATTGGTCAAGTGAGGTAGCAACACGGCTTAGTTCGGCGTGGCGAGCGGCTTTGGTGTTGTCAAGGACATGCTTTAAATCTTCAATACGAGAAATGACCTCGAGCGCATTCTCACGTCGCTTTTCAGGGTGTTCGTCGACAGGATAAATTGTGGCTCCCATACTCTCGCAAATCTTTCGAATTTTGTTAATCAACTCTTTTCCATGAGCGAAAATGATAAACACATTCTTGTGAACCTCTTCGTCAGTAACAGGATCCGTAATAAGCTCATTGATCTCTGCATGGTTTAAAAATAAGTTTCCACGAAGTGCACGGAAGAGAATACGCTCAAAAGTAGTCATTTTGGAACGTGGAATCACACCAGCAACAAATCTAAATATCAGTGGAGTGGCAAAAACAAATGCATTAAAAACACACACATGCAACAATGGAGTCGATAAATAAGCCAATGAATAGCCTCATACCCAAGTGAGATGGCACGATGGCGATCATTGACATCAATTGATTCACGCTCAGCACTGGCAAGCAAACTGGCTTCTTCTTGATAGTTGGCGCCAGTGATGATATCTGTCCGACTCTCTGCCTAAATCATACGAGTCAGTCTACAAGTCACTGTACACAATATCTGACAGCATGGTATGATTTGAAAACTGTAGCCAATCTACCTCTTGAAAAAAGACTGCAGTTTCACGAAGCACATGCCGAAGCTCGCTTAACTCGAAATAGCGCTTATTTAGAGTTTCATAAGAGGTGTTCATCTGTAGGATTTTGGACTCGAGTTCAGTGAGTGTAGCCTCGAGATGATCGATTTCAACTTGAGAGCGCGAGTGAGCGTAGGGAGCAAGTGGATCAGAAGGTGTAACAACGATTTCTGATTTTTCGGCTTGAGCAAAAAGAAAGCCTATATGATACGATTAGTAAATCAAGCTATATGTTTTATAATCAACAATGGGAAATCAGAGGTCGAGACCAATGATTGGAATACATACGAGTTTTTCGTTCCATTTCGTTGAATCGCTTAATCTCATTGACAAAAGTACGTTGGAAAGCATTGACTTTTGAATTCAACTAATACGAGACCAATCGAGGTTAGTGCAAAGCCATGCCCAAGCCAAGAATAGATCAAAAGACTTACATCATTGAATTGAAGCTGGCCGACTTCACCAAGTTCAGCAACAGTCTGTGGAGCAATTTCCAGAGGAATGTATAGCTAATGACAACAGAAACAAGTTAGAGGGGATAGTCCAACTTGCTAAACAAGAGTGATAAACGGTCGAGTAGATTGAACCAGGGCAAAATCACAAATGCAATGCTGTGCAATGCAAGGGAGGCCCAACCAGGATTTATATTGCAAGTAGAACAAGACTATAATGATAAAATGCATCAAGTTTACAAATGCATTGCAGAGATCAAGACTGACAACCTTTGAGACCACATCATAAAACACGTTGAATGGTCGCGAGGGTGACAAGAACTCAACACTCGGACCTAACGGTCTGTACAAGACAAAAGGAATTTAAAAGACTAAAAGAATCCACAAGCCAACAAGTGGTGAGACAACTCTAGATTGAGTTCATGTCACATTCAACTGCTAGTGACAACTAGTCTAAAATGACAATGAAGTTGTAGCTATAAGCAATACCTGAGTCAGTGACATCTTCTCTGAACGGAACAGAGATGATTCTTCCTGAGACATGGCTACAAAGTCTGGAGTGAAATGGTCTGTAGCAAGGGTTATAGTAACAAGTTCAATGTCGGAGGATAGAACGGTGTATTCAGGCCTTAGTAAGTTCCTCAAAGTCGCAAGTCTTTGTCTGATTCTCGACAAACCAGCAAGCACCTCAATGTCCTATAAGAATGGAATTGGAGTAAGTTGCTATTCGTCTTGTCTCACAGCTGTTTAAATCTCAAAAATCACTCCAAGGGCGTATTCACGTAAAATGAAACTTGAAGCATTTTGCGAGTGTTGCGCTTTGGATTGTCTCAAGATCTCGCATGGCTTGACATTCAAGTTTTTACTCAACTGTCAATACTAAAATCATGTCTTGAAAGTCTCGCTTTTATTTAAATTGTTTAGATTCTGTACAACTCTTCATTATTCAATCGCATAAATTCAAACTTATTGTAAAAATTAAGATTTTACACTTGTTCATATCTGTATTCGTTGTATGCTTTTATGATTTGAATTCGGTCACTTGTCAATTCATCTCGATAGTGTTTGGCTTCAGTTGGTGATTGAACACCTTGAATATACTGCGTGGCATCATTCCACAGTTCAGGCGGTATGGGTGTCTTGTCAAGACTCGAGTTGTACCATTGTGATTGTTGTGGAGCCACATGCGCAGTCGAAACAATCCGACAGGTTGGATTCACTACAAAAAATGTCAGAATCTTGCAGTGTCCTGGTTGAGTTGGATCTGCAAGTTCAAATGATTGTTCTTTGTGTTGGTATCGATTGGGATAAACTACACATCGACCATTTGGTACTTCAAGCGATCCTATATACTGACTCTGTGGTGATTCTTGATCAATGTCATACACATCTTTCCAATACATATCAGATGCTCTTTGATAATAAAAATCAACAGCCGCGCGGTAATCGAGTTTGGGTGTGGTGATATTTTCCACGTCGTAGTAATACAGTCCAATTGCAGCAATCGATTCGTTAATTGGACCTTCAATGTGCCAGTTTCCCTTGTCGTATTTAGGTTTGGATGGTGTCAGTTGAATGTTGGTGAGTTTGACAATGACTTGTAGATTACGACCACGCAGTGACACTGGCTTTGCTGATTCATATTTGGGTTCAAAGTGTTCCGGAAGTGTTGGTACATACACGGGACGAATGACTTGAGTGTCTGATTCCATACCACCATAGTCTGAATGCCTTGATGGTTCATATCCCTTTGTGCAATTGCGAATATCAATATACTTGAACATTGGATCCATCGTCCTGAACAGACTTTCAAACATTGGGACAAAATATTTGAATATTTTGGCAATGCATTTGTACATGTCTCGATGCCATATCGGATTCAGATTGTTGATGTATGAGTTGATGGTCACACTGCCATCCTGTTCGACACGGAATTCACTCGGAAGACATTGGAACCTGCATGATATAAACTCGGGATTGCCTTCAATCATAGACACATCTGAAACAAGTCGAGTCGATAACAATATATCGCATGGTACCATTGTGGTGTATTCGAGTCGTATACTCAGTGGTGCAATCATCGTTTGTCCATATACAACACTGTACATTGATGCATCAATCAGATTGTGCACCATTTGACCAGTGTTGTGATTTGATCCATGTTCAATATCCGATACATTTGTCATCAATCGCGTGTATACATTGTCAGGTATGCCATTGTCCAGTATATACGTCAGTTCAACAGGTCCTGGGACAATTGTGCCCAATCCATCACTGCCATTACAAACAAGCTGCTTGACAAAAACCCCAAGTTGTTCCAATGCAAGATTAAATGTTGATGGTGATATATTCCGATCGAGTGAGTCTGTCCTCCATTGCTCCACAATATGCTGGTTTGTGATATCGATCCACCACATGGGTTTGCAAAGTATAGATTGCATATACTGGATATACTGCATCTCGACAAGTGTGCGTACCTCTCCATGTGCATATCCGGCCATTCCAGACCTCGTATCAATTTCGGCATTGTCCGTGTATGGTCGAATACTTGAACTAGCAGTGTAAGCCCGATGCTGGAAACACGTTTCAATGATCTGGCCGACAACCCTTCTGTTTCTGTAGTCGGTATTGTTCGATTTTACAATAGCCGTTAGATTTTCAAACATCTCGCCTTGTTCCAACTCGGTACGTATTGAACTGTCTGGATGATTGTCGGCAAAATCAACAAGTGTTTTGAGTAGTTTTACAATACTAGTGTCACCACTATCATAGTCATACAAATCTACATCTCTACGTGAAAGAATAGCGTTGAGTTGCTTCACAATTCCATAATCTTGAAACACCTTGATCATCTCGTCCTTGCTTGTAGATTTCTGAATCATGTCGTTGACATAATCAAACAGGTACAAAGGGTCACCCATATAAGGATTACACGTTGATATCGTCAATTGCTCAAAAATTGGCGATCGTACAAGTGATACAGGAAAGTCACGCATTTTGGATGCAACTGATCCTGCAATCGCGATTATACGTGTTTTTAGTTCAAAGTTGTCGTTGTATCTGATACACAAGTCGCTAAGCGTTTGAATCAAATTCAGCCTAATCAACTCGGCTGAAATCACTTCACAATCTGCGCGGTTGCAAAAAATCTGAATAGCACCGGTACTTTCATAAATCACTGCTTGATCGACCCTCCTGTATTCATGTCATGTCAATCCAACCATGTCAAATCTACTAATTGTGATGACTGGACACACATTCATGTATAACACCACATACCTGAGAATATTGACTAGTGCTGAAATGATACCACACTCCACTGCTTTTACTCGGTCATGACGATGAATATTACAATACATGGTTTGGAAATTTCTAATAAAACCAACAGCAACTGAACTATCAGATGATTCCAGTCGTGAAACGAGTCTTGATACCACGATGCCAAACTAATGATATTGTTCAATGTCAAGTATACAATCAGATCAACATGACATGACACTGTCCAAACTGATCCAATATTGTATCATTGCAAACATACATTTTCATCGTCAATATCATGACAAACTTGCAAGAACAGGTCAATTGCCAATCTGAGCACTTCTTGATCAGACTCGTGAACAATAATCTCAACCATTGGCTTGATGTCAAATTGATCCTCTTGACTCCAGCGTTTATATTTGTATACCTCTGTACATGCTTTTATCGCCTATATGCATATTGACACCAGATGAGTTGAATGTCAATCATTTGATCAATATTAATCATGACTTGCCATTATTTTGACTTGACGGTTTGATGATTGCATGAGTTGTGCAAGTTGGCTGTTTAATCGATGTGATACTTTGAGCCGATCATCACTGTATACCATTCTCAAAAACACTGTAGTAAATTCCATTACTTTGATCTACGCAACACATGTTGATTAGTTTAGTCATGATCAACAATCCATTATTGTTACAATATATGAATACCTGTAAACTGGGTTGATTATACTCCAAATACTCGGCTGTGATATCTTCCAGTCCAATACTCCATAAGTGTTGCACTACATCTGTAGATCCTGTCACTTCAAACCAACACAAAGTCAGCAATGGTTTGAATTCATCAATAATACAATGGCTATTAAACTTACTGTAGCCATGTTCTTTCAACTCCTGTAGCAATGGAAGCAGTCTGTCCCATATTTCATCAGCCTTGTATAGTTGATCATCCGTTGTTAACAGTTTCAGATCTTCCAGGCGTTGAATCAACTCTTTCATGTTATCATCCAACTTCATGTTTGATAAAATTAGTCAAGTTGAATTTTGATTTGACAATTTCATTCATGCGAATGTTCAACAATTTCCAACAATTGTTTATGTTTGGATTGTTGTAAAACACACAAACGAGTTGTTCCATTTTAGTATTGTTTTGATCAGTTTTTTGTAACAAAATTGGATTGTTATCAAACATGCATTTAGAAATACTGTAAATTAATATTCTGAATGTGATCGTTGTAGATTTGGTTTAATAAACAAACTAGTTTACTACAATACATGGTAATGGATTACTAAACATCATCATAAATCAGATGGACTGGACTGGAATGAGATGAGATCAATGACAATCGCATTACAAACAGTGTGTTGTGATTAAACCATCGAGTATTTCCAAATACAAACTTGAATAAAAAGTCTTGCCACAAGACTGATCAACTGTATTACTGTTTACACTGTGGTATTATTGATGTATTGGAATATTTGGTGGTCAGATACACAATGATAATGGTAGTACAACTCATGGCAGTTGTACAAACCAAATATGATTAAAGCCAATAATAATGTCAAACAAGATTGGATAATGAATTAGCGTGTAAACCATCAACATTGACCAAGATTGATTGAAATGGTGAGATTGGGTTGGATGATGATGAACACAACAAATGAGTCTATAGAGTTGTATTGACAACATTGACAGTCAAACACAATACATGAATGTGGGTTCAAACTTGGTGATCGTACAATGTATGATTACTAAGAGTGCACAAAGTGTAGATTCAACATTATAGTTTGACTGTGTGTCATATGATGGTTGTTGTATATCAAACAAGTAATGCAGTCAATGTGTACTAGTCACTGCACAATGAATATCAAAGTGATCCATTTTACATGAATACGGTTGTAAAGCAAAGCGTTTGCGGTTAAACAACACACTCAAAGGGTGCTTTTCAAAATACCTGATAAAAGGGTCGTAAAAGCATAATTTAATCGACACGATCATCAAATTGATCAATATGATATTATGATTAGGGAGTAACATACTATCTAATTTTATAATAAACCACTACAAGCAATCGAATAACCCCGTGTCGTTGGTTAACCTAAAAGGGTTGGTTTGCTAAAGCATATAAATACAATCGAGTATGTTCAGTCTTTTAATCGACACCAGTCTCGACACTCTACTTTTGTATTAATAGTTTAAACTCGTTGACCAATCTGATGAAATTGGTTGATATTTTATTCGTACTGACTGCGGCAGCAACTGCCAATGCAATACTGGTACCGGCTGATAACGATGGTTTACCTCACGCATCAAGCACTTCCAGTCAAGTGTCTGGCCCAACTAATGAACCCGATCCAGAGATTCCCGAAGAAGACTGGCAAGAAATAATGGATATAATTAATTCAAGCATTGTCAGTCAAGATTGGCAAGACCCAATTGATGAGCCCAGTTCAAGTATTTCAAGCCAAAACCAGCAACAACCAATGGACCAACCCATTCCAAACACTTCTGATGAATATTGGAGGTTTCTAATGAACGAGATCAGTTTAAGCACTTCCAATCAAGACCAACAGCCAATTGATCAGCCCAATCAAAGTACTTCCAGACAAGGCCAACAGCCAATGAGCGAGAACGAATCTACCAATACTGTTCCAAATCAAGTGGCTAGATTATGTGAAAGGTATCAGAAAACCTTTAGTCGTATAAACCAAAGGCTTAAATTGTCTAAAGAAATACGAAACAAAAAACTCAAAGAATGTCGTGAATATGCAATCCTCAGACTCAGGCATAGGATAGCGTTAGCAAGCGGAGAAGATATATCTGAATCAAAGTATGACCCAGAAGTTGAAGTCCGATTGAAACAAGAGCGTAAAAGTGCAGTTAGGAGGGTATCCATTATCAGACAACAATTGAAAAGATTTATGAAAAAGCATGGTTTGAAATTTGAAGAACCAGAATCAGATTCGGATTGATGATGTGTTGATGAATTTGATTTTGAATAAATTTAAACTTTCTGATATGTTGGTGTTTATCGAGTATTGTGAATGAGCCAATAACCGTATTATTGATTGCATACTGTATGTTTGGTATTACATCAACAGTTACTGGATTGTTGATTGATATATTGACACGGTTTGTTCCATATACATCGATGACCTGATAACAATCAGTGTTGATTGTAACTATCAGTCAAACTTGCAATCACTTGTCAGTTGCATGGTTGTTGATCCATTTACAATACTCGACAAATACCAACACATCAGAAAGTTTAAATTTATTCAAAATCAAATTCATCGACAAACTATCAATCCAACTTCAGCTCTTCAAATTTCAAACCATGCCTTTTCATAAACCTTTTCAAATCTTGTTTGATAGTGACTACCCTTCTAATTGCCTGTTCATACTCGTATTTCAATTTAACTTCATCTTCTGGGCTATATTTTGATCCAGATATATCTTTGCCCATTACTAACGCTAACTCATGTTCGAATCTAAGGGCTGAACATTCACGATATTCTTGCTGTTTTTTCTTTCGTATTTCTTTAGACTCTACAAGTTTTTGGTTTATACGATGAAAGGTTTTTTGATATCTTTCTTTTAATCCAGCCACTTGATTTAGAACAGTATTGCTTGACTTGCCTTTGCTCACTGATTGTTGCTGACTTTGTTTGGGAGTGCTCGGACCAGCTACATCCACTGGTTGTTGGTCTTGGTCGAAAGTGATTAAATCAATTACATCAATTGGCCGTTTTTGACCTCGTTTAGAAGTACTTGAACCAGCTGCAATCACAGTCGGTCGATGGGTTTGACTAGGAATATTTGAATTGGGTTGATCCATTGGCCGTTGTCGGATTCGGCCGGGAAGGCTTAAATCCATTGGTTCTTCCTGGTATTCATTGGAAGTGCCTGGATCGGGTTTATCGGTTGGGCCGGACACTTGACTGGAAGTGCTTGATGCGTGAGGTAAACCATCGTTATCAGCCGGTACCAGTATTGCATTAACGGTTGCTGCCGCATCAGTAAGAATAAAATATCAACCAATTTCATCAGATTGGTCAATGGGTTTAAACTATTAATACAAAAGTAGAGTGTCGAGACTGGTGTCGATTATAGGAATGAAGGCACTCGATTGTATTTATATGCTTTAGCAAACCAACCCTAACCCTTTTAGGTTAACCAATATACAGGGTTATTTGATTGCCTGTAGTGGTTTATTATCAAACTAGATAGTATGTTACTCCCTATCCATAATATCATATTGATCAATTTGATGATCATGTAAATTTGATTATGCTTTTACGACCCTTTTATCAGGTATATTGAAAAGCACCCTTTGAGTGTGTTGTTTAACCGCAAACGCTTTGCTTCACAACCGTATTCATGTAAAATGAATCACTTTGATATTCATTGTGCAGTGACTAGTACACATTGACTGCATTACTTGTTTGATATACAACAACCATCATATGACACACAATCAGATTATAATGTTGAATCTACACTTTGTGCACTCTTAGTAATCATACATTATACGATCACCAAGTTTGAACCCACATTCATGTATTGTGTTTGACTGTCGATGCTGTCAATACAACTCTGTACACATGTGTTGTATTCTGAATCACGAATACGATTGCGATCTAGTTCAACAACAATCATGACACATGCCAGTAATGCAACTGTTTATCACACATCAACACTGTTATTTGGTGGTCCATTTACATGGATACAACTGCAAGTTGTTGTTATATCACGTATTCTGAGCATGGTTTTGATATTACGCATCCAGTTCCATCACATTGTTGCTGACCCATCATTGTAATGCTGTATGTCCCCATAACCATACACATGGACATGATCGTGTGGTTTCACGTATAATATTACAACCACGCATGTCGTTGGTTGAATCATCACTACTACACTACAATACACTACATGTATGTTGGCATGTGTTGTACCAATTTGATTGCATTGCTACAATGTGGCATGCGTCGACCTGTTTGAATCACAGTTGTGCAACATATTGGTATTGACCACATGTGATACTGGTCACCAACAAAGTGATCAGTAATATACAATTGACCATTCAATCAAACTAGCAATGTTTCCATATTAAACATGCTCCAGCAAAATATAACCCAGAGCTGCAACCCATAAATACTGCAGACTGATTACTGACTGACCGTTTGAATGACAAAACTATACAAAGTGAAGCGAATCACTCAAGACAGTAAGCCTCTTGAACATTACAACTGATTCCACATTTATCGTGTTGTTGATGAACACAATGTAACATAAAATGCGTACTCCTGGCATAAAATAAAACACGAGTGATTTTGGCTAACCAGTCATTTTGAAACTAGACTGTACAATCAGACCATCAGCACTCAATGAATAACCATCCAACTTGCATCCATCAAACCAATCCTAACAATGACAATACTAAATACAAGAAAGCAAACCGTCCCAACCAAAAACTCACCTGGAACGAAACCAGTCATCAAATCAATTGAATCAATCTTGCTCAAGTAGATCCACTCCATCTTAAACTCAATTTGGCTATTTTTGACTTGTGGACATTTATCAGTCTGACATGATTTGCCTACTATTATAGTCACTCGTCTATTGATACGTTTTCAATTACCGTTCAGAACCAGTATTTTCCAACCACGTTGATCGTATTGGCTGTACACTCGATTCACTCGCTTACTTTAAAGCTGCTCGACAGTTGTACTGTGCGCTTGATGATCCTGATTGAGTCATCATTCAACTCATCAACGTAGTTGTCTATAATAAACCAACGTGTCATCTTGAATGGTAGCAGTCCTTGTCATGTCTGGTTACATGAATACACACATGCATGTCAGCATCATCAATGTGTACAACTATGCAATATATAATGTATTGTACTGTATTGAAACATACAAGTGTCGGTGTACAATGATCAGATACAATATCAAATGGCAATTGTATTTTATTTTATTCAAACAAAAATACAATAGACTCGGTTGAAATCAATCTAGATTAGCATTCAAATCAGTCGAATCAATTGGATGGATCGTCATGTTTGAGTTGATTCCTGAATGATCCGAGGTTATTTCTAATTCTGGAATAAGCTTTTTGTGAACGAGAGAATTTGAAAGCTCTTTATGTACTGGATGATGTTTGAGTGGGTTGGACTGAAACTGTAGACGTTTCGCTTGATGACGGGGACGGACTTTTATGATGTTGTAATTGATTCTGGGTTCCACTAGTAGAGGCTTGCTCGGATTCTGGCTGTTGGCTTGGTGTGGAATTGCCAAATGTGCTGATGAGCTCCATAAACTTGGGTTCTGATTCCAAAAATCTCAAGTAATGGCTGGTTGGTCGATACAGAATTTTTCCAGTCAAGTTCTTTACAAGTTTTATTTTGATTCCACCCAATCTCCGATTTAAAATGCTATAATCGGAATTCCACAGCTTCCCAGTAAGTTCATCAAGATTTTCTCGTTCTTGTTTAAGCTTCTGTTCAAGTTTCTTGCGCTTTTCGCCATACTTTAGAGGATTCTTGCTACTCTGAGATCTACCTAGCAACCTCGAAAGCTCTTCTTCCAGCCGTTTTACCAATTCTTGTTGAGCAAGTCTTTCAAGTTGTATCGATTCATGCATTTCCTCCGCATCATCACGATCTTTCTTCACCAATACGTACTCTTTGATCAAAGCTATATCCTCTTTTGAAGGTTTACTAAAATCAACTGAAAGTGTAGTTTTTGAACTGGGAATAACGACTAAAGTACTAGCTTCAGCACTTGTAGTTGCGCTGGGATTGACTGGGATGGCTGTAGTAACCGAGCAAGCAAATAGGATTGATGCCAATACTGTGACTGCGAATTTCATTGTGTTGGTTTGGTTTGGTTGAGCAAGTTGTAATGATTGTTATTTGATGGGTCAATTTTTGATCGTATTTATATCCATTATTGAATGGATCAGATTAAAAGCATATTGGATGGCCGTCCTAAGGGGTTTGTGTTGTCAGGGTTAATGGTGATTTGTCATCAGTGTCAACCTTTGAAGGGATATCCCTTTATATAACAACCGCAATATTGATTGAACCGCTGCTTGACTATCCATCCAAGTATGGTTGATTGTGTATCCAACCCTTTTTAGGGTAGAAAAGGGTTAGTGTGTCAAAATATGAATAAATGCATGTTTAAACAAGACCATCTAACAACTGAATGTCAGCTCAGTTGTTGGATGATCATCGATATGTGTTGTGGTTTAATGATGCTCTGCATTCAACTCGACACTATCAGTCATCGCTACACATTGTCCAGTGATCAATCAATCAATTGAATCAATACAATGCAGTTCATGTTGCAACCACAATAACTGTATTTTGCATTGCAATACACAATGGTTACATATTCGGTTGATTGTTACTACACATTGACTGTATTGCGTGTTCAATATACAACAACCATCATATGACACATAATCAGATTATAATGTTGAATTTACACTTTGTACACTCTTAGTAATCATACATTGTACGATCACCAAGTTTGAACCCACATTCATGTATTGTGTTTGACTGTCAATATTGTCAATACAACTCTATCCACTCATTTGTTGTATTCTGAATCACAAATACGATCACGATCTAGTTCAACAACAACCATGCATGTCAATCACCATCAACAATAACACTGTATTGTCAACTAGTACATGACACTGTTATTTAGTAATCCATTTACGCCACTATAACTGTAAACTGTAAAACAAAATGACAAGATTAGATCATAGTAATAGAATTATTAAACTCTAAAAGTGTTAAAACCACATCCTATCACTCAACCCTTTTGTGCCCCCTCCCTGAAAGTCACAACTAATAACCAATAACAATGTCCCTTATTACCGTGTCCTAATCTCTTCCTATAAATAAACTACTTTTCCCTCGACCTAACACTATCGTATCAACATTTACAAATAAAACTAGACACATTACTTTGTCACATTGGTCTTAAAGAATATGTAAAATTTCTCGCAACAATTAACAACAAGCGCTAGTGGTTTAGTGGTAAAATTCATCGTTGCCATCGATGAGCCCCCGGTTCAATTCCGGGCTAGCGCATTTTTAGTATTTATTGGTAAATACTTTTTACAAGTCTTGATAGACCACAACTGCTTGCCAGCTCAAATATCATACGCCAGCTTGAAAACTACAGCTGTATTCATTTTACATTCATTGCTTAAAAATAGACAACAATTAACTAATTGTTGTACCTTTCTACTGGATACTGATTTTAAACACTCAGTTCTTTGGTGTCTGGGATTGTTGGACGCACGACCATTCTTTATTACACTCGAGTCATTTTCTGTATGGATCAAAAGTGGTCAGTATGGAGCAGTGTAATTTCAGTCCACGCAATATTTGTTGAACGGTTGGCAAACCATATCTGATCAGACAGTTGTTTTGTTGAATGGGATGTTAGATATCGCTATTTAGAAAGTCGGAATATTACAACATTCACAACTTCCTTGATCAGTTTACAAGCACATCGACCATCATATGACGCACACGATCAAACTATAGTTTTGAACTGTTGTTTAGATCCTGCATTAAAGATTCGCTCGGTTTTTGTACAGGAATCAGTACAAAACAAACTTTTAAAAGTTCAAAGAGCACAATGTTGTCCAGTAAACCAGCATCAACCAAACGTGACTGGCTGTTTATTATACTCTTGATGTTCCATTTTACGTGAATATGGTGGTGAAATGGAACATCAAAACTGTAAACATTGGCAGCATTATCCTGCTGGTTAAATGATCTGATTGTATAAAGGATGGATTGTTCTTTATTTAGAAATCAACGCTTCAAGTAAATGCACTCCAATGCTAGATTTTAAACGGCAAGTAAACATGGCTTGATTGGTCAACAGTGTAAGCAACACCAAATATTTCCTTTTTATACATATCATCTCACCCCGCTAGTTTAAATATTATCGAAATTGTAGATTTGGAGTTGTGCAGATTCAAGCGACTTTAATATAAACTGTAGCTTTATAAAATCACTATTTTTTGTATACTCGGTTACTAGTTGGATTATGCCTATACATTATAAAAAAGTTTTTAACCCAACCTTCTTTTTCATCAAATTCAACACTGACATCTTTCCCATATTCAAGTCGGCTTAATTATCAACTATTTTCCATATATTGGGAACTCTACAAAAACAGTTGCATTGCAAAAGGTATCGACATGGAATCACAAACCGAATCAACTGATATTTGTGAGCTTTCCCAAAAAGCACCCCTTCCAACAACCATTATATTAGAAGCTACTCAAGTCATCACTGTGCCCATTGCAGAAGTAAAACAAGATGCATCAACAGATCAGACAATTTTTTCAGGTCTCTCCAAGAATGCCCGCAAAAGATTATTGAAAGAAAAACGGTGGATAGAAGGTAAAGCAGATCGAAAGGCCAAATTCAAACAAGAGAGAGAGGCAATGCGACAGAAACGACTTGCAGAAGGTCTTTCAGCCAACCCATCTCGCAAAAAAAACAAGATTGACCAGGAAAATAGTGGCATTCGTATTGCTATTGACTGCAACTTTGAAAAATACATGACTGATCAGGTCTGATAGATTTTTGATCTACTCTAATGTTTTTGAATATACTCGATTGACTTTTGACAATCATTTGAATATTAACAGGAGATAAAAAGCACGATTGTTCAGCTCGGATTTTGCTACTCGGTCAATCGAAAGCAGCCTAAACGACTGGATCTCTCTGCAACATCATTTACACCCCTACTTCAAAAACTTATGGCAGAACGTACACCAACGTACTCAAACTGGCGAAATTTTGAATTCCATAGTGGCCATTATTCAGAGGTATACGAACCCACCAATTGTGTGTATCTTACTGCGGATTCTCCCAATACCTTGCAGGAATTAGATCCAACCAAAGTATATATTGTTGGTGGAATTGTTGATCGTAATCGACACAAGAGTCTATGCTTCAATGATGCTTTAAAAACTGGCGTGTCGCATGCAAAATTGCCACTTTCAAGTTATGTTGATATGCCAAGTCGCAAGGTATTGACCATCAACCATGGTAAGATTGTAGCATTATATATCCAAGACTGATATTCTGTATTGCGGGAATCAAAGGCAATAGATATAAATCAGCCAGGAGGAATTAAATAGTTTTTACTGACAGCTGATGTTATGGATCACAATTACAAACTGATTTCTAGTGGTCGAGATTTTAGTAAACTATGCCAATTCTGGAAATTGGGAAGATGCATTTTTAAAGGTACTGCCCGTGCGCAAAGGCGCAAAGTCAAAGGCATCCGAATCCATTGACGAGAATGGTAGCAATGGAGACGAAAGCGAGGAGCATGGTTCTGACAAAGATAACCAAGAGTGTTTAAATGTAAAAAGCAATAGCCAAAACGATGATAGTTCAAAATCGATCGAGCCCAATGACTTGTCTGAATAAACTATTGTTTTGGGTAAATTTACAATACCAAAAGCATCCGCTATACTAGATATCTGCTAATCTATATGATACAATCAAAAGATAAAGTGCTGCATGGAGACTACACACTCTTGTCTCTGGAAGCTATCTGTTCCATCACCGCGACAGCAGCAATGATATCAGCATCATGTGTAACAGAAACGTGAGGCTGGATGTTGGGCAGATCTGAAAGATGTAGCATTGGCTTGCCTATAATCATTGTATTTTCAAAAACACATTAGGCCAAGTACCACAATGATATAAAAGTCTAGTATAGCACAATGCATACCACGATCCTTGATAATCATTGCTTGATGCCAGGTCAAACGAGTTTTTGGATACATGGCCTTGAACGCAGCTTCTTTAATTGCGAATCTACATTGAATATGAATTAAAACATCAGATACGCCGTTTAGATGGCAAAAAGTGTAGCTAATACCTAATTCCCAAATAGCGGATAACTTGCTTCTCCCACTCTGGAAGATCGTCAGTCCAATTCTCGCTGTTAGGCTCAGATTGAGGTCCAGAATTACAAGAGCCATCGAGTTCAGCCAATGTTTGCATGCCACTAATTGCCTTGTGGGTCGAGTATAGTATGGACTTGTTAATCTTTTCTACATCATCTACAAGAGGAAACAGTCGATTTGGATGAGCGGGCAGAGGAGAGTATAGATCCAGAGAGTGATTGGCGATGGGCTTTTGAAACTCATTTAGAAATAAAACTTGCTCAGATGGATGCAGAATGTGTCTGGCAAGACGCATGGGAGCTCGTCTTTGTAGCATTCCAGCCATTCGGTTTATGTGCAGTACATCAACACCCACTCCAACAATCCTGGACATGACCAAACTAGTTATTCGAGCAACAGATGGCCAATGCAAGATTGCTGTTTCCAGCTGAATAAATTACAAAATCAAAACTTGACATTTTACATTTCAAGTGGTTACAACATGTCCTGGAAGTCACTGTTATCCAAGAACATCAAAGAGCTTCGCATTCAGTTATCTCCTGCTCAAACTTCTGCACCTGGAAGCAATGGAATTCGGTATAAACACATACATTTTTATTACTATAGTGAAGCTTGCAGCACTACTAGTCCATCTTTTGGATAGCGTTCTAGTGGTTGGCTTATCCAACTGCAATGCATATCAATACTAAACTGCCGTTTTTAATCACTAGTGACTTTATTCTCAGCAACTACAAATCAATCAAAGCCGCCAATCCTCATTTGCCTGTTTTGATTAGAGAGGCTCCAGGCACTGAAGCTCGTGCCATTGCCAGATATGGTTAGTCCTGAACTTGACTACCATTTTGCAATTCAATCTGGTTTATTTATTGGAATGTGACTGATTAAAGTCTACCACATCAACCAGCTGGTTGATTGGAAAGTCTTTTAGTATTGTCATTCTACGCTGCGTTTCTCCTACAAAACAATCCTATTCACTTTTATTTTTACTTACACTCGTTTGAATGTCAACTACTCGCCTTGAACTTGCCATAATAGCTTTTGGTGCCGAGCGTATCATCTCACTCGAAAACCTTACTGCTGCTCAAGTTGAAACTCAGTTTAAGCTGCTTGCAGAGACAAAACCAAGCTCTTCCGAGTTATAGCTCGACCAGTTAAAATAAACATGCAGATTTGCACTTTTCTCGGATCTATCAATATATTTTTGATTGTAAATGTATTGGTAAATCACATCATAGACAGTGTGTCAGTGTTGGATCCTATTTCATCTATAAAAGTCGCCGATTGGTTATTTCCATTTGTAATCAATTGGGCTTGAAATCACAGTTGTGACCGGCCCTGTTGCCAGCCATTTTCAATAGGATCGAATTCATTCCAGCAATCTCTGCAGGATGGATGATAGTAGCAACCAGTCATTATGTGCAGGACAGTCTTCTGAAGACATTGAATCCTGTGGTTTTAAAACCACATGTTCCCGGTCATGTTTAAAACCATGCGTACCGACAGTAAGCCAATACTTGTCAATCTTTACATGGCATGGTTTATGTTTTGTTGTAGCAATGTCTGTATTGTTTCGCTCTATTTGCTGATATATTTAAAGTACTCGCCAGTAAATATCAAAAACATTAAAGTTGGATCCGTTTACCAATGGTGTACTTGTGGGTGAGTGAGTTGAACCATGATTCTCAATGGTGTCAATGTTGAAACCCAACTAGACCTATTTCTCGCCTACTGACAAATGCAAGTTAATATACGCTTTTCAATTCAACATACTGACGAATTAGATTGAGCAAGACACAACCATGGTGTGATAGTAAGTTGACTCTTGCTTAAATGTCATGTCAATCAATCTAATCCATCTTGTGATTTGTGACTTCTACCAGATACGCATATCGGTACTGGATTCAAACCGCTAAAATGGATCGCTCCAGGAACAAAAAAGGATGGAAAACCACAACAAATATACTCTATATGCGCATGCAAATATACTACAGATCCACCCTACTGCGATGCTAGTCGTAAGTATCCAATTTCAACTATTCAAGACTTGGTATAGACATGTCTAGTTTACTGAGTCTGTTGTAGATATTCATTTACCAATGCAGTACATCAAGGCACAGCGTGAATGCATCAAGGATCATGCAAATATTAAAAAGATGTGTACTGCATGTGGATTCAAGGCGTCCGAGCTTAAAGCAAATGAGCCTAGTGGATCTACCTGATCACTCATGGGCTGTATTGCATATATAATTTTATTTCGTACTCCAAAATGTCTACTATATAAATATATTTTTCCGTGTTGGCATACACCAAGTATGGTTGCGTACAAATAAACCATGCATATCTAGTTATAGCCATGTTTTTTAACCCACATTTTATTTTATACTTTTAGTAAGAAAACATTTAAAACCATTTCAAATACATGGTTTGCATTTCTTTAATTTGTAAGATGTACTATCTTGAGGTTTATTAAAAGGTGCTTGTGTTTGTAAGCTGATCATGATCACTTTTAAAGTAGATTATACAAAAAAGTTTGAAAGAAAATGCCACAAACTACAAGCACATATAGGCATATTACGTGAGTTTCGCCTTGTGGGCTGGAAACAGCTCTGGATTGACGTCCATAAACTTGATGGCATAATCATCTGCTCCAATGACAACAAAATGATGATTGTAAAATATAAGATCCGCACCTATGCATGTTAATGAATATAAAAAACGCAATTAAGATACTGATTGTCAGCTACCAATCAAAGCGTTACAGTGCATGTATAATTGATCTTACCAATACTGAAATCACTTGATTCGTAAAATTTGGACGTGACAGGTTTTTTAATTCGACGTTGTTCAAGAAACTTGCCGCCAATGATGCCGCTATTGCGAGAACAGGGCTCAAACACACTAATGGTGTCATCAGCTAAATGGTATGTAATGACGAATTTGCGATCGCGATCTACTTGTTTGTTTGATTTGAGGCAGGCAAGATATCGCAGCTTAACACCATCATACAGAATGAGCTTTTTAAAATCCTTTTTATGTGACGGTTCATTACCAATTAATGTTACGTTTGGCTCTGCAGTCGATCCATTGCTGTTTTCAGCACGCAAAGCTGCTGTATGAGCATCAAAAAAGGGCAGCACGCCAGCATCTTCGTCATACAGATCAATCTTTACAGGATCAAACTCACTCACTCCGTAGTTTTCTCGATAAAATGATTTGGTAAACTCATCACAATCACAAATCACAAACGGACGGCCATATAAATGTAACACTCCACCAATCATAAAGTCCCGTTCGGTAAAGTAATCATTGCTGTTTTCTACACCCGAGTCGGCATTGACTTTTTTCATGTGAGGACGTTTGGGTAGCTTGCAGCGACGGAGAAACAGAGCATTGGATTCACGACCAGAGTTTGCTGGAATAGATTCACGAATTTCAATCGTGTCGTCTGAAAGAAAATAATGCACAACCATATGACGCAAGTCTCCAAAGACAGAATTAGTGTCGTCCCAGACACAGTAGAATCGAAGAACACGGCGGTCGTTTTCAAGAAACTTTTTGAGGGAAAAGTTGGGGATGGATGGTCGAGTGGCTTTCATTCTGCCCAATAGCTCGTGCGCTGAGTTTCATAAGGATCAGCAGGGAACTCGCCATTATCAGGCACCGTGATTTGGATACTCGAAAGAAATTCACGAGTAAATTCATCGCATCCGACAATCATGAATGTGCGCGAGTAAAATGTAACTGAATGTCCAATATTAAAGTCGGACACTATGTAATGCTGATCAATTTTCGAGTTTGGTTTTGGAATACGATGGCGGCGAATTAATGTGCCTTGCGGAATACCGCTATTGACTGTTTTTGGCTCACTAACATGCACAGAATCATCCTCGAGATAAAAATAGATATTTACTCTAGGTGTTGATTTCCAGTAAATGTATCCAATAGGTTAATATACTCGCCAAATAGATTTACTTTTACAATACAAAATTCAAATGAAAAAACACCTACCGACGAATGCGATACTTTTCTTCTCTGCGCTCATGCACTGCTTCCTGGAAATAGGCATAGAATCGCAAAACCTAGCCATTGACAATTTAAAAGTTGGCTTGTAATTCAAACCGCAGATAAATATAACCAAATTCAATCAACTTGCCTTGCGATCAAACGCAACCCAGGCTGGAACATTTTCTCCTTGATTTTCGCTATGGGGATATATATCCAACGAAGTATGTATTTTGCTTTCATCTTGGCCAACTAGTCGTTTTCCACCTTGAGACATTGCATTATAGTACCGAAAAAAGTATATCCATTTAGCAGGGTTGACAGGAGTGATTATCCTGACAAGTATTTACAAGTCATAGAATTACCAATTCCAGGAGCATTTCCTTTAAAAACGGCCACGCCATTGCAGTAATCGAACGCATGGGATTTACGTTCATTAGACTGAGCCTAGTTTCCCGTATTTAAATAGCATTCAAAAAACACGGTTGTTTTCAAAATTTGAGACCAGATATATAGTATTCCAATAATACAACAGATATCAGTACAAGTTGATACACTATTGACATGATAGAGTTTTACATATAGATGGACATGGAATCAAAAGTCTATACTAGGTTTTAAAAATGATGGAAAAGGTTTGAATACAACGCGTCAGATGGCCAGAGTAGTAGCCAGATTGAAGGTTGATATGTGGAAATTAAGGAATAGCTGCAGACAGATAAAAGGAATGCAATGCAACAGAGAGTATACATACTTTGTCCAGTTTGAATATGTATCCAGGAAGCAAAGGTAATTGTCCTTGCAAAATGCCAAGTTTTTGGTCGATCATTTGTGTCCAACAGAATTAGAAAACACACGAGTAGAATTAAAGTCGAGTCTTGGCAAGAATATAAGCCAGAAAATGAAAATACACACGTGATCATGAGTTGGTGAACATCTGAATGGACTCGAACAGCAAACCTTACATGGAAGGTGCAAGGCAACGACCACTGCGTAGGACTTGCTTGAAAGATTCTTCACGGGTGCGTTTTGTTGAATTGATATTTTTGGTTCGAGTATTTCTATTGTAACAATACTGTGCTATGGCATTGAGTTGTCCGGTCAACTACACGAACTTTTGACTGTCGTGACTAACCTCGTACTTTGTATATATCTGGATCCTGCTGATGCTGAATGTGTTCTCGTAAAACTCCATGACATTGCTCAACAGATGTTCAAGTCAGATATTCCAATAGACTCTCACATTCAACTACAAACGCATATTCCTCGCTCTAATTCAGTTGTGTCTAGAACAGCAATACCAAAACTGTCATCTAATCCAACTAAAACCAACTCAGAATCTACATTCTTCCACTCCAGTCTTACAGGAACTTACATGACTGGTTCTGATTATTCTTGCCATGTTCCAGTCAAACGAGTAGTTCTTGATGATGTGTCCAATCGACAGCCCGACTTGTCCGTATGTTTTCATATCTTTTTGGCTCTGCTTTTATCAATTGTATATTTTCATGTCTAGCTGATATGCTAGACTTGATTGTACTTGTTAATGTCAGTTGTTGATGCAAGCCTTTATTCACTGTTCAACATATTTTATGGATTAGATTCAGTCCAATTCAAAGCGCACAAAACGTGTCCAGCCATTGGAATCGACCACCAAGCCATTGCGACCTTTGTCCACGACAGTATATGCAGCCAATCAGGCTACTCAATTATTAAATTCACGTTCAACCAAGGCTGCAGTTGTATCACGAAACGATGTGCTGATAGCCAAACAAGCACTGCGGCTAAAGGAGCGGGAAGCAGCAGTTCGTGCTCGTACTCACTCTCGACCCATAGTCAGATCTACCATTCCAATGGCATTGGCTGATACCAAGACGGTTTCTACACATACACATCTGCCCTCTTCATTATCTATGCCGACAATCAAAGCCGACAAGAAATTTAAAGTGCCATCTCGACCCAATCCGACCCAACACCCTGTTTCTGAGTCTACTTCGTTCTCTGAATCTGTATCTTCCACGTCTACAGTAGTCAATTATCGTAGTAACAAATATGCCCATGTGCAATCCAAAGTAAATAGTTGGGCAAATAGTAGTGTTGGATCCAATGTAGATACTTCAGGTACAACACTTGTCTCGGGTAGTTTTATTGATACAAAGGAAAATAGTGACCTTTACGAGATGGGTGTCAATCATAAAATGTCGAGTCGCTCCAAAAAGACTGTGTTGGATGCTGCCAGTTCTTGCAGTCTTGTTGAATCAAAGTCTGGAAAACCTGTTGGAAGGATTGCGGACGAGGATGCTGTTATGGAAGAAATCAGCTGTTCCAATAATTTGTTATCGACTCAACCTTCAAGATCACAGCCTATTTCTTGCAAAGCGTCTTCCAACACAGCAACTTTGGCAACGCGACGCAGGTCTTTACGCAATGACTCTGCCTTTGTTGAAAAGTCTGACGTGCATACACTTTCTGAAAACGCAAATAGATTGGCAGTATCAGCAAAACGTTTGTCTCAAAAAGCTGTCTTGACAGAAATGGGTCAAAAGCTGAACACGAAAACTCCCCAAGAAATGGTGAATCGTTTAAATAGTCTGGCAGGACGCATTCCCAGATCTGTCTCTGCACCTTGTGCTAAATTGCACGTTCACACTCATGCATCTTCAGCCATGTTTCGTTCTAGCTGTATGGCAACTGAGCGTGATTCCAATATACTCCTCGTGTCCGAGTATGCCGAAGAAATCTATCAACACCTCATGAAAATGGAGATCCATACTATGCCCACACACATCAACTACATGGATACCATTCAACCGAGTCTTGAGTGGCACATGAGAACAAAGCTTTTATGCTGGATTGTGCAGGTTCATAACAGGTTTCGACTGATGCCCGAGACTCTGTTTCTTACAGTTAATATTATTGATAGGTTTCTTTCACTTAAACAGGTTTTACTAGAAAAACTTCAATTGGTAGGTGTGACGGCTTTACTGATTGCATCCAAGTATGAAGACCGCATGGCACCAGCTATCGGAGATTTAGTGTATATGGTGGACAACGCGTATCTACCTGAAGAGATTCTTCAAGCAGAAAGGTATATACTTGGAATGCTTCAGTATGAGTTGGGGTATCCCGGACCATATGGATTTATGAGGCGAGTATCTGCAGCAGATGGATTTAATTCAAGAGTGAGAGGGATTGCCAAGTATTTTTTGGAAGTTGCAATACTGGATCAGAGACTACTGAAACACAAGTCTTCGATTCTAGCTGCAAGTGCAATGCTGTTGGCACGCAAAGTAGCACATGATGCACCATGGGTAAGTTATGAATGCTTGAATGGTGCACGATTACAACAGCTTATACTGACCATTAAAATGACTGCATACAATAGACAAGCGAGCATGTGAGAACATCAGGCTATACAGAGAAAGAACTGCTTGAATGTGTGTATACGATTCTTGAGGATGTTCGGATAGTTGGACGTATAGCATTCAAGAGGGAATCGGGCGAGAGTGGAATAGATGAGAGCGAGACTGATGTGCTGGTGGTGTACGACAAGTACGCGACGGAGCGATATGGGTCAGTATCGCAACACATTACCAAGTTTCTACACACTATGGGATTAAACTGAACAGAATGTTATCAATTCAATAAAAGATGGAATGCCAATCGAATCGAGTTGAGGCGAGTTTACAAAACTTTGTCAATTACGAGTTCCAATTGAAGGCTAGTGTTGGTATCTACACTGAACCATACACATGCAACCACACACTAAGACCGAGAGTACTACAGATAGTATGAACAAACCAACTGGTTCTAGCCAGTCTGAATCAATCAAAGATTCCAGATCTGCTGGACACAACACTACTGCCGGAACAGCAGCTGCAGAACAGCTTCTGTCGGGTCGTATGCCACACCCAATGTCAGGAAAGAACAGAAATGGCTATGGCAATAGAGGCCAGTCCAGCTTTTATCAAAACAGCAGTAGCAACTACCGTAGCAATAATGGACGCTTCTACAAGTCCGACTATTCCACTCGTCCTCCAGTGCGTCCTCACTTTGATTATCCGAGCATGAGTAGCACTCAGAATAGTAGTGATGCTGCAGCAATGACTTCTGCTTCTTCTGACAAGCAGTGTGGATGGAGTGCTGTCCTGCTGCCTGACGATTCCCAGAGGTTTGCTCCCGATCGGTTTAAAAACTCGACCTATAAACCGTCTAGGCATCAATCTACTCATGATACTGCTCATGGTAACACTCTGGAGAAACAAAAGCCTTTGAATATTCTACCTCATCCCAGAAACAATATCAATAAACGCAATTCATCCTCGGCCGTAGTCCAGCAGAAGCAGAACGAAAAACCTCTGGCTAATAGCACGGGCATTCCTGTTTCCAAACAGCAGCGTGTGCAGTCTATAGTCGCTGCTACAGAGTCCGGAACCCCTCCGACTCTTGTTAAAACGGTATGTATAAATTATAATATGTTCCGATCGGGCCATTCCAACTAACTCGGCATCACTTGTTATAATTAGTTGTCACAGTCCAAGTTTCAGGTTGGAGAGATGAAAGTAACATTAACTAGACAGTCTTCTGCCTCGGGTTCGGTTTCTGTCGATCCTAAACCGCAACTGGCTGAATCTACTGTCATTTCCAATGGAGGGTATCAGCAACATCCCAAACAGTACGGGCCTGCTAAATACAACAAACATGGAAAACCTGCTCACAAACAAGGCATCAATGCGTCTTCATTTAATGCTTCCTCTGGTGCATCCACTGCAAAAATCCATCACAAAGTGCATCCAAACGACAGTCTAGTATCTGCTTCTATTCCTGAACATAGTGTTCCTAAAACAGGATATGTTAAAAGAGAAGCGGTAGATGATGGAAACACATTCAGTGCAGCAAATGACACAGTAGCAGAAGTAGTTCAAGAGTTTCCCGTAGATGATGAAATGCAGGCATGTTTAACTAAACAGCAGCGAAAAACAGAAACTAATACTCAAAAAAAGAGAACGAACAAGGACAAATCTAGACAGAAGCGATCGTCACCAGTGTCCAGTGTATCCGATTCAACCACCGGCACTAACGATCCTGATGCTGTTTCAATCTCTGTTGTTGAAAAAGGCATTTCTTCTTTGCGTGTCGATCGGACCATCGAGTCTGTCAGTTCTACTCAACTAGTATCTGAATCTGTTGGTTCACAACAAACTGAGCTTAAAACGGGTATTTCCCACCCTATATCTAATGGCACCACTGTCAACTCTACGATTGCTAATACCGTGTCTAATGCGATGGTTGCTGCTCCAACTTCTTCAGAGTCTCTTGGTTCACAACTCGAGTCTGGTACCGACAACATTCATCAGCGCGCTGCTGTGGATGCACCCGAGTTTGTGCCCATGTCTGCACCCACGACTGCATGGACCATCACCACGTCTGATTTGATTCAACCGATTGCTTCGCCTTACCATCCTTACCATCAGTCCTACTTTCCCTATCCCATTGCTCCTGGATACCCATACTCTTCATATGGCCAGTTTGGAGCTCCATTTATAATGGATCCCAATGCTAATGCTACAAATACGTCGGGTGCTCATGCCAGCGCGAGTTCTCAAGCAACTGATGACGGAACCACCAACGTATCGCTTGTATCAGCTGCAGTGCCTATGCAACTTCAACAAATAATGACTCCCAATGGCATGGTCATGTATGCTCTGCCGAGTGGAATGATGATGGGACCCGAGTATCCATACATGCCTATATTCTATCCTCCACAGCAGATTCCAGGACAACATGGACAACATGGACATCACTATCCTCAATCCATGACTCATGCAAACGTTACTCCAGCAGCAACAGAACCCAACTCTTCTCAATCGCATATGGCACCCAATACCAACAGTATGCAGCCAATTCAGCAGCAACAGCAGTATATGACCCCTATAATCCCTGGCATCTCTCCTTACATGTATCCTATACCACCTGCTCAATTTATGACTCCCATGATGAACACAATGATGCCTCATATGCAAAATATGATGGTATCTGAAATAAATACGTCGCCCGTATCTACATACATTTCCTTGCCCAGCCAGGAAACATTGGGATCAGCAATGGTTCTTTCACATACATCGGTTTCATCAGCTATTACTTCAAATCCTGTCGGAATCTCAGCTCATGGAAACAGTGTGTATATTCCACCAGTACATCTATTTCATCGTCCTAGTTCCTTTCCTTGTCCACCAGCGGAAAAGTATTCTGCACAGCATCAGATATATCGACCTCACTCTTTACACAACTCACACCAGTCTATGAATAACCAGTATTTTACTCATGGTCAGTCGCGTGGGCTTCAAGATGCTCGACCAGCCCCGTCTGGTTCTAGAGATCATTTTCCTTCTACTCATGCAGCCGCTAGTGGAACTGATTCTCGCAATCCACTTTACGGACGCCAAGACCCCAATTTCAATCCATCTTGGCTGTAGTGAGTGGGTAGGACAGCTTGTTGAATCATGATATTCACGAGTATTCTTTTTCAATCTTCAGCATACTGACTATTGGACAAAGTCTGTAAGCCTACTCTACTGTGACTGATTTGGGTGATCATTTTAGTTTTTATTGTTGCTTTAATCGTGCATGGCTTCAGAGCAAGTTGGGCTTTGAATAAGCAAACAGAGTATTATTGTCGTTTAATAAAAGTCAATATCACAATTGCATCATCTTGATTTAACAACTTGTCTCACAAAAGCAAAACGTGTTTATCGCCTTGACGGTCCTATTCACGTCAAATAGAACACAAAGAGCAATAAACAGTCATGAAATTCATATTGAATTTACTGGACAGTATCGTTTGAACTTGTTGACTACACATTCACTGATTCAGTAGGGTCTGTCCATCATTCAACACACTGCAAAGTGTAAACTTCATATTGCTCTTGAACCCTATTGACAATTGAATAAAAATGACTTTATACGGCATGCGATGCCAGATATTAAGAATGACAATTGAAAAAGGCAATCCGTTTACAGTAGGAAACAAAGAATATGTAATCATTGTTTATTCTGAAGCACAATACAGGCAAGATAAAAGTTTCATTTTACGCGAATATGGCTATAAAATAAATGTATGCCATAATATTACAACTCGGGTTTGAAAATTCTTTAAAATGCACCATTTAGACAGAACAACGATTGCATCATCAGGAAAAAGTAGGATAGTATGTCCAAAAAGATATATACTTGTCAGCTAATTAAATACTCTTCAACTCGGTAAAAGTGGCTTTGATTCCATAAAAATTAAGCTTGCATTGTAGCAGGTGCGGCACATATAGGCTCGTCAAAATCTGTTGTATTCTCTATGCTTGACAATGATCCTTCAGGATCAATATCGACTCGGTAGTCATCTTGCAACCGCAACAACTCCCGCTGTGTAGGTGTCAAGCTCTTTTGTTTGTGCGATTGATCAACTGGATTTGGCTTTTTCTTTGCAACAAATTTTGGAGCAGGAGTCTTGAGGTTTGGATTAAAAAATACGCCAGTAGATGTACTTTTAGTATGATCCTTACTAGTAGGCAAGTTTTGATTTTTAAAAGAAAACGGCACTCCACCGCCAACATCTTTATCCATAATCGATTTGGTTGCTGCTTGCTTTGCATCGGGTTCGGTCTCAAGTACTACTCGTCGATTCTCCACATCAATGGTCATTACTCGTCTAGTTTTTTGCTCAGCCTTGATCCGTTCAATTTCTTGCTGTTTACGCAAAGCCAAACCACGTTCCTCTGGTGTCAACCATTTATTAGTGGTATCGGAAGAAAGATCAAAATCACTTGCAGCATCGTGCACTTTGGTTCTAGAAGTGCTGTGGCGATCAAAATCTAAAAGTTTGTTCTTGCGTGCTTGCGCTTTGTCAAAATCAATAGTGGACTGAGTATCCAAATTAAGTGCAAAGTGACGATTAGAGGCCTGAACTTGATTACCACATGTAGAGCAAGGACCTTCGCCTTCAAATACACAAACAATTTTGCCACAATTAAGACAGTTGGATACAAGCCCATGTAGTGCAGCTAACCCGATACATGGTATAAAATACACGGTTGATTAGTCAAGAACAATCAAATAATGTTGGTATTTGAATAGTTAAAGATGATCTGTGTAAATACAAAATATCCCATAGCAATCCTTTATCAATACAACTTCATACCCATGCATTCACAAACTGGTCGGCCACCAAATCCTGCAGGTTGATTACCAACTTGTTCCATTGCTTCTCGATCTTTGATTTGCTTTCTTTGCTGTCGTTTTGACACACCACCAGATAGGTGTGGCTTTTGATTGTTGCTATTGGAAACTGAAGGATCTTGAGTACTATATTCACAGTAAACTGATCAGCTATTCAGATCTATCCACAGTTGAATGTTGCATTTGGAACCAGATCCACACTATAAAATACCTTTTAGAATACAGTACTTCACCATCCAACCCAAACCTTTGCTGCGACTGTTCCAGTTGCATCTGTTTCAACCGCTCATCCTCTAATAATTCTTGCTCTCGCTGTATCGATGCTTGCTTTTCTTTCCTACTAGCCGTTGCTGTCGATGACCATGCACCTACAGTCTGCAATGGAGGAAACCGTTTCGTCAAAAACTCGCTGATAAACTCGAGCGATTCCTCTGTGGTTCCAAGTAAATCCTAGATGAGAACAAGGCATTGTGAGCACCCTGTTACATCAAGAGTTTAAATAGTATCAGTTTAAAAAAGGATGAATCAACCTGAAAGTAATTGGCTGCTTCATCTTTTGTATCGAGAGTGAGAGAGTATGTGATAAGTTGATGGACTTCATTGCGGGGAAGACTATGACCTAAAAGACGAATCACTTCATTTGTAGCCCAGTCTTCAAGCTTGGTAGACATTTATAAATGGAATATGATGGTTGCAATTGTATTGATTCGAGTCGTATTCACGTAAAATAAAAACCGAGAATATCAATAAACAGCCAATTCCCATCAAATTTATTAAAACTGTTTTTTGAATTCCGACTGTTTGATTTTAATGGATTATTATCTGAAATATGTATTTGATACAATCAATGGGGTTGATTCTGTAACATGTCCTGGCAGAATGGAATGAATTCAGCATCTAGATCTACCTATTTCAGATTCACCTACAAATCGGCGTATTTTGCTTGATGGTGCACACAACCCATTGGTTGCTGTAGTTTGTGCAGACTAGGTCAACCATCAACAAAATGCAATAGCGTTACTTGCACATGTGTACTGGATTGTTGAATTTACTAATGGAATAGATATCCATAATTTACTTTCATGCCTTGTTCAACCCAAGATCGTGTTTGTCGTTCCATTTGCACAACCACTTGATATGCTTTGGATTCATTCAGAAAATGCTCGTATTATTGCACATGTGGCCGATACACTGATTCAAGGCGATACGCCATCGCAATGCTTTGACAGTTTTGCAAATGCGTGGAACGTTATCACATCTAGTAACACCGATTGCATTGTTGCTATTTGTGGTTCACTTGATTTGGTATCTGAAGTGTATCGCACTCTACACATGACGTTTTAGAGTCTACTTGAATTTGTGTTTGATGCACCATATTTGTAATAAATACATTTGCATTGGTTGATGGCTTGCATGCATACTATCGTGTATTTTGAGATGCTCTAATGCATTGAATTGACTAACCATCTAGATGCAACCCAACATGAATGTGCGGAAAATATCACATCAATGTACTAAACTACTCTAAACAATACACTATAACCAAAGTAAATTTGAAATCTACACATTCATCAACACAATCCAATAGACATACATATACAACAAGATTGAACCACAAACAGTCTAAAGTTGTGGAAACACGACGGTAGAATCAACAAAATGGAAACTAAACACCATGTGGCAAATGAGTGTTTAAACTAAGCTTTTTTAAATTCAAAGTGATTTTATAAAACAATTTAATGGTTTTATTTAAAAGTTTATTTAAAAGGTATTTAAAAGGTATTGGAATAGGGTATTTTTAACAAGTTATTTAAAAGGTATTAGTGGGTATTTTTAACAGGTATTAACTGGGTATCAGTTGGGTATAGTGGAAGGGTATATAGTGGTGGAGGTGGAGATGGAATTGAAGCTTCCTTCCAAAAGCTTCAAGTCCAAAGTTTAGATCACCCATCTCCGCTTTGGATTTCGCGGAGGATGGGGTTGATCTGCGTCAACCTCGCAGTTGATCTTCCGTTTTTTGGAAGATCGCTCCTTGATACAAGTATCAATGACAGGAGCACTGCTCGTGTTGCGCCGCCGCGCCGCTCGCAGGTCTCGCTGTTGGTTAAGTAACTCCAACTTTGCAACGTCTTGCAAGGTTGGTGCTACTTTAGCAGACCAAGTATTTTTTGGTTTGGTCTGCTTGACCAACTTGGAGACCTGCTCCGGCTTGACCCGCTTGACAGACCCACGAGCCTTTTTCAGCTCGGTCTGCTTTGCAAGTTTGGGCATCTAAGTGTGAAAATGGTAAAGTTTAAATGTAAGTCATTGCTGTTAATAATGGCATACAAATGCGTCAACTTACTTTTTTTCCAGCCTTGGACTTGGACTTGACGCTTGGCTGCTCCACTCCTGCCAGTGTGTCCTTTACCGGATCACACGCATTTGTAGTCTGGTAAAATAAAAAGGATGAGTACAAACATCTATACAATTACTAACCATTTCAAACATTTCAAGCACTATTACACTTACATTTAGTGGTTTGGATGGAGCGTCATCCAGAGCGAATCGGACCGTCTTTTTTGGTCGCTCATCCAAAAAAGACTCGGAACTGCCAGCATTCTGGGATCCTTGCTGTTGCTGCATATGATATCCATCTTCATATGCAGCAATCAGACTCTCCAGGATCTTTCCAAACCCAGCCCCGGTTTGGGAAAGATGCTGAAGAGTCTCAGCAAGGCGTGGAACTTTGACAGTATCCACCAGAATGCGCACTCCCGGCATGAGGTCAACCTCAATACCTGGGAATGTAGGTGCTAATGTAATATAAAGTAAACAATTGATTTAGTAAATCACATACATTGATATACCGCTGACATTTAAAACTATATATTACGCGTACCTGGCAGATCCTCGACATCCACGGGGATGTCGGTGTCATCCATGTACACGTCAAAATCCATGGGATTTTCGACGTCCATGGGAATCCCGGAGCAATTCGCAACCGGTTCGGTTATGTCCATCGAGACATCCGACCGGTTGCATTGCTCCATCGAGTCAACCATGTCCACCGAGTTATTCGACAACAATATGTTGCATAACTGGCGACCTATGGGTAACTCGCGCAGGAACCCTTGCTTTCGGTAAACTTCCCGGAAGCTGATAGAATCCCTCAGTGATGACATGGGCTGCCACACTTTTGATCTATCAGCTTCACCGGGAAGCTTACTGCTTGTGTACATCATCTGGTCAGCCTGTCAAATATAAATGGTTGACACATACCAATAAATAAAACATTAGTCAACCATAACTATACAGTTGTATCAATCCAGCACAGCTTGTGCAATTTCAAAGCTAAACCCAAGATTTATACTAATACAACCAACTTACTTTATACCGAGTTTCAAAAGGCGGTTTGTCACACGCCAAAACCCGTTTAGCATAGCTGTATGACAGCATAGATGCTTGAGCATCGGTATAATGCTCAACGGGTCCTGATGAATGGCCAGTCACTGCTGAATCTGGTGCAATGGACTCTGCAGTATATATGGTTGATACTGTAGAGTCACATTGCTTTCCAGACTGCAGTATCCTAGCTGCCTCAATCAGGGACGAGACTATAATGTAAATGTTTTAAAACAATCAATCAGTCAATATAATCAGTATAGTTACCATCAACACACTACAGCCTAAACAATCCACAATACATGCATTCACATCCAAAACTCGTAAGAAATTGATACAAAAATCACACACTTACTTGGTGAAGTAGGGATTCTTGGATCATTGATTGCACTGATTGTACTGATTGTACTGATTGCACTGATTGGGCTGGATGTATACACATCAGTATATATGTTTTCCTGATTTGAACTAGTCAATCACAACATTACAAAATTATGCACAAACAACAGTAAAAGTTTAAAGTAGCATTCAACCCATTGTCCCATAAATCAAATTAGGCATCAACCAATTCAATCCCAAATAATAATCAACCAGCACATCATACCAACCAACACAAATCACAATTGATACACATCGAATGACGTTCAATGACATTAGATAGCATCAAAAACAGTCAAAATCATTACCATCAAAGTCGCGTAGTCGGAGTCGAATCAACAAAATTAAATTCGGCAACGTTTCGAGTCCATCCCAAAATACCGTAAATGCAATCATCAAATCGTAAATAATACACATGCAAGTAAACAGTCATGTTAGCAATGTGCTGTGTAACCAAAATACAATATTCAGATGCACAACTATAATACAAATACTGTACTGCATACCTTTCTGGATTCATGCTTGCTTCGGCAAGGTGTGGTGCATTTTCACAAGCATTGGTTGGTTGGGGAATAGTGTTTTGCACACTACGGCGAGGCTGTCTTGGAGAAAGAGCCGATAAGATGTTGAGACGGGACCACAGTGAATTCATTATTGGTGTTGTAGGGTGTCACGAAATGGAAATGGAAAACGAGTTGATCTCGAAACTTGATAACAATAATATGGGTAGCAGTTGTAATAGTTGCAATAGTTGCTGCAAACTAATACGTTCAAACAAGTAGTGTGTATGACTGTTTAACAAAATACACAAGGGAAACAATCAGATCTGAGATTTGGATCAATAGGTAGGTAAACAAGCGAGTTTTGAATCAATAGGTAGATAGACAAGTAAGATCTTGATCAGAAAGTAGGTAATGGTGTCGGATCTGGACAAACGATGCACTATTTAACTGAAACAATTGACATGCGAATCCCCGACAAGCCAAACTCTTTGCACGTAATAATCAAATACATTGCAAAAACGTCCCGTAATAATCAAACTATCATCAATTAATTGATTATTTTACCTTGAATCCCAGACTCCGCACGCATCGACCTGATGGAATCGAGTAACACAAACTAGCTGCATTAATGCATCAACACATGATACTTTGAGTTGATTGGACCATATCATCATCATCCCTCCGACTCAACACATGATACTTTGAGTTGATTGGACCATATCATCATCATCCCTCCGACTCTGACGGATCGGGGATCTATGTGCCAGCTTGAAGTGTGTGGGGTGGCTGGGTAGTGCGGTGAACGTTCCCAATAGTCAATCCATGTACGATGGACAATGCGTAATGCTGTGCTGCTGACAACTCCTGCAGCGGTCATGGCTGATGATATTAGATTCGTTTGTACTGCAGTTGATACTGCACAACCATCTCATACAACTATGCCAACCGTATGCTGTAATGTGGTCATGTATTGTATCTGTCTGACTGTCTGACTGTATATGTGATAGGCAGATCTACTCGATTGGATAGTGACCAAGATCTACTCGATTGAATAGTAACCAAACGCACTGCATGTTCATACTTGTAGACGTCTAGTACGACTGTAGTGGTTGATGGTTGTGTATGACTGTAGTGACGAGTCTGTTCACACGATTATTGCATGATACTCCAACTGCATCGAATACAAACTGCTCAAGTAGTCTTGAACGCAGTGACACCCGGTTCAGCTAGTTTACATGAGCAAGTATATCCACACATCTTCCGTATAATCTGTGCAACACATTGATGGTATACACAGATCCAGTCAGTCAATCTACACAAGTCTGCACATTTTTACGCGTCTGAACTGCAACTCTTCACTACTACCTAAAATACATTGGTAATGCATACCAGACAAACAAGGTTTCATGCATTGCTAAAATCAAAATAGTACTACTGGATCTAATCAATACACTAGGTTAGTAAATACAACCCACGTAAATGTCTGTTTGGTATTCATTGCATGGATCAAATATACTGAAAATACAAATGTCTGTTATTCTGTTTGACTGGAAAATCAAGCACGCTAATATCAAAATACTCTCTTCATCTGATATACCCATAACATATATGTCATCAACTCAACACTGGTGATATTATGACATTGGTAGAAACCTGTCCTTTCAACTTACTGCTGATGGATTATCAAATCATTGAATTTTGAACAAATCGTTGGATTTGGTTCAATAGCAAGTCATAGTATACGAGCAACCGATGTGTGCATTGTCGACAGTTGAATTGGATATGGAAACGGACCTAGTCACTGTTTTTCTGCTAGCTTTGAAAGGCTGGTAACATCAACACTCACCACTGACCAACCTCATGTGCTCCAACTCACTATAAAATGTAGATCTACATATCAAAGAGTATAGTCGACCATGCTTCATTCCAAATACACAACAGTTCAAAGTAGTTTGATGATAGCCAAGTAAAATACAACCCCATATGAACAAGACAGCTTTGTTGGACAGTTACCATTGCCAAGATGATGCAAGACCATAATATTGCCATTTACATTTCTTTAGCCACAACTTGCTGAATTTGGCAACTCGTGCAACCCGCGCAATTTCAAAATCAGATCATTGGATTAAATTGGATTGGATTGGATTAAATTAAATCGGATTGGATTAAATTGGATTCAACCCAGTATTGGCTTGTTGGGTAGGCTGTTGTATCATTAAAATGTAACTTGACAGTCTCAGAATTCAGTATTGGCCAATTCATACAAATCTGCTCATCATTTACCCAAACAAGTCGATACTAATGATTTTAGATTCATCATGGTCGCAGGCTATTCATAATGCATCACACGTGAAGTTCCATAAATTGATTTCAAAGCTAGTTTAGATGCATCAACCCATTTTAAACATTAATCAATGTCATTTCAAACATATCCTAAAATGAATGGTGCGGATGCAGAGCCATGTCACAGTTGAATGTGCTCCTACCATACCATTTCCTGTAAAACGAGTGTCTGTGTATAGACATGATCAGTGGCCATGTATTACACCCATCACATCATCAACTATTGAGTCATTGACACCATTGACACGATTATCTAGCACCACATCATTGTAAACATATTGTGCAGTACCTAGTCGTACACATGGAACATCAAATGCAATCCCAGTTCACTCCGACATACTCGTATTCAAAGTTGGCAGCAAACAAGTCATTACATACATACTGTCAAACAGCAAATACCTTGGTTTGGATCGTCGAGGGCACTACATTATCGCGACATCAGTGACACCAGTGACATCAGTGACTTGAACCAGATCTCATTCAGCGCGTCGATGGATGCATTTGGTATTGATGGTATGGAGGTGTTTGAATCTGGCGATGATTTAACAACTCAACCCATACATTATTCGTTGCGCTAATGTTATACCGTATCCAGCTAGGACATGCATAGTGTGTCAAACGAGATCAATGTTCCGTATGGGGATCCGAGTCAACGTTTTTCACCCATGACCAGTTCAAAGATCTGGATGTTTCAACATACACTAACATGGAGTGTCGAGTTTGGACAATATGTAGACTCAATTACGATCGGAGCTGCGTTGACGTGACAAGGTAGACAATCTGATGAATGATGGAATGTATAATATCGAGGTTTCACAAATCCAAAATTGGAGAGATGGTGAAACACGTTTGATTGTATCACTCGGATGCCATGTTTAGTATTCAACATGAGATTTTGACTAAACTGCGCTCAGATGTAGCACGTTCAAACCAGCACTTGCATTCAGCACAACAATTCAATACTATGCAACGCATTCAACACAGATCGGTATGATCAAGAGCATGTCAGTGATGAATGAGTGAATGCTAGTGATGAATGCCAACATGTATCAACTTACAAGCATGATGTGGCATCACAATAACTCGACAGTGCGTATCCCAGACACTACTGGACAAAATGCATTGAAAACACCCCAAATATTGCAATCTACCTACACAGCGTTGGTGGATTATCTGTCACTGAATTTGGAGCATAAACTGGCAACTATACATGCAAATATGCATAGACTCTGATAGTCCTGCAACCAAGTTCCAGATGCCAATTCAAATATGTACTTGGATAGTCAGGGGTTGTAACACGATCATTTATTCAAATCGCATATATACACACATGTTATTGTTGAATGGCAGCAATATATAATGTCTCACAATAACGGGATATTGCTGGCATTGGATACCGTACCACAGTCGCTGTCTCGTGTGGTCAAACCGTGTATAAGCTCCATGTATATATCATCACATAGATTGAATACAAACCATGATAATCTGGAATTACAAACTGTTTCACTCAACTCGATCCGACTCGGGTTGACTTGAATTGACTCGAATTCAAAAGCCAATTGATTATTGCATGACATTAAATCAATTGCAATGGAGGCTGCAACGTATGGATCAGTCACGTCACCAACAGAAACATCAAAAGCAAATCAAATGGCCAAAAAGCAATTAGAAGAGTTTGTTTTCAGGTTAAAAAACTTGAAAAGCAGAACCAGATGTTAAATGCAGAGATTATTGTGCTAAAGGGTTTGGCCGATAATAGAATATCTAATGACTGATGTGTATCAAATCATATGCAGTTTGTCATTCAAGAAATGTCCATCAACAAGACAACCAAGCATATATATGCGTACATGGTTACGAGTAAAAACAACTTGATATTTGCTCGAGTACGAGTGTAAGCTTTAGTAAAACTGCGATACCATCAAATCTATAATCCACTGAACATATTAGATTGCAACGAATCGATGCAAGCCATTGAAAATACTAACCCCAATTCAATTGATACGACTGAATCTACAGTACAGTCGTATTCACATAAAATGCAACACTAAATAAGAGTGTGTATAACAAACAGCCAGTCTCATGAAATGATTGGCGTCAGTTTATTGGTTGGCATTGTGCCATATACACTGTTTAGTTGATTGATACTGTTTGATGATTGGCATGTAGAGTTGCATCCCTAAAATATGTTGAACTAGAACGCGAATGTATCCGATTAAAATACAAAGTTTGTATAGATTTGGCAACAATCAAACCAATATTTGGATTGCAATGCATCAATTTGGTCATTGTACAATGTATGGCCATGTCAAATGATGAGATTACTCCAGTTCAAACCGATGGTTTGATTGTGTACATCATACGACAAACGTTGTGTTTATTGAAGGATTAACAATGTATATTGATAAAGTTGATGTGTAGTATAGAACACTGCAAATAACTAACTATTGATCATCCAAAGCAAAATAATAATTAAAAATGTTTTGTTTTGCATGAATAGTGCTAATTATAAAATACAAAGCCGAGATCAATTCTTTAATTTGAATATTCATGTGCGTTTAGATTTTTTGCAATGCATTAATTGCATCATCTACATCGCTACCAGTATACACGTCGTGATTTAAAGTAACAATAGTTCTGGCGATGCTTTTTAATATAGACTTACTAGTGATAGCGCCAGTCAAGGTATGATCCATCTCGGAAAGCATTTCAAAACCTAGGTGATAGTCTGATACACTGTTCAGTCCAAATGTCAAAGCCTTGGTATTATCTACTCGACAGATAGTCATAATTTCATATAGCATCGACTCTACTTGATATATGTCGCCCAATAGTGACGGGCGAGATAAAACTATAATGGTCATAATCCGCTGTATGTCATTTGTAAGTGACATTTTTACTTTGATTGACTTGAGCAACTGCAAAGGAGATACATGACTTGGTCCAATGATATCACGAATAGATTCCCAGGTAGAGATGTCGCTGTTGACAGATTGAAAAGAACGAGAGTACACTACTGTCATTATCTCGTTTGCAAATTCGCGTAGATCTAGATCTGCACATTCTTTTGATTGAACCTCCTTGTCATTGCCTTCGAGTGTAAGACGTATTGATTGAGATGTAGGCTGATAAGGAAAAATAATTTTGAGTTTTTCTATCAATTGCTCAACATTACCGATTCGACCATAAGCCCGTGCAAATTCAGACACAACTGATGTAGGTAATGAAGAACTACGTTGCGTCTGTGATATATAGTGATTCCATAGTGTATCTAGTAATTTTGAATCTGATGCTTGCGATGATATGCAAAACGTGCTGTCTATACCAAAGTCATTCAACAACAACAGTATAGTGTTTGTGTAAACCTTTGATCCGTATAAGATAATCTCTGCGATGGCCCATTCCAGTCCGTGTCTTGTGAGTTTAGCGTCAACAAACTTTTTTACAATCAGATTCGCTGCATCTTCTGTTACGACCACACCATAGCGATTCAGTTTTCTAAACCAATGCAAACACATTTCCAATTTTACTTGTTCTACTTTAAGCATTTCGGCTATATGCTCGTCAAATTTTGACCTAATGTTCTTTCTCCAAAGATTGTCGAGTCGCATAGCAGAATCTAGTAGTCCGACTTGCACACGAGGATCGTCTAATACATCCCATGAGACTAGTTTTTCGAAAATGTCAGAAATACTTTCTAAAATGTAGGTATTTTCCAGTAGTATGACAGCTGTATCGATTTTTTCTGGCCTCGTAGTATTGCTATTTGAATGTTCAAAGATAGTTGCAATAGCTGAAAGGGAGCTATCGATTCTCTTGTGGAATTTCTGGTAGTCTACGTTAGATAGCATTATTTTTAGCATGATAATGTGATTTTTTGCAGGAGCTGAGTTTTGCAGCGTATGCATCATACTGTCAAATATTTTCAGTGCGACAGTGATGTTGGCGTTTCCCTCGAAAAGTTGAAGCATAAATAGCCACAACGATGGTTGGTTTGGAATCAAGTCTTTATCAAACAACGACATTACTTTAAAGTAGAAACAAGAGTTAGACACAGTTTCGAATGAGTAGTATGGATGTTCAATATATTCGAGTTGACATACTTGATTGGTAGTTTTCCAAGAGTTGTTCATTTTTGTCATACCCACTAACCAGAGCCTCAAACACCATTGTTGCAGATTTGACTTCCTGGCCTAGATCTGAATCGCGCACGTCCTTGACAAAGGCCAAAGCAATGGAAGCAGCCAGATCCATTCGGCTTTGATTATTTCCAGGTTTTGCACATTCGAAAATCAAATTAGCGCAGCACCTAGCAAGAATTTCAGAGTGAAAAGAGTTTTTGTCGTCTATATAGCGTAGTCCTTCCACTACATCATGGTAGATGGCAGCGATTGTCGATTCAAACAAAGGCTGTTTTGAATTTGAAAGATTGTTGATTGATTTTAAAAATGATAATTCTACAGATGACTTTTCAACGGTAAAAGTATCTAATGACCGATTTTTAGCCAGATCTAAAAAAGGTTCAAGTGATTGAGATGGTTTACATAGCAGAACTGGACGTGGCCTCGAAAACGGAGGCCAGTTCATACCATCGGCTGGATCAGAATTATCGTCAGATATATAAATGGATTTAATATTTGGTTTGGCAGACAGAGGAAATTTGCGAATGGGAGCAGAAGGAGAAAACCATTTTTGCCTCCATGCATGATAGATTGGAATGTATTCGACAATCGAAGTAGAAGTAGAAACATAATGGCGAGAGAGGTGGTGCTTTAGTGAAACAGAGTTCATATTACGCCGTACTCTGATCTGAATAAAAAATAAAAAGGCAGCCATTTGAGTACTAGCTGGATGCTTCTGTATAGTCCAGCCAAGAACCGGATTGCTGAATAAATGCTAAATTGCAAAATCTGCAATTTGACATTTATCGAATATACTCACGTGATCGAATCTCCAGTTTGCAAAGTCGAATTCCATCTGCTTTGCCTTGAATGCAACTCTCTTGCTGGTGAATTGTTCAGTCCATTCAAGCCGATTTCGTAGCAATCAGTTTAAGCATAGCGTATAGTTTTGTATAAAAACATGCTTTCTAGTCTTTTGTTTTTATTGGCGTGTCTTGCCATCTTCTTTATTGCCGGATGGCAGCTTGTTCTGGATTGGATCTTGCATGCTGCTTCTACAGTCAATATACCTACTCGCACATTATTTTCACTCATGTTTTCAAGTTCATGTGCGCTTCTGTTGCTTGTGATTTTGGAGGTTAGAGATACATTTTCCGTCGAGTATGTCACTGATAATCAAGTCTGTATGCTTGACAATACTAGTTATTCATGCTCAAATCCATCGACTCATCACTCTAATGGCTTGGATCTGGTGTGATTAGGGCTCGACTTATTTTTTGGAAATTGAATTTATATGCAAGCCTTGCAAACGTTCTTATTTTATTGCCAATGTATCAGATTATGGTGCTTGCTTCAAATTCACACCATGGTAAACTATAATTTCAGATCAGAAATATTATTGTTTTAATATAATTTACCAATTTTATGTCAACTCTGGTCTACTTGTCGACTATATGCCTCATATTTACCATGTCTAGCTGTGATTCGACGAAATGCATTACAGCTTACCGCGGTAGGATATTGCAGCTTTATCTTTGTATTTTGGAGAATCGATGTTCATTCCCAGTCCTCACTAGGATCCCAAGACACTGCCAGTAAGATAATGACACGTATATTATTACATGATTAGATCCTGCATTTGACTGTCATTGCTAATTTTTATTGTAGTCGGAGGTCTTGTTTCTCATTTAATCGGACGTGTTGGAGTAGTGGGAGTGACTTTGATGGCTCTCCTCTCGGGGTTTGGTGCTGTCAACAACCCCTACACAAATCTGTCTATATTTTTAAGGTAGATATATTTAGTGTTGGTATTTATCACTACGGAGTAAAGCCCAGATTTAATTTTACAACTACTTGCATTGTATTTTAGAACTGTCACAGATAGCGATATTCAAAAGGCAGAAAGTCGCCTTATTCAGACCGTGGAAATCACTTTGGACAAGAAAAGACGGCTGATGCAGACTGAGCAATCCAATATGGTAAGTGCAATGTGTGCGTAGATCTTAAATCAATTACTTTTAGATATTTAACTCGAACATTGTTTAGACTTCTAAATCTGTACCAGATGTATCTAAAGGGTTTTTGGGCAACATATTTTCATCAGTTACTTCCAGAATAAGCCAGTTTGGAACAACGGGTATAGTATTATGGAAACTAGTCGAGAAAATGATAATTGGATACTAATTTAAAACATATTTTATTTGGTGATTGATTCAAGATATTGCCACAATGAAGTCCGAGATTGAAGCCCAGGAGTTGATGCTTGATAGTTTATTTATGGATTTAGATGATTTGCTAGTGGACAAGGTAATACGATTGAAGGTATCATTGTGTTACAAGTATGCATATAAATAACCTTGGTTGAATAAACTTTTCAACAGGAACGATTAAAAGAAGCAAAAACGCTCAGGGGCGTGTTTAACAACATTTTTGGATATATATTTTCTGTATATTGTATATTCAAAACCATCATGGTAAGTCTTTGATCTGCCATTCCATACCTCTATGCTGTCTCATTTTAACCCCAATTATTTCATAATGATTTAGGCTGCTGTAAACATTATGTTTCGTCGACAGGGAGAAACAGATCCAGTTACGAGAACTCTAGATATTTTAGTGCATAATGTTGGCATAGAATTGGATGTTAATTTGTGGGCAAAGGACATTTCCTTTTTGCTACTTGGCGTGTTGGTTATTGTTTCTGTGCGAGGATTGCTGGTACAATTTGCCAAAGTCTCGGTTGCTTTTTCTAGCTCAATTTCTCAAACTAGTATTATTTTGTTCATGGCACATACAATGGGATTTTATTTTTTAAGTGTTGTATTAATGCTTCGTGTTAACTTGCCTGTCCAGCAAAGGTGCACAAATTTAACTGTCATTATTTGCTCGTGTTTAATCTACATTTCAAATGGCATTCTTATTGATCCAAGTATTTTTCAAATGCATATCTTATGGTGCTGATTTAGGGCTCGCATAGAAACTATTTTTGGGAACGTTGAGTTTAATTTTTATTTGCATTGGTTTGATGTCATCTTCTTTCTTTCTGCAATAACTTCCATGGCCATACTTTATTTCATTGACCAAATGAAGCGAAAAAGCAATATATATTAACACTCATTTATCAATATCGGTGCATCAGACGATCTGGTGTTGCTTGAATACTGCTTTGACTCTCGGCCATTTGTAAAGATTTGATCCATGAGTTTTTCGTAGGTCCAGTTTGCAACCTTATGACGCGATGAAATTATGCCAATTGTTTCTTTGCGAGATGAGAATGGATGCTGTTCAAGAATGTCTTTTCCAGTTCCAGAATGAAGTGCAGCACGGTATGCACTATATGCTGTGGATCGTACTAATGGGCCCAAGGCAATTTTTGAAACAACCATTTGGCTCTGAAGTGGTCCAAACGGCTCAACCTAAATAATTGAGCCATTTAAATTAGAATCCATGTACAAGTCAATACTCTTTTAGCAAAACATCGTATAATTGACTCACAGAACTATCTCGGTATGTATCAACGGCATACATGCCATTAGGTAATGGGGTGATGGCAATTTGTGCATTCCCAAAGTCGCCACCAATTGTATCCCATTTGTAATCGCGATAGTGCTCATTCCAGATTACATGAACGTGGTCATTTCCAATATGCCGTTTCTATTAATTGACAGTTGAAATAGGAAATTTAAACATTAGGATTTGGTTTGATTAAATCAGTGACATTCAAAGAGATGCATCATCACCTTTTTCAATTGTTTGGGGTCGGCTGAATCTGTTGGCATTTTGGTGACATCATGGAACATGATCTCTAATGTGGAGGTACAGAAATAGGTAGCCACACCACCATTTACCATGCTTCGTTCTAAACCACCAAGATATCCAGGATGCTTTGCCAAATCCACCTGGACCAAAATATGTGTATTGGTAAGCGCTTTAAATTTGCATTTGTACATAGCGATTGTGAATTTAAATACCACACCTTCCAGCCCAAACTAGATACAAAGTCATTGTATTCGGGACTCCCACAATTATTTCTAAATATAGAATATTCATCTTCTTCTCCTGGAGCAACATATATAACTGCTACTTTGGCTACATCTCGACTATGTAGACAAATGTAAACATATTTACCATGTCAACTAAAAACTCAATTTTAAATTCTATAAATGTTGGTCTACTTACGAATATTTTCGATCTAATCCTTTGATATCTCGGGCTAAACTTGGGGTTTTTGAAAGTAGATGTAGATCACCTGTTTTCGTATAGTCAAAAGTCAGCAACCCCATATGGCTCAGCAGTAGTCGTGAACACTGCAAAATTGAAGGGCTTTCTTTGTATATCAAGGGAGAAGCACGAATGTAGTCTTTATAACTGGCTTTCGCATCTTTTGGAAATCTATTTGGCTGTTTGGATCGTGCTGTTTCATCCTGAACTTGCCGTTTTATTGCTATAATGATTTCTGATAATTCAGCACGGCCCTGCAACAGTGTATTGGATGGAGTGTTGAGTGTTTCAGGCTGATTTTCCAAAAGACAATCGGCATGTTGGTCTCCAATTCTAAGCAATGTTATTCACGAGATTGATGTTTAAATCATGCTAGATGTTGATACTCAGCTTTGCAATACAATCCATAATAAACTCTTACCGTTTCAGTAACTGTTCGAGCACATCCGGAACAAACATATTACTGTTTTTTGGTGAAATTTCTTCGCTTTCAGAATCCGAATCATATTCTTTTATATCAAAAGGTTCTTGCGCAAAAATGACATCATCATTAAACTTAAACTTGGCAGCCGAACCAAGCGGTGTCTGAACCATTGGAGCGTACGGTATTGCTGTGCTGTCGGTTGGTTCAACTTCGCTGATGGATTTATAAAATGGGTGAGTGTCCCAAACATATTTTCCAGTGCAATTGCGCATAATGATGCGACATCGTGAGCCTGTCGTAAAAGTGCAATACAGCATTAACATGATGCATAGTTTAAATAAAATCATGTTTATAATCACAAATCAAGTTATACCTTGTTCAATATCAACAAATGAAATAATGAAATTGTCATTGTAAGTAAAGGTTTGTATACTGTGATTATTGGTTTCTTCATAATGCGGTTCGGAAATATGCCTAAATAAAGCTTATATTGTAAAATCAACTAAATCTTGAATACTTTTTGATCAAATACAATATCAAGTGATACTTACGAGCTCATCATTGCCGGTCCATTAATTGGCGCAAAATTATCTGTATGATGAAGGAGATGCATCATGGCATTTTCGGCACAAGACTGTTGTTTCATCAAGGTTAAAATGCAATGGCTTTAACATATAATCTCAAATTCAAATTATTTATATACAATTTTCTATACCCGAATTGCCCTGAATGAAGAAATGATTTCTTTTTCGATTGAAGAACTATCACGGAGCTCGGGATTTAGTGCACCATCTGTACGGGTATACATTGAAATGTTAGTATAAATTCAACATACTCACAGCTGTTTACATTTCATGTGATTTACCATCAGTAGAGTTGGATCGTACTGTACTATGCGACTGCTGTGCATCAACGCCAATACACTAGTTGAGCAAAAGTTAGTATTTTGCTTGCTTAAACATGATATGTTTGAAGCTACAAAACAAGATAAAGGCGTGAATTACTGAAATATGAATAGCTTCCTCTATGACTTCGGATACACGCAAGGCAATATTGGGATTTGTCATGACCGTTTTTGGAGTGCAGCTGAGCCAATCGACTAGGCAACGAAACAACATTGATACAATGATGGCTGGAAATCATGTCAAAATGGTCAATATGCTACTCTATTCTATTCTACTTTATAAAATAATGTTTACCTGCCGAGTTGACAACTGATGCCTGTTTCCGTGTCTTTTCATCAAATTGCATATTTTCCGAAATGCCAATCACCAATCGATCAATGATTTGATGCACTAGCTCCTATTCATATTCACAGATATATTAGAATTTTAAAGTATAATTCAATTCAAAGTAGGTTGGCCATTCAATGTATAGTCGTACTCTATCCAGCTGAAGTGTTTCATAGCTATGTGCAAACAGTGTAAGACAATCAATCGCAGCTCGAGCCAAACGTGGATCGCGCAAGGAAATATTATCCAACAAAACTCCAATGCAGTTATAAACAATAGATACATTGGCTCTAAAAAATCACATGGTATAAGTGCAAGTATCAATTGATTGGGATATAGCAAAGATACATACTCTGCGGAAACCAAACACTCCTCAAATGCCATAACGCCCAGCGACCAAATAATCTGCTCCATAAATCCAATCTTGGACTCCTCTAATTTCACTGTGTAAGTAGTCAAAATTTTAACGGCAAGATCCAATAAATTTTCTTTAACTGTAGAAAAGTTTGAAAAACTAAGATTGGGCTTTAGAGTGCTAGGCGAAATATCTGACAGCCGTCCTTTAAGAGCAACGGGTGTGTCTGCTGGATACTCGCTACCATTGAAACAGCTTGTTGAAACTTTATTTTCAAAAGTAGGGCTGCTGCTTTTCACACATACCAATGATGACAATATTTGAATACTTGCAGTGGCAACTTCATCAGACAAATTATGCTGCGTGGTTATGTAATTGATTGCCTTGATAAAACTAGGAATAAGAAACAGCGCACCGGGCAACGACAAGCAAAAAATACGCTGAGTGTTGAGCAGAATTGAATTAATAACAGGAATATGTTTACTTGAAAGCCATTTTTCCAATATTCTGTAGTAATGAGTGTAGTACTCTTCAGAAAACTCTTGATCGTGTCGTTTGCACATCATTCTGGAAATACAGCCAACAGCTACAACAATCGAGTCAATAAACTCTATAGGTAGATCTGCGCTACTAAAAATAATTGGCGCAAAATCAAACAAACTTGGCATATTCATGTTGTCGAATTTTTGACTTTGGCGAATCTAAATACTCGTGTTGGATTTTGAATAATATTAGGTTATCTGACACTCGATTCTATGCATAGTTGAATAAAAAATACCTTGTTAAGAGTATCCCAGACTTGAACAAAACAGGAAATGGCATCAAAATGAATTGCAGGAATCTACAGTCAAAGCAGTTAGTACTGTAATACTAGAATCTGTCCAAGCTTGAAACATTAAAAGTCGTTTGAAATACCTTGATTTCATTAATTCGTCCAAGTGTACAAAGAATGCTTTTCCAGATCCAGAGTGAATTCTCTGCGTTCAAAAACTCGATATCTTTTAATGAACCAAACGTGCTTGATAAAGTATGTGATTTGTGCTGTTTAACTATACAACACTCGAGGCTCCTAAGCAATTGAAGTCAATTTACAACTGATGGCGTATTTCATGTTTGTGATGAACAGTAAAACTTACTCGTCATCGTTTACTGGCTCATACAAGTTGCAATCAGGATTTCCAGAATACTGGACAACTTTTTCACGAAGATACTTGTACTATAATAGAATAATTCTAATCAGTCTTTTATAATTAAACAAGCATCATATAACACTGTATTTAAGTTACCATGGCATTTGAAGATGATTCTTTGGTTGATGAATTTGAAAAATCACTTGATTCGTAAATATGCATTTTTTCTCGTTTTGTGCGATCCAGAATAGGTGATGCAGGCGGTATGGCTAATTTATCCAAAAACCGAGAATCTAGAAAATACTCGATTAATTTTTACAGCAGTATTTAAAATTTGCTCATCCTATAAAATGCATTACCTTTTGAAATAGAAGCATCTCGCCATGGATATGATTTGCTCATTATTGGAGCATGCCCGAGTTCAGCTATATAAGTAGTTGTTGATCCCATGATAATAGACATGATAGAGGCATCCCTAGCGTTTTTTCCTGTGCCGATTGTCTTGCGATGACCACGAAGTTTAGTAAACTCTTTTTCAGTACTGACTAGGCGATTTACTCCCGATTGAACATCAAAATCATAAACCTTGTCTGCCATGACATGAGTAAATTTGATTGTAATATTCTAGGATTCCACGTAATGGTTAATAAACAAATAGGCGGAAAAGATTGGGTTAAAGTATAAATACTTGGCTCAACTATATAACTTACCGCCCATTCCTTGACATATTCAGACCAAACTGTGCATTTAACAATACTGTTTCGTAATTGTTTCCACAGTGTTTCATCAGTTGAACGACTTCGGATCCACACAATCAATAATACTTCTGCAAGAGTATGCACCAATGAGGTTTCCGTATTCATTATATTTAGATTCGAAAGCAGTTTTTCTTGAATCTCGAGCAAAGTTTGCATAAGTAGCTGCCATGTCTTTGTTTCCAGAGTTGCAAATGACTCTGTTGCAATGGATCGATATATATCAAATGCATCTTGATATAACGAGATCTGAAATCATAAAAATCTTGTAAGTGATTGTACCAGAAAATAATATGTATAATTATGAAACAATCCAAAAAACTTGCCTGATTTTGTTGTTCTCCAGGCACTTGCGACTTTTGAAAAAACACACGCTGAATATTTTGAATGTATCGTCGCAGACTCTCGTTGGACAGTTTTTCTTTGTTATGAGCGACTTCGTCTGCATCTTCATCTACTTTTTGATCCAAATCAAAAACTGAAAATGAAGTTGATCCCATTAAATTATACTCTGGCTAGTATTGAATGTGAAGGCAAACATTAGTCTAAAGGCGTGCATGTGAGCTGTGTACAAATCACATTCAACAACTAAAAGGTTTACCGATAAAGAAAGCCATGTAGCAATCACAAATAAAGCTAATTCGCTTGTTTTATAATGTGAAATAGGCAAATGAAGAGCTTGCTTGATGATTTCTTGTACTGTTTCGCGACTACCATCACTTGCAAGAATCACTCTTGTAATAATAATAGCAGCAAATTCGTGCGGAGGAGTAGTTGGGCTTACAGTAAAATTTGCACACAAAGTTCGGACAATAAATCTGACCAGTACTTGAAGGATTTGTGGTGGGCAGCACTCGAATCCTTGATTGTTGCCAATTTCTATACCCACGTAGCGACTTACACTTGGAAAAAGGATCCGAAGATAGGTTTTTCGAAAAATAGTCCACATGGTTGTTATTTTTGAACCAAGTTCGCTACTAATGGCGTTGGTAAGAGTCTTTGAAGAATATCCTGGAAATTTTGTGTTAATAACATATTAGATAGCAGATATATACAAGCGCGACATCAAAGATAGTACTGAGATTTAGGGTACCTGATTGTGGAGTGGAACATGCCAACACAACTGACAGATTCAAAATGTTTTGAAGAATCTCATCAATAAGTTCGCATTGGTCGGTTTTTGTAACGGATGTGGCTGGATATAAAATTGTGTCATTTGGACAGGATAATAAGATGGCTTGCCCTGTATTGATGGCAAGTATAGCAATAAGTTATGATCAGGTGTCGTCTAATTGGCAGAATGCTGGACATTTCAAACAAAATATTCAATTATACTGTATAAATACCTGATAGACTTGAATCTACATCATTTACATTTTTTTTGATCACTTTAATAGGCTTTTGTAACAGTAGCCCGCGTTCTTTTCCAACCCATGCAGGCGGAGCCTCCAGTTTAAAATGCGGAGACAATTCGTTTTCTCGTGATGGAATGGGCTTCAAAGTTCCGGTTGGCAACAAGGCAGATTCAAATAGATCTAGTTGGATTGTATTAAAGTATAACTGAACATACTCATCAATCTGATCGGTTTGATGGATGGACAAGTACTGAAGCAATAAGCGAAAACCATCTACGCGCAATCGTTGATGGTTTCCTGTGGCTAATAGAATTTCAAATACTTCATCTATTTTATAAATTATAACTAGTTAGCTGCTTATGCTAGCCTACCTTGATACAGCATCTACTGCTTTAAAACCTCCATTTTTACAAAAATGCAATATTCAGTCCATCACATACTCAAGCTGCATGTAGCCCAGGAAGGGAGAGGGTTAAAACTAATTAGCTGGATGATTTTTGAAAGTACAGTAAATATCTCATGCAGATCGACGACGTCCTTGCTTGTCGGGGTGTAAGTGCGTTCGGTTTTTTCAGTTATACGCGCTATACGATAGAATAAATACTCGAGCGTAACATTGTATATAGTATGGTCATGCTCTTGAAAAAACTGTTTCTGGTCAGATTCTGTTGCTCCCTCTAGTCAAAATAAATTGGATGGTAATATAAAATGTACATGTTGGTGAGGTGGACATTGTTTTTCAAATGATTTCATGTAGGTACGAATTTTCTTTATGGATTTGATATGGGCTGAACAAACTAATGCACTTGCAACTAGAAATGCTCGAGACTCTGTAGATATAAAAGCTACCTACCCAAAAATACCAAGAGACTCTTTATACGAAGTTTAGCCTTTTGTTTTTCATCCAGAAAAGGCTTGACTTTTTTCAATAGGCGTTCAAATCTTCTTTCATCTGGCATGGCTGTATGTAGCAGTGGAGGCATACAAGTTCAACTTGAATAATGTTCATAAAACACGTTTATAAGTCTGAATTCAAAACAAGTCTGCTTTATTTCACTGCTTTGATACCAAGTAGTTTCTTTATTGGCTATATTGAAAACAAAAACTCTAAATTCTACAGTACCAATGGATTCACATAATCAAAATATTGTATCCATAGTTTATTCGACGTAAATGATTACAGTTTAGACTTGAGAGGCTCTAATCTGTATTTCACATCTTTTAGACTCCGACTACTACCTACATCCCAAGAGTCAAATAATACAATAATATTGTCGAGATCACTTGATAGCTTCGCATTAGCTGCAATCTTTGGGTCAGAAGTCAATTTTGCCATAATCCATGGCAAGTGGTATGGGTTGATCTTCTGAGGTGCTTGAAATGGTGGGCTTAGCAGAATAGACTCGTAAGATGTAGGAGTGGTCAAAGTAGAAGCGTCACAATCTTTCAATGATTCTGACTGTATTTGTTGTTGTTTGGGCGGTTGAAAAAGTCGGATGGAACTCGAGTCTATGCCAAAAGGCTGTGCAGATGAACTTAGGTGTCCCAAGGCAGGACGAGACCAATTTTGTCGGGTGCCCATGGTCCATGCCACTGCAACGGTATATGTGTTTTCCTCTTCATAGATCGCGTAATGGCCTTGAGTGCCAAATCCATAAATATTTCCAGCCAAAACATCGGATAGATATACAATAAGACCGTGATCAAGCAATCCTGCATTACGAAGTTTCAGAGCAAATACAACAAGGTGGCTTAGGAAATCTGGTTGGTAGTCTGCAGCATCTATATACAGCGCTCGATATATATTTGGGTGATGCAATCCATGCAGAGTAGCAGAATATAACTGTAGTTTTTTGAAAAAATTAGACTGTGATTTAATTGTAACCCAGACAAGAATTTAAAAAAGATACTTACTGGCACTGCCTGATCATACCAACTCCCAACAGCAATAAAACGGGCACCAGCCGACAGTACTTTGTATGCAGCCTGGTAGTATTCTCGTGATATCGAAGAGTCTGGATCGTTGAATTCAAATAATTGGCGGGCTGGATCAGATTCGACATATTTTACTATTAGACTTGATTTGAGAGTTGGATATGGACCTACAATAAAGTAGTCAGTGTGAGAGTTTAAAAGCACATAAGACACGGATGATAAAAATAGCTCAGGCTTTACATTTTAATTATAGCCAAGCAAGCACATACCATGACTAATACCGGCCATTGCTAAAATTCCAGTTCGTTGTTTTCTGGGATCAAGAATGCCTTGTTCGATTAGTCTAGCCACCAGCATAGTTGCTACGGGTGTGCCTTGACTATGAGCAGACACCAACACAAGATCAGCACTTCTAATTGCATCAATCCATTTTTTTGCTGGATCCGTGAGTTGATCATAAAGCAGCTCGACACGGTCTTTTACTTTTCCCTCACCCTCCAATGGAATAACAGTCATGTTGTCCAGTGGTAGATTAATGCCATAACGATCATAAAAAAAGTTTTTACATGCAAATGCCATTTTTTGAGCAAAATGGGTTGATGTACCGGTAGGCTCACCAACAACACGCTGAAGAAGCCTACCTGGAAACCAACCATGAACACCAATGATGGCAACACGTTCAATATCATATGGAGTGCGAGTTAGTCGATCTATAGCACTAGTGAGAATTCCAGAAGAACGAGGCTCATCAGTGTGACCCATTATGGTGTGATACCATGAATTGAGCCAATGCAGTGTCCGCATATAGAACCAGCGAGGATTACTTTCGCGAACGACAGTGTTGTCTGCCTCCAACTCTTCTTCATATGAAGGCAAGACACGATTGCGAGAACTAAAAAAAACACGAGGTTTACGGAGAATAGACAAGTCTGGTGTGGAGGTGGAGTGATGTTTATGATCATCTTGAGCCTGATTTGATTCAGGATGCGAGATGGATTGTGATGATGGCAGTTGTTTTGCTGCCTTGTCAATAGACTGCAAAAGATCATCATCGAGCTTATCTGGAATTGCAGACAAAACACCCTCCTTGACATCATCTTTGTTATGCTGATCATGTGTACTATCAACCAATGGATCCGACTGCAAGACAGAAGTATCCTGTAGCTTTGTAAGCTCGATGGATGAATCTGAGGATTCACTGGAGTGAGTGGAGGATGGACGAGTACAGTCTAAATGCGATATCTTGTCATTACTTTTGGCAATAGAACTATTCTGGGCATCCTGGGCATCCTGTATGGGCTTTTCGGCAGTGGTTCCAGACCACATAGAAAAGATACTAAAAGGAGCCGTCCAAGTCATTTTGAAGTAATTGGCAGAAACCAAGGACTTGTAATGGGTTGAAACCAAGGAATTGCTGTTGATGGGGCGGAGAGTAAGTCTCCAGATGCGAGACAGCATCGACTATGGACGGTATCACTGTTGGCGGTGGGTGTAACTCGAGGTTTACTCCAACTTTTCCCAATAATTATTATTTCTTTGGTCATAACTCTGGTCCATAGTACGACTCAGGACAATGGAGGTACGCTCTTCTATTGCTACTGTTTTAAATATCTGTCAGCACTCTTATTAATCTTGTGAATCCATCTATTCAAGCCTGGAAGAATCGCACTGCCTATTACCGACAATTTCATGGCAAAGGCGGTCTACGACCAAGATCCAGAGCTAGAGACTCTGGTTCAGGAGTTTGCTCAGCGCATGGCCTCTCAGCAACAGAATGAGCAACTAATGCATGAGCAGCGCAAGGGAAAGGACTACATGGATGTTGATGCTCTTCCTGGATTTGTCTTCAAGACCAAAACTTTGGAAGCTACTGATGACTACCCTCTGGATATGAAGGTTTTTGTCAATATATGCCATAGTTCTGAAATTCCGCAGCCTCCACCCATCTCAGACGAGGAACTGAAAAACGTTGTTGCCAACATGGATTCGTCCTCCTACCGCATCCCGCTTAGTCTCTCCTCTCCTAGATCTGACATTGACAAAGGTAGTTTATAATCTACGTCCTGATCCTGCATGTATTTGCGATTGACAAGTTAAAGATATGCATGCAAAGTGCATTAACTCTAATGTCTAATATGTGCATGTCGATCTATATCAAGGTGGTCACGTCTGTATTGTGTTTGATGTCTGCGTTAACTCGGCTCCATTTGCCCGCACTCGCAAAGATGAATACTTTTGTTCGTTTCTTGTTCTCATGGCAATTGCATGGATTGAACAAAAGCATAAACTAAAGCTCTCTGAAGGTAGTCTTGTGTAATCTAGCTCATTACGACAGTTTGCATGCCTCAATTCTCGAGTACTTTCTCCATATTAATTGGCTCTAAATGTATCGTTTCAAAATGATAATGATAGATTTCTCGTTTCCTAAGATGCGCACAAAAGGAAAACTTGTTCGCCATACTGTACGAAAGTATCGTAAACCATTTATTTCCGAGATGGAGTCCTCCAAAAGCAACGATGAAGAAAGCAACAGCTTATCTACTGATCCATCTTCATTGACAGCACTATCCCCTATCAAAACAACAAAAACTGTCAACAAAACCGCAACTAAAGACACAGCCAACGTGCCCATTCACACCTTTATTTTTGAGCCAGCGGTCGGCCATCCCGAGTATATAGTCATTCAAGTGCAGCTCCCACTGCTCGAGACAATTTCCAAATCCGAACTAGATATTGAATCGGATCGATTGATTTTTGCGGATGGTTTAAAGTACAAATTGGATATCCCCTTACCATTTAGTGTTGATATTGACGAGGCTGGTGCACAATTTAATCGTCATACTCGCATCCTGTCCATCACTACTTCAGTCTTGCCTATAATCACCAGCAAAAATTCAACACAAGCATGACTATTGCCATCTACGCCGTATTCACGTAAATAGGACACATGCTGTCTATTTTGCTCTAGAATAAACAAGGATTAAATATTCGTTATGCTCTCCTATTGCAAATTGACTGTACTGCTTATTCAATAGACATCCCTTTTTGCTCATTTGACAGTATAAATTGTACGATTATCAGATTCATGTATTGCAATCCAGACATTGAGCTCGACTGTTTGGATGCTGTCAATGCAACTTTATAAACTCATTTTGTTGTATTCTAATCTCATACATTCGCGTTCTAGTTCAAACCGGTGATGGCAGATATCAAAAATGCAACTATTGTTTCCATGCCAATCACCACGAGAAAGACTAATCAACTAAAGAGTTTAAAAACAATATTCAGCAAATCTGACACCACTCATTTGATGAAGCTGGCCGTTTATTATCTACTTTGGCTCCCTTATTTAGGGTTCCGTTTTACGTAAAGCCGTCATTTTGCCCATTCTAACCTGTAACTTTGAAACATGAACGATTTGGTGAAGGAAAAGGCATATGTATGTAGTTTAAAACATACAGTATCAAAACCTACAAATATATGCAGAAGCTAGCTTATTTCAGACACTAATGCATACTGTAATTCAATTTAGGAAATTCCAGCAGTTGCATTTCTTGGTCCATTGGGATCATATTCCCATCAAGCTGCATTGAAAAAATTTGGATCAGATGCAATATACCATGAGCAATCAACCATTGATAAAGTTTTTGAAGCAGTTAGTAGCTGTGCAGTGCCATATGGTCTGGTTCCTTACGAAAACTCGAGTTTTGGGACTGTTCAGCAGACATTAGATTCATTCTGGCATCTTCCATCAGACTCTTCGTTGGTTGCAACTGCTGAAGAAATGCTCATCGTTCACCATTCTCTCTTGTCCAACTCAGCTATGGCCACAATCAAGAAAGTGTATAGCCATCCACAGGTACAAGTTTGAAATATTGTTTTAAAACTAGCAATCCAGATGCTGGCATATTAAAGCGTGTAGAGCTCTAACAAGGAGATTGTATTTCCCATTATCGCTGAATATGCAGGCACTTGGGCAGTGCGCCAAATGGCTGAGTTCCAATCTACCAAATGCTGAGCAAATTAGTACCTCGTCATCCTCAGCAGCCGCGAAACAGGCTGCATCTGAGCTCGGAGCAGCAGCTATATGTAGTGAAGTTTGCTCAAGCTTATACAGCCTGAATGTCATTCATCGCAATATTGAAGATTTAGAAGGTAAAAAATTCATAGCTGAATAGTGGTTGTATCCGAGTTGTCTACTGCATAACAGGGTTAAACTGATCAATATGTTGAGATTGTTTTAGGAAACACGACCAGATTTTTTGTTATCGAGAATTCTGGTGATCGATCAATAGGAAATGTCAGGACTTTGATGTATCTTACAGTAGATTCATTGAATCCAAGGGCATTGGGGGATATTTTACAAGTACTGACTACTAGACAAATCACAATTCAAAGAATCGAATCAAAACCGTCTGGTGAACATATTTGGCACTATATCTATTCTTTTGAGGTGGATGGAAGCAGCCATGATACAAACATACAGGAAGCCATTGCTGAGATATCTGCAATTTCTCAAAAAGTTCGTATTGTTGGATCATTTATAGTTGGCAAGGTTTAAATATAAACACTTTTACAATTGGCTTTGTCTGAAATCAATTTATACGATGTTTAAAAACAACTCAGAATTGAAGATAATATTAAATCTACAGACTTGAATAATTGTAGTTCTGGAAACCAATTGCAGTTTCAGATTTGAGCAAATATTTTTATTGGTTTCGCGATCTTCTCAATTGTTACCATCACAAGTTGAAGGCAAGGCCACACTGCAAGTTTCCTCAAAAAACACATCAATAGACTCGGGACTTATCAATCATGGCATTGCATAGGCTTAGACTTGCACAAACAAATATTTTTAGCCATTTTACCTTGCGAAAATCCACACTGAATGTGTTCATATGTCATTCAGCTCTTAGCCAGTCTAGTAGAATGCTATCGATACACTCGAATGAGCAAAAGCAGCTTTCCATTCAACATCGTATTAGATCATTTTGGGAGGGAATATCACGGATATCTTCTGCTTACTATCAAGGCTCTAAACTTTTAGTCGAGCACACTCGACAGGTGAAGAATCTAAAGCAGCAGCAACATCGCAAGCCATTCCAATACTCGAGAAAGGAGTTTATGCTGGCAAGTCACATTCTGACTTTATGGAATGCATAGCAATACTGTCATGTATTTGAATCTAGCTATATTGGCTCAGCTTCTAACCCTTTCTGGATTTCCATTTTGCAATGATAGATCAAAACCAATGCAGATGATATCAAAAGAATCATGCCGTTTTTTATTGTTCTCATCCTTATCCCAGAAACGCTGCCGTTTTTTTTAATGCGTGGTGCAGACATTATCCCGAGTACATGCATCCTTCCTGACCAACTGGTGAGATCTTATTTTCATTTGGATATACCAGTTTAGTTTGAAATAGACTCGTGCATTTGGTCTCGGTTGAATCTTGAAATACTAATTTATGTGTGTTGGTTAATAGCTTGCCAAGAGAGAGAAGTTAAAGAAAGTGCGCCATCAGCTCACCGCAGATGCCATTACTAGTATTTTAAATGGACAAGTGGTAAGCTTTCAATCTTGTGATGAGTTGACAAAAGTGACGAGTTTGGCTGATTAAATCTTTAACCCAACTGCACTGATTTAGCTGGAGCCCGAGTCACTTACTAAACCAGAAACAATTAAACATTTGGCTGCATTTCAACCTCAACATTTTGAAATTCATGGCATGATGCACGATCAACTCGTTCAATATTCGAAACTCATGGGATTTTCTACTTGGAGACCTTCATGGATGCTAAAATCTAAGCTCAAAAAGCATTTTCAATTTCTTAAAGAGGATGACATGTTGTTAAAGTCTGAAGGTTTAGAAGGCTTGTCCATGGAGGAATTGCAGCTGGCATGTGAGGACCGAGGCATTGTGTCTGTTGGGCTTGAGCGGGCAAATCTTGCTGATAAGCTGTACAAATGGATTGATTTGCACACCACTCCAGATCCACACATCCAACCGGGTTTGATGATGCTTTACTCGACTGTTAATCCTCATTTTGACAAAACATCATCACAACTATCAGCAAATGAAACCCAGTAAAAAAACTATATGCTCTTTATGACTGCCAACAGCGATAAAATAGTCCAGACCGTTGACTTGTTTTTATTACTACTCCTTGCCTTGACTCATGACCTTTTTGATAAGATCCTGCAATGTACGTTCGGTATCCTTGAGATCGCCCTCTAGTTTAGTTGCCGCGCGCTCCATGGCAACAATTTCTTTTGAAGCACTTGCTGATTTCTTATGTAGCTCATCCTTAAGCATCGAAATATCTTCTTTAATGAACCTGTTTAATTTCAAATACCGTAGTATTCGTGCAAGCAAGGTTCATGTCAGTACAGCTTATTCCTACTTTAAGATTGTAGATCCGCTGGCATAGACACAACAATATGAATTTGATATTAGGAAATATATAGACACAAAGTATCATGGTCTTACATTCTCCCAACAGATCGATAAGCCAAGACAGTGCTATCCAATGGTTCAAGTTCTTTAGCAGTAAGCTCACTTAGTTTTTTCTCTCTCTCCCGACCCTGAAGCTGTCCTCGAACCATAGCCAGCTGCCGTGATGTCTCGCCAATCTTGGTTTGGTATTCGATAGCATACTAAAAATTGTATTTTAAATAGAGAATAGTATGATTATTGGCCAGTTTAGATGAATCTAACGCTTATTTGGATATCGGCTTTGATATCAATGTCTTGGGCACTCAATACATCTGTGCTGCTGATAAAGTTGACACTTGATTCAAGTGCCTTTATTTATCATGAATGAACATGTAGAATTCCATGGCATCATAAAAACAGCAACCCCCAGTAGCCATGTACTTGCCTTTTCAAAGACTTCTTTAGGAATAACACTCATGATGGACTGGTCGCTATGTTGGCAATTCTGGACAGAATTATCCAAAGCAAATAATAAATCACGTGGATAATTTCACTTGTTCCAACTCGGCCATTTCACAGCTGTACTTGCGCAGATGTGATATTAAGCGAGTCGAAGTATAACAGTCAATATCATGAAATGATGGTTTCTATAAAATCTACTGCAAAATACCGTGTAATTTGAACTCCTTGACAAGTTTACTGATTTTCTAATGCTTGCATGCAAACAACAGTTGCATTACGGAAATGTGCAATCATCGTTCTTGAACTGGAATGCAAACGTACGAGGTTTTAGAGTTGTATTGACAAAATCAAAACAGTTGAGCCCAGTTATGAATTGCAATACATGAATCTGTATTCAAACCTGGTGATCATACAATGCATGGTTATGCCAAATGAGCAGAAAGGGGTGATTTGATTGTGTGCGTTATATGATGAGTGTTGTATTTGAAGAGTTGAGAATACCAATTAAAATCAATTTTTAGTAGACAATGCTCAAGACAATCAGCACATGAAGTTTATTTGACAATACTCGAGTAAAATTATGCAATTTGAAGACTATTTGCATGCAACTGCAAAAATATCCTACATAATAGAATCACAATGGCGATTTAACTGCTGTGACAATATGTGTATTTCCTGATATTACAATGCTATGAGTAGGGCTTGAAACTGCAAGGATCATGGAAACAAAAGATTAGTTGTGCAACCAACATGGACTGTATCTCGACTGCTTTCAATCCTCGAAAACCAAGTCGATTGGAAAAACAAATGAATTCAATGAATAGTCAAAATCCAAACATACCAACTATTCGGTGCAAGACATCAGCTGGTAATGAATCGGACAAGCCATTTGTCTCCGCCTTGTCTGCCTTGGCTAGGATACGTAGTGAATCAGTAAAGAGTCCATATATTTGCAAGGCAGATTCAGATGGATTGGATTCAAACTCTCCAGAAGCCTGTTGAATATAGAATTACAAAGCATTGATATAAGGATGGATGAGCTACTAGATAATAAAACAATCATTGTGCGGTATTAACACTACTGGTCTGAATTGATCGATGATACATGATAGGCACTGCCAACTTTAATCGTACCAAAAGTAAACTACCATTTTTACGATTAAGAGCGATTACCCCCACTTGGGCCGGTATACTTTCTTTCAATGACCTTAATTCTTCCTCTGCCTGTAGCTCCAGCATAATTTGCAATATCGTCAACAAATTCGACCATTTGATGCTATATTTCAGACTCATAACACGTGATCAAAATTGACCAGCTATTTTCCAAATCTGAATCTCGCAATCTTTATACACGAAAGAGCTCCAACTCAATTTGCCTGCTAGTTGTCATCCCGAAAAAGCTGAGCAGTAATTTTTAAAAGAGATATGGCTCAACCATCGCATATAGATACTGGGTGGTCTTCACGTAATGATATTACTCGTTCGGACCTTGGCTCCAGCGCCGAACTCGAGCAAGCTTTGAAGCAACTCACCTCGGTGACAACCCATTTCTCAACACAAGCTACCGAATGCGAACGACTTTACAAAAGCCAGACAGAGGTTCGTCGACTTGTAAGCAACAAACAGGCATTCCCCGATGCCACTACACTTGCTCAAACTGAATGCGCTCGCGGTATCACAGAATTGGCATCGGGACTTTTAAATGTAGCAAACATGTTGGAGCGTATTTGGACAGTACAGACCAACGAAATACAAAAAAACAATTTGAAATTAGGCTCAGCCGTTGAAGTATGTACCTTTGATTTGGATTAACTGGAAGGTGACCTGACGAGATATATTCATCTGCATGTAACTTATATTCAACCTCGTCTGGTCTTGTAGTCGTATGCAATGGGCATACTCAATCTAAAACAGCTTTGACAACATTATATTAACTATTAAATGACTTGCTAAATTATACCAATGTTAGCGCGTCGAGATACGATTTGACAAGACAGTATTGGAAGCACAAAGCTTGCTCATCGCACCCAAAGGGTCTGCCAAATCCAAGCGCACAAGAAAAATCATTCAAAAAAGTATATCCTTAACCATTGAGATTGCCTAGAGAGAATTTTGGAGACGACTAACCCAACTAAACTTGGCGTGCTATACTTTTCGAATATCTACGACTACTCAAACTAGCTGCACTGCCACGACCAGCAAAGGAACCCAACTTCAATATTAATTTGCATGCTACAGCTGGAATTGGTATCCAGCCTGATATTACAGTTCAGCCCCAATTTACCTCGGCACCAGAAGCAACTAGATACAGGCCATTTGAAAATCTGTCTCGTCGTGCACAAGCAGTAAATGCTGTTGACCATCATGTTACCACTCGACCTGCTGAAAACCCAGCTACTTTGTTTGTCAAGCTATCTGCAAACCGAGCATCTTCTGGAGATATTGCCAGACACGGCGTGTCGAGCATTCCACCACCTCCTCCACTATCTGCCAAGGGAGAAAAACATGCTGGAAGTGGATCGTTGTCACAAATACACTCCACTCCATTAGCCAGCTATGGCTCTTTAAACAAGGTATCTCAATCAGTTGAACAAGTTTGTCCTGTGTCTAGTGGTCCACCACCACCTCCTCCTCCACCTCCTCCATTATTTATTCCAAATAATTATACAGCTGCAAGCCCAGTTGCACCACCACCACCACCTCCTCCTCCTCCTCTTTTAGATGAATCAGGCACACTTTTACCAAAAAAAGCATTGGTAGAAACTCCAAAAGCAAAACCAAAAGAGCTTAGTTTACAAGATCAGCTCAAAGAGCGACTTCAAAAACGAGCCGAAGGTTCTGGCCAAGAAAAGCCTAATGATGATTCTGTCAAGACTCGTAACTCGCCATCAGTAAAATCCCCTCAAAAGAACGATGGTGGCAGTGGATTGAGTTTTCAGGAACAATTGCAGAATAGGATTAAAAAACGAGCACAGGAAGCAGAGGTTCAAGTTGAGTCTACACCACTACCTGCTGCTGCCGTGTCTGCTGCTTCAACAAATTCGACTTCACCTTGGTCAATCGTGTCTTCAGTGGTAATGACTACACCAGTTTTGGATTCGGCAGAATCACCAGTAAACATTGGTAATCAAGCAAATTTGTCCCCTGTGCGAAATACCATCAGTGGTGTTCCACCGCCTCCACCGCCTCCACCACCACCATCTATCGCACCGGTAACTCAAGATGTAGTAAACATTTCCTCTGGTGGTCCTCCTCCACCACCACCTATGCCAACTTCATCTGGATTGGCTAAAATGTCTGGCGGTCCTCCTCCCCCGCCTCCTCCTCCACCAGATAGCGTAATAAACCATACTCCACCACCAACATCATCAGATGCCAAAATCCTCAAACCAACACGATCAGAACCGGTATCAACTCCGTCTACCATGAACTTCCAAGATCAATTAAAAATGCGTTTAAAAAAGCGTACAGAATCTGCAGGTATTATCATGTGCTCATCAAAATAGCTAGTCTATAAAGCGAGATATATTCCTTAGAATCACCTGTTGATTGTTATTTTGATCTTGTAATGTTTTGACTTTAGATTCATCGGGAGAGAATGCAAGTAAAGTGACTGATCAGCACATACAACAGCAACGTCCAGTTGCAGCCAAACCATCCGCGCTTGAAGGGATCAGCTTTGAAGACCAACTAAAGCAACGACTAAAAAAACGTAGTGAAGGTCTCGGTAGTAAGTCTATTGATTTAAAATTAAAATATGTTGCAAGTAGTTTGATGGCGATTTAATTATGGAGTTGAATTTGGTAGCACCGACCGAACCAGGCGTACAGATTTCCAATCAAAGTAATCAAGAAAGTCAAACACCTTTTGGATTAGATGAAACTGGCAGTCCGCTAAAACCATCGGGTACAAAAACACAACTGTCATGTATCAATTCAATATTATTTACAAATCGCAATGTTTCAAATTGGTTTAACATTTGAAAACTGGTTTTATTTGCTTCTATAGCTTTGAGGAACAAACAGGCGCAACAGAATAGCCCGTTAACAAATACAGGTAAGCTTTTGGAAATCACGCACGCTTTTTTTAAAAATCTTGGTAAGCTAACTAGTTGCATCTAATTCCTGTTTTAATACAGCAGGATCTAAATGGAACACAGCAAAGAAAGATGCCATACCAGCTTCACCAGGTTCGTCATGGCGACAAGCATTAAAATCTACACAGAGTTCTGTCGAGGTGCCCAAATATATTGCAGAAACTACTGCAGAGCCTCCATCTGCCCAAGTAATTCAGCCTGTTCTTGATATAGTACAGGAGAAGCATTCCCCCGTACAAGAGATTAAAGAAACAATTATTAATCAGCAAGTTCAAAATTCATCACCAACAGAAGTCATCCCAACAAGCGTGACTAAAGACGATGACCAACAGGAAAATGCAGTCGAGGAGCAAGTGCTGGTTGGTAAGTAATGAATACTTGACCATATTTAGTGGGCTATATCTTGTGTCATAGTTTATAGTGTTGATGCTGAGCGTATTATTCAACTAACCGCATTTACAATCTGATAATTTATTGGACACTGACTGTAATAGTCACGGATGACATGCTTGTGGTAGCGTTGGCTGATTATCCTGCTACTGATACAGAGCAAATGGAGCTAGTTCAAGGCGAAATGCTTGTGATGTTAGTACCTGATTATGGAAATGGATGGTCTTATGGATGCAGTCTGGATGGATCCAAGCGGGGTATGTTTCCACAGACATTTGTTGAAAAGACGCCAAGTGCTGAATAAGGTGGCACAATCCAGAACTTGTCTGCAGGTATCAAGTACCGATAATGCCGTATATAAATTATGAGCATAAATAACAGTCTAGATATTCTACCAATAAAACTGTTTTGACGCTTAATCAATGTACAGCCAAAATCAGCCACTAAATGCTCAGACTAATTGCGACAAAAACAATTCTGCTTAATTCGAATTCAAAAAATAGATTGAAGCTTAATGCTGAGCAGCGGCAGTATAAATAGCTTCGTTGGTGACAACAAGCTCGTCAATCTCTGGACTCACTTCAGCCAAAACCTCGTAAACACTCTAAAAATAGATTTAACCCCATTGAAAGTAGTTGATTAGTAAACACGATTTGATTTAATCGAAACAAGTCAATTCAAAGCAGAGTCTGAATATTGAACCAAATAATTTGAATACCTTATGGTACTGCAGTTGAATGGCAACAAGATCGGCAAGTGAGCGCAACAGATCGCTGTTTTCAACAACAAGTTTCATTTTGCCCATAGAGTCATCAACAGCAATAACAAACTCATCTTCTGCCTTTTCCATCTCAGTTCGAAGTGCCTCTGCCTTTTCAGGGGCGGCAGTCTTGAGTCTTGCACGACAAGCATCATAGATAAGACGCACGCTTTGAACATTGCGACGGGATTTCTATAAATAAAAATATTGCAGTCAAAAGTTAATATCTAAGCTCATGATTGCAATGACTAGAACAATTACGACATGGCAAAAATAGCATATTACATACTATGGCTTCTGCCATTTTGAGATTCATCTTTTGCATAAGTGGGTTGTGGAACTTGGCAGTAGCATCTTGATCCTACATTCAGTTACATAGCAATGAAGATGAGTAAATTAGGAGATTAAACCGGCATTTTGAATTGAACAGTCCAATAAAGCTTGAGCACAGTTGTTCAATTTTGGAACATACCTGCTTGATGCGCATGTTACCAGCACGCTCTTCTGCTGCACCAAACTTTTTCAGAGCAGCAGCTAGAGCCAAGAATACAGAGGTTCAGTAATAGACAATACCCGAGTTTAATTTAGTGGCGGAAATCGGATTTCAGCACAATATGAACATGGATCCAATACAAATGCCATGAATAAACTCACCGAGTGGCTCTTCAGGATGAACCAGCTCAGCTCCTTGATAGGCAGCCTTTGCAAAAGCATGGCTTAAGCTGGTTGGTGTCTCTGGCTGAGGAGTTTGACGAGCACCAGGGGCTGCACCCAACTGACCTCCAGAAAGCTGTCCGGCCAAGGATGTAGCATTAGAACTAAAGGTGTTTGCAAAGTCCAAGACTTTGTCGTTGAGCGCAGGCTCATAGTCATACGCTGGCAGAGTGTAGTTGCGGGACACCTTGAGAAATGATTCATAGAGCATCTTGACCTTGTCGACTTTCTGTCGAGATAGTTAATGCGATCGTCCATCAAAATAACTCAATGTATCAGATTCATTCATCGTTAAGATAGGCATAGGTCCAGGTTTAGGATCAAACAGCAGAACCAATTCCTGTTGAATCAACATCTGGATACAAGTATAATTCCTTTTACAAGGGACTGGAATAGCAAATACCTCTTCCAGCAAACGATATTCGGAAGGAAGCTCAGTAGCATCAACACCACCATTCATGCGCTCCTTGGCAAACTAAGTAACCAAGAAAGTTATCGGATACATGTATTAGTAGATAGTAGCATAAACAGCAGTACCAAGCCAGTTACTATTATCAACTACTAGTGTATCTACCTGCTGCACCTGCACCCATTGCTTGCCAATATCTCGCCCCAAAGGAGCCATAGACCTGCCAAAAGAGGATAATACAGAATTGATCTGAGCACCAGCAGAGTTGAGTTGGTCGTTCATGTTCTTTAGAATAGTAATGTGATGGCAATAGTCTGCTCTTATTGTTCACACCACACGTGCATCAGATTCACTCTCGACTCTTAATCTACAATTATATTCATGTAAAATGGCCACTAAATAAGGGTACCAAGTTACAAAATAAATAACCAGTCTCATAAAATAATTCATCACATTTATTGGACAATATTGTAATCTGTAAACTGATTAAAGTTTGCTGGTCATTGTGTTTATTTTTAATATAAAACAACTGAATGGATGTTCACATTACAGTTTGAGTAAATCCCACACTTGTTCAATCTCCAATTCTTACAAATTGAATATTGTGATATTGTGTGATTGACATGGAAACAATTGTATTTCCGAGACTGCAATCGTTGGTTTTTTGAACTAGATTGCAAACGTATCAGATGTGATACAATACATATGGATTTGTAGTTTGACAACACCAAAACAGTCAAATCCAATATCTGAATGACAATGGATGACAATGGATGAATTTGATGATTGTACAATGTATGACTGCAAAAAAGTCGATAATCACAGTTTAAAACTATAGTTTGATGTTGCGTTTAAAAAAGTTGAATATCTATTAAAGAGGCAGTCAAATTATAGTAGGAAAGCAACGAATATTTAAACAGTTTTCCAAAGTCATTACAAGATAATGTCCCATTTACGTGAATACGGCTGTAGTTCAACTATTATCCAACCACACTTTTATAATAGATTCAAAGTGATGTCCTGACTCATGCACAAAACTCCTGGATATCAATAAACCCACAATGGTATAATTAATGTATTAAAGATGTTTTCTTTTGCTATTTTTAATCAGCCATTGATTGATCTCTGTAGTGGTTGAAGTAGCTGCTGTTGGTGCTTTAGCCTGTTAAAATAATACATGAATGTTAACCAAAAGTGTCTATACCAGACCAAGCCTTTCATTGCAATGTCATCGGCACATGAATGCAATGGTTCATTATTCAGACCATAAAACAGCTGTTTGAGCATGTTCCATTCAATGCATATCAACTACCTTGGAAGTCATGCACACCGTCAATGCTGCTGCTGCTCCTGCACATCCATTAGCATCCACACTCATGGCTCTCCAACAATTGAACATGGTCGATATCTCCAATGCACACGGCGTTGCCTGTTGTAATCTTGTCGGTTTGATCTGAATAGGTCGTTTGAGTCTCTCGATTGCTCTCATTTCACACGTCTAATATGCTCAATCTTAGCCAGTACACTTGATACAACGAGAGTTGAGTAGTTACCAATAATCGATTCAGCAATCAGTCAAGAAACAGAAACTCGAAAACAATTTAAATTTTCCAAACTCGACCATCTCATTGCAACTGCAATATGGATTGTTCATCTATCCAGATATTTATATCAGAAACAGCACAAGTATGCATCTAAAGGCAGCTTGTAAAGTATTTACAGTGTCATTTTGCAATAAACACCTCGACAGGTTTAAAATAGCATCTGATACAAACGTTCATAATGGTATCAACAATCCTTGCACATCATTCACAAAGTTCATTCCGACTTGAGTCGAGTATACTCTACTCCACTGTTTGCAGAGTTGTAACTACAAACTGAAAACCCATCAGTCTGGTCCAGTCTAGTGCTGTCAGTCCCTTTATCATCCTTGGTCGTTTCCCCCAAGATCATATAGATATGCATGGTGTGGTTTTGCACAATGTCTTTGGCTGCCATATATCCATACACGATCTCGGCTGCAATCATCAGAATATACACTAGATTCAATGCATAATCAAATGGCATCGTCACGCCATTTCCCATTATTGGCTGGAGGAGCATAAAGTATAGACATATAAGTAGTTGTGGGAATATGCTAAAAACAAAACAGCCTGATAGATCTGGAACCTATTTAATGCATGGTTTACACAACAGGTTGGTCATGAATCTTACTCTCCGGCTGTTGTTCAGGTTTGACAATATAGTCAATTATTGTTTGGAATCCAGATGCATCTACTTACTCTTTCCTTTAGATTACCCGAATATCCAAGCCACAGTCGGATAGGCTCAATGACAACAAATGCACCAAGAAGAAACAGTCCTTGAAACTTGCTCCATGCTCCAAGATTGAACCATACCACCTGTATAATCATGACTGGCAGATTCAGTATCAAAATAGTACACAGATACGCACTATATCTACAATGTCTAAAAGTACACTAGATAGCTACTCGGCCAATTGTCGGACCTTCCATGCAAACATGACTATCGATCCAACCATCCAGACAGGAAATAAACAAATGTTGAAATATATGAGTACTTGGAATGGCAGACTAGATACAATTTCCGTGGCTAGTAGACAATAGTATAAATAGTATGCATGTGGGATGGTTAGTTCAGTAAGCTATCCAACAAACTCGGAACAATCTAATAGAATCAAGCTACACACCGCTTTTGTTTTCCTTCAATGGTACGACTTTGTATTGTGGAAACAACCATGCAGTAACTGCAAATGCTGTTGTAGACCACTTTGAACTTATATCATGAACCAGTTGATCCATGTGACGCTATATAATATGAACTTGCTCGATGCTTGGTGTAAGATATATCAAACAACAAGATATCAAGTCAGATTTGATATTTTAATCATTCAAACGTGTCAAATTAAACTATTGACGAATTGAAAGTAAATGGCAAAGATTACTCGTTAAACCAACTGTATTGTCAATGTGATGGCATTGTCATATCGAAACAATTGACTGTATATCTACAACACATATATACTGTCCTCGTTGGGGTTTGAATAGCCGAGAAATTAACCAGTATGTCTGATTGACTTGTTTAAATGATCAAAACGGATCATAGTATAAGGTATATGACGCAACAATCAAAGCCCAACCATCAAAACCAGACTATAGTTTCAAGTCTTACAAGCCACGTTGACCGTCTAGCAATCCTCACACCAAAACATCCATGTTTGCCATTTTAATCATGCTTAAATATGCAATACACTGGTCAGATTAAAATGCTAATTGCAATCCTTGGCGACTTGAACCACTACCACATTTCAGTCAACATCACACTACAATTGGCATACTCAATACACACTGTAAAAATCTACCTGCACATAATAAACAATAGACCAAACTCGACTCGATCACAACAATCTATTTTTGTTATATAAGCAGTCAGATCGATCGCTGTGTCTGTGATTGTGCAATGATTCGTCGTGGAAACAGTGAAAACATCCATCCACGATTAGTAGAACTGCCACCATTAGAGTGCAATCGTCGATCCATTACAACAATCCGTCGTCCAGATGCATTTACAACAATCACTTGCAAACTCCAGGGCGACGACAATCCAAACAGATTCAATCCAAATCCATTTGCAAACGACAACGCTTCATTTTGCTCAGTCTGATATTTATGCTGAGGATCCCACACTGCCTGTACATCTACTACACCGCTCTGTCGCAATCCATAAACATAGTATTTCAAGTTCAACAATCGCTCGTGTGTTTCAGACGACACTGATTCGCCATATCTCAAAGTCTTACTCCCACGAGAACTTGCTGGACCTGGACCTGGTTGTGGTGTAATTGGAATCCCAAGCGCTTGTTGAACTTGAACAGAATCCAAAACATGCTCAACCGATGCATCATATATTTTCCACGCCTGTGATGTTTTGGATAGATCTGAAACTGTCGTCCATATTGCATATCCTACTCATTTTATCAAATATACATGGTATCAACAGGTTCTGTTACACACAAATTCAAATCATCTGTTGAACTAGTCTACAGGCACAATGCTGAAAACAATCTGCTTTAGATTAGCTACTCGGCAGTAAAGCACCAATTCATCATAAACTCACCTAGAATGCCTACACCAAAAACAATCACTCCTCCGTATCCAATATTCTGTCCTGACTGAACAACTGGGCAGGTTTATTAACACAATCATGGTGAATGATAAAACTCGACAGCTTATATCTAGCTGAAAACAATGTTTGCATCTACACACCTTTCTGCTTTGTTGTTAGTTGAGACCAGCTTGATCCATCTACATTAGATCGAGACTGATTACCAGATTGCAGTTCAGATATACTACTGGCATTGGTAGGTTTAATTCTTCCAATTGTGATTGGTCGGCCAAAAATGGTTTGTCGTAGAACTGTTTGTATAAAAATAGTTGGACTTGATAATGGAGCTACATGTCTATTGCAGACTCTGTATACTGCAGCTATTGGTGTTATTGGTGCCATGGCTATGAAAATAGATGCCAAGGACCTTTATTGGCAGAAATAGTATCAGTCAAGGCAGTGTTGATGGACTTTTAAACAGAAAACAAACTGATGATTTGAATTCACTTTTACCAATTCGTTAATCATTGAATGAACAAGCCAGAGTTTCGCTTGGCCATCCAACCATCAAAACAGCGACAATGCAGGCCGAGTTTCCCTTTTATTCAATGTCGTTTGTGCGTGTATGTCAAATCCATATCACAATTTAGTATTCATTGTAGGCGATCTGACCATTTCAACATAACTGCAATATGCAAGATATTTGGCTGTAGACAACGTTGATTTTGTTCATGTTCAAACTATGTCTTTGTCATGTCAATCAGTGTTAGACATTGGTAATATAAACATGATACGCAAGACAAATAAGCGCTGCTGCCATCTAGTTCAGACTACATGGACAGAATGCAGTATGACATTGCATAAAAATATTTTGCAAGTCCAGTGTAATTGACTATGCCTAGAGTCGAGGCAGCAGATTGACGGGACAGTTGAAGTGTTTGAATACATGACATTGATCATTATGGTATTGATGGCATGAATTAGATATTCTGAATAGCATTTTGGTTTAGTTGGAGCTTTGAGCGTGTCCATCCACAAATAGCATAATATGTCATCAATAATTCGACGGTACGCTTAAAAGTAGTGAATGATATCCATTTTCAAGTGGTCTTGGTTGCAGTTATTACACATTGGATGGGTCAGTAGCTAGTTTTTATCAAACAATGTGTTGGTTTGCAGTCGATTCGATCGTACTAGTAAACGCTTGATTGAATGGCATACTGGCTTACCAACTGGAAGTATACTCTGAGGGTTAAAGTAAACTAATGCAAATACTTTTGATACAGTCAAGTACTACAGCTTTTGTAATAGCCAAATGTGCTGCTTAATGATGCATTTGAGATACATGACTTAGTTTATTGATTTTGACAAATCTAGCCACTAAAAGCTTGTGCTCGACAGTAGTTGATTGAGTGATTATGATGCACAACTTTTTAAACAACGCTTTGGTCGATGAATATTAACAAATGTGTGCCAATCGAGTTCAACACCAATTCATACATGACAAAGTTTATAGTGCAATTACTGTCCAATCCAATGGCAGTGTGTTGGGTGTCATTGATTCAATCATCCGTTTTGTTGATTGCCATTCATGCTGCACGTATTGTCATGTCCGATCAGGCTTTTACAAAGTTTACTTATACTGGGGGTTGTCTAATCAAACACCAATCTCAACTGAGAACTACTATGATGGTATTTCTACTAAGCATATTGACAGTCGTATTCACGTAAAATGGATGCTGGATAAGAGTATATAACAAACCGTCAATTTCGTGAAATAATTGATGCCAATTCATCACATTTATTGGACAATATTGTAATCTGTAAACTGATTAAAGTTTGCTGGTCATTGTGTTTATTTTTAATATAAAACAACTGAATGGATGTTCGCACTACAGTTTGAGTAAATCCCACACTTGTTCAATCTCCAATTCTTACAAATTGAATATTGTGATATTGTGATTGACATGGAAACAATTGTATTTCCGAGACTGCAATCGTTGGTTTTTTGAACTAGATTGCAAACGTATCAGATGTGATACAATACATATGGATTTGTAGTTTGACAACACCAAAACAGTCAAATCCAATATCTGGATGACAATGGATGAATCTGATGATTGTACAATGTATGACTGCAAAAAAGTCGATAATCACAGTTTAAAACTATAGTTTGATTGTGTGCATCGTATGATGAATGCTGTATGTTGACAAGAACTGACAATGCCAATCAAAAACAGTTTGTAGTAGAAAAGCGCAGCAAACATTTGTCTATTCTGATGCAAAATAGAGACAAGATAAAAGTATTCCATTTTACGTGAATACGGCTGTAATGTATGGACTCGACCACCACCACGAACTCGAGCACTATCAGTTAATGGAGGATTCAAAGCTAGATCAGAATGTATTCAAGGAAAATATACCAACTCAGTTTATTGAGACTGATTCATTTCCTTTATTTTGATTAAAATATTGGCAGAATCTTGTGTTATTGTCCGTAAATACGATTGTGGTTTTTGATCAATAATAGGCAAGTATTGAGTTGGATATTGGTCATATTGGTGCCTGTACACAGAAGACATGCTTCAATTTTGAGTAGCACCAGTAAAGCTAGTACCAAATGGCACCTCAATAAATTGCCAGAATTAAAACAAACCAATGCTTTAGTCAAGTTTGTTTTTTACCCAAGAAAGGTGTGCATGATCACCCATTTTTCTAAAGATGCAATGACGCAAGCAACAATTATGGTTAAAACTATGTTGCTGCCGTATAAAAAGGTAATACTCTACAAAGACTTGGCTAAAACATACCGTGGACGATAAACTCCAATCAACACCGTAAATAGAGCACAGATGCATCCCATAATAAGAAATGCGTAGCCTAAAAATAGATTCTTTGAGCCCATAAGCCCAATTTGGCCAAACACCAACGACTTTGTTCCTTCAAAACGCCGGCAGTCCCAATCTGGATAAAATAAAAATAATGAGTTTAAATGGTTTTGTAAAATCTTTAGCCCGAGTATCAGATCAATAAAAGTCAATGGTGTTTATATAAACAAACATGAGTGCTTACTATCTACAATGGAAACCTCCCAAATTCCTTGGTCTAAAGTGCTGGTATTATTTCTACCCCAAAGCTTACGGAAATGTGGTAAACCAGCCTTGCGCATCCAAACATGCAGTCGTTCCCATTTTGATATGTCAGGCACGTTTGTGGAGTTGTATCCATTACCCCATACATCTGGCCATGCCTTCCTCCACTGCGGAGGGGGGAGAATCATAGTAGGAATCTGCTGCTGTAGTGTGGGATCAGAAACCCATCCAGTTGGTTTATAAATAGAAGAATCCTCACTCCATGAAATTCCACTTTCAGAAAACTCAAAAGTTGAAGTACGGCAGGCGCTACCAATGCAAGTTAGATTTGATATCCAATCTACATAGCCCATATTACACCACAAATTTAGATGTCAGTTAAAGTGGGTATAGTGAAATACTCCTTCAACAAAAAACCAATGCTGTTGTTGTAAAAGCATAGCTATTGGGTCTGCTGGATCCAATACGAGTTTCAAAAAATAGGTAATTCAACTCTACCAGAAAACATTGAATTGGCAACTAGACCACATGGATAGTACTGTGCATTTGGATGCGCATTGATGACAACGGGTGGTTTTGGAGTGATCAAACAGTCTGGGTTACTGTCAGCATGCGAAAGCGAGTTTCCGTTCCATATGTATTGAGACGCAGTGGAGCAATTAGCGTATTGTAGGAATGCACAGCTGGTTTCTCCACCAACAGGAAAGTCTCCTGCTGACATGTACACTTTTCCAGCAAGTTGGCCAGGATCAAGTGATTTTAGGTACAATCGGTGATTTTGATACATGTTTGTGATTTTGATATATAAAAACACTCTGCTGGTCATAGATGTGGTAACATTAAAGCGAACTGTACACATCTTTGTGGCTGGAATATATCGCCATTGAACAATAGAATCAGTTCCAGATATGCCGGAAACAGGTGCAGCTAATGTGTCTGTTGCTGCTAGAGCACATTGTGTATAGTTAAAGGATACCTCATTTAGCTGAGTAGTATTGCCAAATGTATCGAAATTTCATATAAAAACCATAGTAATTGCATATTAGTATACCAAGACAAATCAAAAATAGCAATAAAATATCGAAACTATGACAGTGTAATATAGCAATGACGTTTTCAAATAGTTAACCAATACATCTGGAGTTAAAGTGCCAATATTTAAAAATATATCAAGAATTGCCTATAAACGAGGTTGCGATTGAAAGTTATTGCATTACCTGCTGGCTAGCGACATACAGGACAACACCCAATGGAAGTAATACAAGAGCAAATGCACCACAAATCAACATGATGGTTTTGCGGGTGAGAACAAGCTTCCACTGCAGCATGTTGAACTTGTTGAATATGCTTCGATCTATACTTGGCACCGTTCAAGTTAGAAATAATGAAGCCATGATTTTAAAAGACTTGACATCGATATAGATATTAATCATGACAATACAGTAACTTACCATGCTTTTTAGACTCTAAAGCCACGACTGAACCAACAAAGTTTAGCACATTCAATAAAACAGGAGATAGGAATACATAAATATATCAGTAGGTAATTCGTAAATGGTATATTGAAAATAGCATTTCCTCGAGATGGATGGAAGGTGAGTGGGTGTTGGCAAACTCTTGATTTGGCAAGACATCCAACAATCTAGACTCGGTCCATGTACAGAATAGTGTAGTGGATATAATCAACACACCACTAATAGAACAGCTGTCTTTATCACAAGAGAAACCGACCTGTAGCGGTAGTATTGGTAGGTGTGGCTACACTCATGAGTTGTGATTGAATGCAAATGGTTTTTGGGAAAGCACAACAAAAACTCCAAACAGCAGTTACAAGCAGGACCACTTTTGCTCAACATTGTCAATCTCCAGACTTTGAAGTATTTGTGCTACACTTTGTTTTTTGATGGCTTGTTTCTGTCATGAAAAGCCCAGTCTGAAATCACTGCTGTTGGGATTATTACTAGTGTAGATTAACCAAGCGATGAGTTGGAATCTCATTGCTGATTTGAAAATGCTACCATGAGTACGTTTGACTAATATGAATACTATCCAGATATTGGTACACTCCAAAGGTTAAAAAAAGAATGCATTTGAACAAAACGTGAATGAATTGATAGGACCAGAAACAAATAATAGCCGTGCATTGATGGTTGTAGTCAATACACTACATGACAATATAAATCAGAGTATCTACCAGATTGTGCAATGCCATAATATGAGGCTCAACCACAACAGTTGTATAGATCGTGCACGATCTCCCGTAATTTGCTGTAGATATTTGCTGTATTGCTTACTTTGATCCTCGCCATCAAAATGCAGCGACCAATTCATGATCCGCAAGTAGATGTCTTACCACAGAGTCTGTTGCTACCTCTTATTATCAGGTGAGTGAATATTTGATTATATTTTTTACTATTTTCATAAGAATATTATTTAAATACACCAGCAATCGCCATATTGGCTCTGTTGCAAATCTTATACTAAGCTGCATTGCTCCAGTCTTGGATGGTGACTGACAGCATTTGTTTTGAAACAAATCACATTTAATCATACAGTCAGCTTAAACACTATGGATACAATGGTGCTGCAAAATACGTGGCTGATATAGCTGAGCTTCCACTCTCATTTGAACCATCTGCAAAATTGGCCGAACTGAGTTTTATTGGTCAGCGAACAAAAGATGCTTTAGGGGAATCTTCTGATCTACAAGTACCAACAACCGACGTAACCATATCTGCCTCTGAAAACGCAACGGATGCCATTGGGTCTTTGGATATGGACTCGAATACTAAGCCTAGTAAGCACATTTGCATAAACTTGGTTGTGATCTATCAAGACTAGATGCATTAACTTGCATATATCCACCAATATCACTATAGCTGGACCAAATCCTACTCCTGACTATACCACTTTGTTTACAACTACGCATAGACTCGGATGCCGTGCACTTGGTAATGATTGATCCTAATTACTACTCATCTTGAAACAATGCTCTAAAATCAATGCATGCTAGGTTCTAATACTGGTTGAATTTCCAATCATCATTTTGGTTTTAGCCTTTTCTCCTGATGGAAGATACATTGCCACTGGCTCTCAAGACACTACAATGAAGATTCTTGATACTCAACGCCTTGTAATGCAGCAGAACGAATCTTCTGAAGAACGAAAGGTCGTCCGAACTCTGTACGATCATACCGGTGCAGTGAATGATATTCAGTTTCACCCAAACGGAAACGTACTGGCATCCGGATCTGATGACTGCCAAATCAAACTGTTTGATATGAACAAGATGCATGTTAAACGCGCTTTTCGCTACTTACCGGTACACCACTATTAATTTACAGCTTGACTATTAATACCACTATTCCTTTGTTAATGTGTATTATTTTAAAACGGATTGCTATACTAGGATGCATATCCTATTCGATCCATTGGGTTCCATCCAAGTGGCGATTATTTGATCTCTGGAACAGACCATCATGCTGTGCGGATCTATGACATTCATACAATGAAATGCTTTATTCCTTCTAATCCTGCAGACAATCATAATGGTGGGATTCTTAAAGTTGCGTATTCTCCATTGGGCACAATTTTTGCCACAAGCAGTCAAGACGGCTCGATAAAACTGTATGACACTGTGTCCAGTCGCTGTATCAACACTATTCCAAATGCACACAGCGGTCTTCCAGCAACTAGCATTGTGTTTTCCAAAAACAGCAAGTACTTGTTGTCTACTGGAATGGACTCTGTTGGACGGCTATGGGACATGACTTCTGGCAAGGTTCTTGTAAGCTATCAAGGAACCTCTCATCAGGTATGCCATTAATCAGTTAGTGCTTATACACTTTGCTTTTGTATCAATTTTAAAGTTTACGATGATATAAACTACCATTGCATCAGCCTGCAGCGAATTACTTTTCTATTTTTCAACTGACTCATTTTTTATTTAGACGGACAAGACTAGCATGATTTTCAATTATAATGAAGATTATGTAGTGGGCTCAGATGATGAGACTAGCAGTCTTTCTATATGGGACTCGCGAACGGGTGTTTTACTGCTTAAACTAGGAGGACATACCAAGCAGATTTTAGCAATTGCATCTAGTCCCGTCGACGCAGGGATCATGACTGGAAGGTGCGTACATGCTTGTAGTTGGTGTCGATCATTTGAATATTTGTACTAACCCCATGTTATCTTGAATAGTAATGATTTTAGAGCCAGATACTGGAATTTGAAAAGTGCAATACAAGGATGAGCTGGCTGATACTACAGATGATAAAACTGCAATGAAATGACATTAATCAACGTATCTTTTAATTCATGTGTCTATCTTCATATAATGCTATTTATAGCGTATTTACGCAAAATAAAGTATTAAATAAAGGTGTTGGGTTCAAAGAACACAATATTGTCCAGCAAATTTGGTGAGAATTATTATTTCATGAGACTAGTTGTTCAATCTCCAATTCTTACAAATTGAATATTGTGATATTGTGATTGACATGGAAACAATTGTATTTCCGAGACTGCAATCGTTGGTTTTTTGAACTAGATTGCAAACGTATCAGATGTGATACAATACATATGGATTTGTAGTTTGACAACACCAAAACAGTCAAATCCAATATCTGGATGACAATGGATGACAATGGATGAATCTGATGATTGTACAATGTATGACTGCAAAAAAGTCGATAATCACAGTTTAAAACTATAGTTTGATTGTGTGCATCGTATGATGAATGCTGTATGTTGACAAGAACTGACAATGCCAATCAAAAACAGTTTGTAGTAGAAAAGCGCAGCAAACATTTGTCTATTCTGATGCAAAATAGAGACAAGATAAAAGTATTCCATTTTACGTGAATACGGCTGTAATTTAAATTTTATCGCGAGTCGAGACTTTATTATGGAGACGAATCCCATCTTTCATTCTAGATATCCTCTTGGTAAAGACTATCCTGGATTCAAAAAACCTGCTTTACGTATGTATTTTATCTAAATATTCTACTCAGCATTTAATCTCCATGAAACAAACACTAACTAATATTTTAGCAACTAAACTTGGTGGGCGTGATTCAAGAAAACCTTCAAATTCTGTTGCTCAGTTACAGCAACGTCTTCATACACTGGCTGGACAAATACCAATAGCCAAAAATATGTCTGCTGGTAAAACTACACATTCTTCCCCCTATGCGCCTCATGGAGACAAATCAGTTCAAAACGAGTATATTCGCAACCTTCAACAACAAATCTATTTATTAGAACTCGAGACTCGTTATTTGTAATTTATTTTTATACGTTAAACTGTTGTCAATTTTATATGAATCAAAATATTTGTACTCATTATATCCCGTTTAAACTTTTAGAAAATCTGGGGGACAGCATTCACTAGGTTAGACATTTGTTTGGAACGTGTTTGATTGTATTTCATTTCATATACAATTTGTAATATTGAAATATAGGAGCACCAAAAGATATGCATGGGCATGATTTTATGGCCAGAAACTCTCATCCACACAGTCAAAATACAACTGAAACTGGTTTAGATATCAAGGTTTGTAATAGTTCAGCGTGTTAAACATTGTACTATGTTTTGATGTAAAATACTATTATTTTAGGAACTGCAATCAGAATTCAATGCTTTCAAGGAAAAAACTCGGGAACTAGAACTTACTTTGGAATCAGTTACCAAGCAATATGATGAACAAACAGAAGAGATTGCAAAGCTCAAAGGTATGAATTTTTGAACCAGTCCATGACAATTTGATGCAGCTTTATGATTTTAAATGTTTTTATAATTCACAAAGATCGGCACGGAATTGAAAAAGACAAGATATATGGAGAATTGATATCTATACGAAAAAAGTATGAGACAGCTACATCGGAATGTAAGCGTTCAGAGTTGTCTTATAAACGAATTGTTCAAGAAAATGAGCAGCTTGAAAGAATAGCTTCTAAATCAAAAGAACAAGAAAATTCAACTAGAGAAAAGGTGCTGTCATGTATCGTTCAATTTGTAGCTCAATCTTTAAAATATAACTCATACACTTTAATTAGATTGATGAACAGCTACAGATCAATAAAAGCTTGTCCAATAAAGTGGACGAATTGCTGCAAGTTAACGTGACCATTACGGTAACATGCTACGCTCATATTTGTCTTGTTCATTCAACCTACTAACCCTGACATTTTAATAGGCTAAATTAAAAAAGTCCGAGTCAGTAATTTTAGGATTTAAGATGGAAGAGCATCAATCTAAAATTAGAGAGTTTGAAAATCTTGTCAAAGAGTTGGAAACAAAAGTTAAACAACATGAGTATGAAATGACTCGTGTTGACTTGTGCAAAAAAAAAATGGATGATGATCTTAAAGATCTGCTTTCAAAAAATATTGCTCTTACTTACAAGTGCGAGGAGTCAAAAAAAGCGCTTGATAGGGTAATTAATATGCATATTTTATGGTAAAATCAAGTTTAAATTGGCATTTAGCCACTACTAAAAGAAAATATCATCAATTTACCTATTTTTGACTTGTTTCTCAACAGGAAAGGAAGCAGGAAACTGAGCAATCTCAATCAGATAAAAAAGAAATCAAAGATATCGAAAAGCAAAAATACCAGTTGGAACGACTAAAAGGAGACTATGAAATGCTGAAAATCACAATGGAAAACAAAGATCGTAAAATTAGTGAACTTCAACAGCAGGTAAGATTTAAACTATCAAAACAGGCATGCGCAGTAAATGCACATATTTATCTACAGTTGATTAAATGCGTATTCAATCATTATACAAACCTATTTTTCAATAGATGGAGCTATTAGAGACATCAAATCACAAGAGTATGTATTTTTAATCCTGCATTCTTCATTATTTTAATTCATGCTGACACAATCCATAGTCTTAGAAACCAAGAATGTTCTTTCTGAACAGATTCTTGAAATGGAAACTCGATTGCACAAGAACGAGATTGAACTGACTCAAGTATGCCAAGATAAACGGTACGTGGACCACGGTGCTGTAAAAAACATGGCTTTACTATTTTTTTTAAAAAACTAACCATTATTGGTTTGAATGGGTCTAGTCTACTGACAGATGATGTTGCAGAAATCAAAATTCAGCTTGAGACAGTATTGGCTCGATTATCAACAGCAACATCTAAAAACAATTCACTTGTTATACAGATTGAAAAGTATAAACGTGATCTGGACACTCTGCAAAAGTTTGCGTCTGTATTAGATCAAGTTGAAACCAATGGTCAAAATTATTTGCAGTTGATGCGAGATATGCGCAAGTATTTGAACACAAATGAATAAACCACGATTGTACTGTCGTATACTAATAAGTTTACACAAAATTAAACGGCTATAGTCGAGTTTAATACTCTAAATCTCAGTCTAGTCAGCACTTGAAAATCAAATTATTTTACAAAATATTGATGAGAATTTCAGATTGATTCAACAAAATGTAAATTTATTCTGCCAGTTTTTATATTGTGCAAATATTCTTTTTGACGACAGACACTTTTCGGCGTTTAAAAGCACCTTCATGTATGGCCAATTTAGCATCTCTTTTCCCGGAATGCTGCGTATCTAAAAGTGGATGTATGGAACAATCAGCAGCAAGCTCTTTGCCGTATTTTTCAAACTGGCCTACTGCTTCTGACTGAGAGATTGGAAGAGGCTCAACGCAATCAATTTTGACCGATTTTAATGCCACTGTTTTACCCAAGCATGTGTTTTTTGCAGAACGTTGTTTGATTTTCAAGGCATTTCCTTTGATGTTAGTAAATGGAAACAGCCGTGAAAACTCGCTTTGAGTTTGAGCGGACCGGATAATTTTGTACCCTTGTGGAAGTGCTTTAAAAGTCGGTTTCTTTTCCAGTATGCCTAAATTTTCCAGCCACTGCACTACCTGTTTTGCCACACAAGTTTTAACATGAATTAGGCTGGAGAATTCGGCAATTGTTGAAATTCCATCTAGATCCCAAATTCGGAACAAAGCATGTCGAATAAGTGCCGTTTGAAGTATTGACTCGGGGGATTTACCATCATTGGATCGTGCACATTCGTGACATGTATGCACTGATGAATGTTTTGTGGTTGGAAGATATCCTAAACAAATAGCATGAGACCATAGTTTGCACCATCGACATTGTACCAAATTCGGACCGTGCTCATTTACACCACACGGACATCTAATGCCAGTCCACTGGTTGATTGTGTTGAGCTGATCGCGGACAACTACATCACAGTCTATATTACGCTCTTCATTGGCAAAACCTTGCTTTTGAATTGATTCAAATTTTCCCCTGTTTGGCAGTGTTAGAGGTTGAGTGTCTGCCTGGGTGTCATTTATAAAATCTCTGGAATTAGACTGAACACCAGGTACTGGAGAATATGGATACTGGGTATCACATTCATGGCTTTTAGGATCGCCAGTGGTTGATTTAACAGTTGCCCTAGATTTAGAGGCTACATTAGATCCAATCTTGAGTGCATCAATCAACTCTTGTGTGGTTTGTTGATTTTCTTTTATCAAACGATCCTTGTGTGCAGTGGATTCGTTAGGCATGTGAACGGCATTCAATTCAAGCCGGCCAATCTGCTCTTCTACCAAAGACACTTGAGTTTTACTAGATAAAGTAGAGTCTTTTACGTTTGTATTTTTGATGGACATTTCAGTTTCAAACTCATTCACAGATTCGTCTTCTTGCTCGTTATTTTCTCCAGTGTTTGAAACTAGGGAAGGAGCATGCACTTTTAAGCTCAGTCTACCAATTTTTACAATTTTATTAGTTCAATGGACAATAAAACTGGCAAGGATCAATGGTTTCCACAGAAAAGTGGTACTTTACAGTTGCTGAAAAGACATTACATTGAACTTAACTTACGCGTGATATGGTGACGAGACTTGACCAAGATTAACTTGAAGTAGTTTTTCACCTGCAATACAAACAGGTGTATCTATTCCGGCACAAAACATAGGTGGCTGATAGTCTGGTGGTGTGATGTTATCATAATAGTACAACTTCATTGTAAGGTAGGCATTCTCTGGCAATGGCTATTATATTTGGTGGCATTTTATGAATATAGTAAGTATTTAATGAATTTCATACGATGCTGACACAGCTCTATAAATGTATCAAAATTGATCCTTACATTCATAGTTTGGGTAAGTACCAGAAGATGGCGTAGCATCTCGCATGTGGCTCGAGTCACATCTTGACGTGTTTTGAAGCGAAATTGATCTTTGCCATCTTTAGAGACGGATATGCACCACCGATCCTTGTCAGGGTAGGAAAAGGAAAACGTGTATGCTTCTGTCAGTTCTTCTGGACAAGACTCATTGACGTAGATACCAAAAACCATGGTGCGGAGATATTGTTTATTCAAAGCATCGCAGCATCCACGGTCGATCCAGCTAATAAGCAGATCTGCCTGGGAAGTCTGTTTAGGCACCAGTGTTTTCAGCTGAAGACCATTCAGTCGAGTGTCTTTGAAGTTATGCTCTGGAAAAACATTGCGAAGATACGTGATGGAGCCGATCGTGGCACCAAGGACATTTCGGACAACAGTGAGGGACTGCTGGGCAGTGGGTTGAAGCAGAACCTGGGAAGCAGTGGACCTTGTAGTGACTGTGGCCATGTCTCTCGAAGCAAATGAAGATTGTGAGACACTTGAGATCTGTGAGACTGCAGTTGGCGACCAAGTCTCGTTTTATAAACATTTGCTGGATGAACCGAGAATGAATGCAAGGGTTCGGTCTTGTTTACTTGGCTTGAGTGACGTCACTGGGCTGCTTCAATATCAAATTTCTATTTTACGGCCGGATTCAGATAAGCGAAACACGATGGCTTGCAAGTGCGATTTCAGACACGAGTCGAGAATGTCGGTCAATCTGTAGCAGGAAACAAGGAATATTTAAACATTTATTCCACAACTACACAAGGCTGCATTTTACGTGAACAAGTCGGATTGGACAAGAGTTGCTATGGATGAACATGAGCCGTTGGTATCTACCAACACAAGTAACCCACCGCCAGCACAGATCACTACAGCGTCTCTGGTTCGTAGAGGCTTCAGTTTACCATTCATTGCACTTGGCTTTTTCTTGCTGTATCTGTTTGGCTCGACTTCACGATCAAACGACTTGCGTCTGGGTCAGTCCAGACTTATTGATGCTCAACTGCAAGAGTCTCTGGTTCTTGGAAATCTGACCTATGAGCAAAATGCCACTCGCTATTCCTCTGACTTGAGAACAATCTTCAACGCAATGATGAATGTCGGCCATGCCCCAGTCTTTTACTCGGATATCGCTGGCCAATTCAAAGGCAAATGGGAGCTACTGCCCTTCAGCAAAAACATATCTGAACTTCTAGGCCAGCACTCTCGTAAGACAGTAGATGAATCTCCGTCCCTGGAGTTTCCAAAGGAAAGTGTATCTGAAACTGCTTCTCAAGGGAATATGGACCTGACTGCTGGTGGCAAATTCTCGTTCACTATCATCTCAAACAAAACATCTAATGAAGACATCTTATATATCAATGGCAACATGAATATCGATGATGGCTACAATTCATTTGACTCTACACTACACGGTTTGCATTTTAAACGAAATGGATCCATATATTTGGAAAGTGCCGTGGACGAAAGGTTTGGATAAACCATGTTTAGATATTCGTAGTAGTTATGGCTGAAAAACCTGTAAAAACTGATCAAATCTACTGCATTCAATTATACAGTGAATTGTTTTTGCACAACATACCAAAAATGATGCTGGATCCACACTCTTTTCAATCTGCATTATCGGTAATCCGATCTATCAATATGGACTATTTAAACACTCTCAAAAAACAACTTGACAACGGTATGATTATTGAGCATGTCGGTAAGTTCATTTTAATTAACCGTGCTCACGTAAAATGTATCATTTTTCTGTATTATCTTGCCACGACTGCCTCTTTGAAATATATAATAATTGAATATTCGTTGCACCTTGCTACCATTCATTGATTTTAACTGGGACTCTCAATCCTTGTTTAATAGAGCAATATTCGTCATACGATTCACATAAATTATATTTTTGGATCTGTTTTTTCCCTCTTTTGGCATAACCATACATTGTACAATCACCAAGTGTATTTATTGTAATCCGGATATTGGGTTTGACTGCTGTCAATCAAACTCTGTACAAACCCCACTTTACTTTATCCTAATATCACGGATACATTTGTGTTCTAATTCAAGAGATCAATAATTGTATGTCTCGAGAGAAAGACCAGTCAACTTTAAACATTTGTTTGGTGGAAACAATGTTCAGTAAACACCATTCATTTCATAGAATTGACTGTTTATTGTACCCTGACTCTCTTATTCAATATTCCGTTTACGTGAATACGACTTTAATCAGTTATGCTTTTTTGTGATATGATTACCATGATTCTTCTAACTAATTTAAATTTAGATACTTCGGGCACATCAAGTGCCAAATGTCGGTTTCTTTTATTTATGCAACTACAACCATTGCCTGCTAAACTACAGGATATTTTAGATCTTGAAAATGGTAACCAAAAGCTTGATTTGCTGAATTGTATTGGCGATTAAGTAAATTGCTTGGTATAACATGTTAACGTTTATTTACCTCACTAAAACATTAGTTCAGAATGAAGGGGTTTATGTCATTCAACCTCCACAGCTATTGGCAGACATGGCGTTACTATCACCCAACTGCAATTCATCCTTGAAATCCATACAATTGAGAGGAATTAAAAACTCCATATTTATTTCGTTGAACCATAATGCTGGAGTTTTTATTGCCATCCTAACTTTAATTGAGCTTGTGTTAACAACTCGTCAAATGCAGCAGTTATCTTCACTTTCGGTATGCGTTGATGATACACCTTTTCAACTAGTTTGAGTATATGATGAATACAGAGTTTATCTGACTAGCACACTTTTCATGTTTTTATGGGAAAACTCTAGGCACGAACAAAGATCTCACCAATGACTATGGGAATGATGATTATTTTAGATGCTTACATGTGCATTGTTTTAATTTCTATTGCGTTAATGTTTCGTGAGTATTGGTTTAATACTTTGACTAGTGCATTACCTTTTTTATAAAGTTATTCACGTAGCCATCTATTTTGTACTTGTTGGAACTATAGCTGAACTGTTCTCACCATTTGTGGCGGCATCTTTTTTGAAATTTTGTTTGTTTTCTGTATTTGAAATGCGGTACCTATTTGCTGTCATACAAGCGAGACGACGAGACGGATCTGACTCTTTAGAAAGATCATTTTTGTTTCGAGTGTGTAAGTTGCTACAGATTTTGAATATCATTACAGCTTCTTGCTATGCATTGATAACCTTTTTGTTTCTAGACCTATATACATTCATTGGGGGATTTTTTATATACCATATTGCGCTACGGTCGACACTTATCACAATAGGTATAATGTTTTTGATGCATTCATTATGGATTCCTCAAGTTGTAAGCAACGCCAAGCGTAACACATGGCGGGCTTTTAATCGGTAATGTATCAATTGAGTATTGATCATGTAAAAATGAACTTTCTATGTCAAACCAAACCGTCTCCATCATATAACTCTTGCAGACATCAACATACTTATATATTTTTATGGTAGATCGTTTGTAATTGGTACATCTATCACCAGATTTTTACTTCCCCTATACGCGTGGTATTATCAGGACATTATCATTGCATCTCAGTCTTTACCATCAGCTAAAATACTTTGGGCACTGGCTGTGTTTATTAGTATTCAAGTGGGAGTTTTGATTCTTCAGGATGTGCAAGGACCAAGGATATTTATTCCCCAACAGGTGCGTATAAATACCTATTTACAGCCGTATTCACGTAAAATGGAATACTTTTATCTTGTCTCTATTTTGCATCAGAATAGACAAATGTTTGCTGCGCTTTTCTACTACAAACTGTTTTTGATTGGCATTGTCAGTTCTTGTCAACATACAGCATTCATCATACGATGCACACAATCAAACTATAGTTTTAAACTGTGATTATCGACTTTTTTGCAGTCATACATTGTACAATCATCAGATTCATCCATTGTCATCCATTGTCATTCAGATATTGGATTTGACTGTTTTGGTGTTGTCAAACTACAAATCCATATGTATTGTATCACATCTGATACGTTTGCAATCTAGTTCAAAAAACCAACGATTGCAGTCTCGGAAATACAATTGTTTCCATGTCAATCACACAATATCACAATATTCAATTTGTAAGAATTGGAGATTGAACAAGTGTGGGATTTACTCAAACTGTAATGTGAACATCCATTTAACTCTTAGTACTCTATTTTACATGAATACGACTGTAATTGCACTCCTAAAGTTGGCGCCTTTTGGTCAAAATTCATTCTATTACAAATATTAACTACTAACATTCAAATCACGCTATACCTTTTACAACTGTGGTGCTTATTGTAGCTTTTCCCCCAGACGTATGACTATCATCCTGCGTTTCCACCACTGTCAAACAATGAATCCATCTCATTACAAATGGACACTATTGCTGATTCTGAGATTGATTCAAATCAAAGCATCTATCCACCAACTAGCAGCAACACTTTTTATTCAACAACAGCAACAAGGCGAACTCATGCAATCACTTATGAAAAAGAAGCGCTGTCATCAAGAACTGAGTTGGAAGATAGACATTGTGCAATTTGCTTTACAGAGATCACGACTGTAACGAGTGATCATCCATTCTTCAGTACTGAGCGACTCAAATATATGGTCACACCATGCAATCATTTGTTCCATTCTGAATGTTTGGAAAGATGGATGGAAGTGAAACTCGAGGTAAATTGTTGTGATTTAGTTATTGTGTATCTGTAGTATAACTCATTTCAATATTTCTGCAAAACAGTGTCCAGTATGTCGATCAGATCTGCCTCCAGTATACTAAGATCAATTCAGACTATACTTGACTACACAGCTGTAGTTCAACTATTATCCAACCACACTCTTATAATAGATTCAAAGTGATGTCCTGACTCATGCACAAAACTCCTGGATATCAATAAACCCACAATGATATAATTAATGTATTAAAGATGTTTTCTTTTGCTATTTTTAATCAGCCATTGATTGATCTCTGTAGTGGTTGAAGTAGCTGCTGTTGGTGCTTTAGCCTGTTAAAATAATACATGAATGTTAACCAAAAGTGTCTATACCAGACCAAGCCTTTCATTGCAATGTCATCGGCACATGAATGCAATGGTTCATTATTCAGACCATAAAACAGCTGTTTGAGCATGTTCCATTCAATGCATATCAACTACCTTGGAAGTCATGCACACCGTCAATGCTGCTGCTGCTCCTGCACATCCATTAGCATCCACACTCATGGCTCTCCAACAATTGAACATGGTCGATATCTCCAATGCACACGGCGTTGCCTGTTGTAATCTTGTCGGTTTGATCTGAATAGGTCGTTTGAGTCTCTCGATTGCTCTCATTTCACACGTCTAATATGCTCAATCTTAGCCAGTACACTTGATACAACGAGAGTTGAGTAGTTACCAATAATCGATTCAGCAATCAGTCAAGAAACAGAAACTCGAAAACAATTTAAATTTTCCAAACTCGACCATCTCATTGCAACTGCAATATGGATTGTTCATCTATCCAGATATTTATATCAGAAACAGCACAAGTATGCATCTAAAGGCAGCTTGTAAAATTGATATTGAAAATAGCTGTATGGATTATGATATCAAGGCTTGGATATACCTTGAAATCATTTATTTCCTAACTTCTATTTAAAATATACTTGTTATACGATAAAAATGGTATCGTCATAAAACAGAATCATTCTGATTTGAAGAATCGTAGTTAGAAGCACTTATAGATAGATGACGGAATATCCATGAAAAAACTGCCATTTCGTCGTCGTTGTTTTTTTGCAAAGATTCACAATCCAGGGATTGATATTTGGACGAGAGACAGTCTCCATTCAAATAGGCTTTGTATGGATTTGGAGAAAACCGTAGCTGTGGAGTTTCTTTTAAACCACATCCGACAGATTGGTGTGGATCAAACAAGGATCTAGTAAAGAGTAGTGCTGCTTGGGTCAATGATGGATATGAGCTGTTGATCTAGAAAACATAGTATATAAAATTTAAAAAAAGTTGCAAACCAACAAACATCTCATATCTAATAGTTTCTGTATGTTCAAACCTTTTTAAAATGTACATCTCCAGTGAATGCAACAATCAGTAAATCCAAGAGTATTCTCCATTTAAACTCGGCTTCTTCGCGTAATTCAGCTTGGCCTGTGATTTCAAACTGAGCAAATACCATCATGGTGGTTTTGGCAAACTCCTCTCCTTTACTTAGTAGACTGTAGGGAACAATGGTTGAGTATATTTTTGGTAGAGACTGTTTGGTTTGGTCGGCGAGTTGTGGTGTTTGACTTGGTGAATCACTGTACTTTTCTCCAGGGAGATCTGATTCATTCGAAAGTGGATTGCTTTTTAAGGAATCTTTGATATTGACTGGCTTTAATGCAGTTTTGGAGCATATTGGCTGGTGTGATGCTAAATTGCAGTAAAACACGCTCTTATATAATGATATGCCACTTGGTGTCGAATCTCTTATCCCCGTCACAGAGCTGAAATGATCAACCAGGTTTAGTATTTTATCATTGATATGTTCATAGAAAGAGACTGGAATCCAACTTAAAACAGCCGTTCCACTTGATTGATAATCGCTGATTGACCAATCACTTGGTGATTCTAAACAAAACTTTTTGTACCATGAAAACTTTTGATTCATCAAAAAATGAATGCTATGAAGCTTACAAGTCAAATTATTTTCAAACTCATCCCTGATGGTTCCAATTTTACGATCTCTTGAAGCTGCAAGACAACATTCTAAATGGCAGCGATAATCAATCAAGCTGTATACATCCAATGCTGGATATTTTTTACCAATACTTCGCTCAAATACCTGCGAGTCCTCTACGTATAGCGGATCGTATGATTCAAACAGCTCGTTTTGCGGAATACTTGAAGAATTTCTTTCATGTAGCTCAGTAATAATATTAGAAGGACATTCTTCAGCTGGTATGCTGCAATTTTCAACGGATTTTGCTTCAAGCGACTGTTTCATACGATATACACGAGCAGATTGGTATAGAAGTTGCAACGCTTTTGGAGAAGAACATTCTGATTCCAAATTCAGTGAAAGAAGACATAAAAGACAAGAACGTAGTGTCCTATACTCATATCCACCACTATTGCAAAGTTCATGAAGCACATATGTAATTAAATGCTCCGAGTTTTTAAGCAAAAGATTTGATAAAAATGCATTTTTTCGATATCGAGGTCTGATATTGGCAAAGGTTTGTCCTAGATCGAATGCTAGCTGTATGTTTATGTAAACGGGTAGTTGAAGTGGACGTTTAAAGCACATTCCGATTACCTCTCGCATGCATTCCGTAAGCCGAGCATCGTCCATCTCATTTGCTCTTAGTTGGGACGCGTAGGCTTTGTATGCACTTAATATATACTCTTGCTGAAATGGATCGTATAGTTTTGTAGCATCAAATATGTGGTATTCGCCAAGAACGTTTTTTAGCATACTGTGAGATTCGTTAAATGCCACTATTATGTGGCCAATGTCTCCATGATGGTCCGTATACTGCGACTTCCATTGTAAATCTGCAATATCTCTAGCCGACAAAAAATAATTCAGCAAGCTTGTTGGAATACGAGAAACTTGATTGATGAATCCAATGGTTGCATTTATGTGTGCAGATAAAATACTGGACGAAAGATTGTTCATATGCTGACAGGTAAATAGCAGCAACCGGGAAAACAATAGCTGGTAATGCACTGAGTGACAACCAGCAGCTTCTTCTATGCCCTCGTTACAAAGATCATACGCAGTTTGAAATTTTCCGTCAGCAATTAATGCAATTATGAGCATCCTGCGAGTTTGAAGAATGAATTCTGATCCTAGCTCAGACATGACAAGCTGGTGAATTTTATACTTGCCCAAATCGGTTGAATCTGCCAACGAGCTCACAAAATTTCTTGCAGAGTAGTACCTATTGAAAATCAAAATAAAGCATATATAGTGCGTGATGAATGAACAGTATACATTTTTTGCCAATAAACATATTTTGAATCATATACTAACCACTTGAGTGAAGATCTGTACTGTTTTTGAATAAAGTATGTATTACCAATTAGTTCAAAGCATCTGACCAGCGTTACTATAGAGCCAACTAGATTCTCATATTCAAAGTGGTTCTTTGTGCGATTGTTTTCTTTATGAACCGTGCACAAAGTAAATTTGCTTTTGATTACGTTTTGTTTTTGCTGAATGATTCGGAACAAGTGTATTCTCAATGTATCTAAGATTTCTAGTGTAAATGGCTCCAAAAATGGTTGATTGTGGTTTTTTGATGATGATTTTCCTTCAAGAACATTCAAACTGCTTTTAAATACTTGTGTTTAAAATACATTATAAATATATGACAAGTTAGCAACAGGACACAATATTTTGAACAAGTACAGGCTTTAGATAATACAGTCCATCAGATTATATAATAAGCTTGTATTGTAAATGCGTACTTACAATCTGAACTGTCTGATTTGATACAATCTGATACGGGATGCACGCAGTCATTGCCCATATTTAAAGCATCAAATAGAGAATGTGCAAAACTGTCATTGTAAAAACAATCATCCGTTGGCGACATTTCAAGTATTTTGATTACCAACTTGAGTCTACACAACTCTATTTCAGTTTGAAAACTGGCAGGATACAATGACTTTGTCTTTTCTGAAATCGTTACAGACATGAGCAATTTCAAAGCCAGCCCATTTTCCGCGTTTAGAGAATATACATTGTCAGAAAACATGAGTTCGGATTCTTCACTTTGACTAGATAGTGGTGAGGTGTGCTTTATCACGGATAAAAATTTGCCAATACCATTGAAAATCATTCCAAGATTTACTAAAGCTTCTGATTTAAGCAGTGCTACTTTTGCGCAGTAAAGTTGAGAATGAATGACATTTAAAGATATGTGGTCAATAATTGCAGCAAGTGGTAAAGCTAATAGATATAAATTTGCAGCAAAAAGCTGTTCAATCAAAAAGAAAAGGCAGTCACACATTGTTGCTGGATTGCTAGTAAATTTGTCGGCAAAAACATTTGTAAGCAACAGCAAGAATGATGGGGTGTAATTGGCATACTCCATATAGTTTGTAGGACGTGGAAGATTTGCTACAATCGGTGCAATATATAGATGTGCAGCAAACCAGACAAGTTCGGATCGCTTGTTTTGGTTATTGAAATAGTAGAATCGTGCAATTTTGGTAACAGCAGTGGCTGCCAGTAAGCAATTAAATTTCCCGTTTATAGATTCCAGTAGTTGATTTGCATTACGGTGTGTCCAGGAGCTGAAATTTCCAGCATGATCGATGCCAAGAATGGTTTTCCAAGACGAAAGGGCTTTATCCTTTTGAAACAAAGCGTCAATGCTTTTTGACCAAAATACGCATGCCCCAGAAATATTTCCATGTTCAAATAACAAGTCTCCGTGCTCATTTGCAGCGGCAGAAAATACCTCAAAGTTACTTTCCTTGTGTGATACTGAAATGGCCTTTTCATACGCGTTGGAGGCATCTGTAAACGTCTCGAGTGAAACAGATCCACTTTTAATACTGCATATCTTTTGATACAAGTAGTTGGAATGTAACTGACGTGCATTAAATAACATGTTTTCTGAAGACCCCTTTTTTATGAGCTTGCTTGGCAAGGGTGACAATGAATTGTTGGCAGAAATAGTACATGTTGGGCTTGAAGTTTTAAGTCGTGCTTTTTCCAAAATAGGGTTCACAATTGAGCTATATATACCATTAAACAGCGTTTGAAATTTCTCACCAAACTCAAGAATACGATGAAACTTTCCAGAGGCATTCATGGTTTCCAATGTAAACAGAAAAAAGTCTGCAAAAAAAGCAAGATCAATGTAATGGGTCTGTAGTTCCCCGTACTGATCAATCCAATTGCATGTATAGAGTCCACGTTGT